CCTTTTAAAATAAATCTATTGCTATTTCCCAAAGAGTTGTCTTCTAGTGATAATTTTAAAAAGGTTTTAGAAATTCAACCCCCGTTACCCTGGCATTGTAATAATACGAGATATAATTATAAATTTATTGAATGTGTTACCCCTAGCAAGGTCCGGTGCCAGAATATATACCAAGATTGCACCAAATAAATCGAACAATAAAAAAAATTGATGTAATCTTAATATTTTAGTATACAAAAGTGGATCTAACGCAATTCCCATTACCCTTGGTTCTTGGACCCTTTTTTTAACCAAATAAATCGAAAAAAAAATATTATTACTCATACAAAAACTTTGTATGTATCAATTTAAGTTATTAAATAATGTAATTTAGTTCCCCTGTCAAAGTCCGATTCTAAAATAAAATTACTGTAATGATATCATAAAACGTTTGTTGAATAGCTTACAAAATAAATTTGAACCACGCCAAAAAATCCACAATATTAATTTAGGATATAACAATAGATATAAATTTTCCATCTTGAGTTCCCAAAATATGGAGATTATATCAATAAATCGAACAATTCACCAAAATAATTTTTAACTACTCACAAACTCTTAATATCAATTTGGGGTGTAACAATAGATAGAAAATATTGTCACTGTGTCCTCTGCAAGGGCTGGTTCCCAATAAGATCGTACCAGAAGATCGAACATTTTAATAATAACTACACAAATATTCCAAAAACATTGAGGTACATTATCTTTGGTATAGTGTCATCTCATCTGGAATAGCTGATGAGTCAAATCGATCCAGAGAGAAAGACAGATAACGGGGGGAGGGGTAAGGGGGGTTGTTCTACAGGTTTGCTGGTTTGCAACAGGTCTCTCTGGTAACCATGGCAACCATGACGTAACGTATGCCTCCCCCCTTTTGCTCCCGGATTTAATATTTTACCCTTAAATGACCCCCCTCCCGTGTCAAAGCCGCTTACATATTTTTCTTTACAAATTACTTTTCTTGTTTGGTATGGTTAGTTTTGACCTTGCTCCTTTCCAGGATATTATTCCCGTAGGGTGTAAGATGTGTATATTGTGGCGTATGGATGTTATACGTATTTCAATAATCGATGTAATCACATTTGGAGTGTTAACAATAAGGACTGTTAGAAACAGAGGTGAAGAACAGATGTTAACTGTAAGAAAGGGCCATGAGGTCCTAAGTTTGCCTCAATGAAGAAGGATTTTCATTCCATTTCATTAACAATTTATGCAAGACTGTAAATATGTGGGTGCTACAATGGTGGTTGATTTCGACCAGTCGAAATGTCATCATCAGGCCAAACGAAGACACAAAAATGCTTTTGAGAAAACAGCGATTAAGTGTTTTCAAACGCCCCCAAAAGAAATACTTTACAGTCACAGTATGATGGACATTCCGCCTTTTTACCCTGTATGTTTATAATAAAAATCGTTATATCTTTGAATATTACACTTTCTCTCCCAGGTCAGTTTACAGAACATATACAGCTTCTCAGAGCATATGAACCCGTCACAAAAAGAATATTTTGGACATTCTCCGTTCTTTCCTCTCTGTTGTCTTCAAATGATCGATGATGATTGATCGTAATCAATCGCTATTGTATGAGAAATTTTATATATTTACCGTCTTTATAGCGCAGAATTTCGGTCCCCGAGTTCTGGGGTTCAAATCCGGTCTATCACCGATTGCTAAGTTTGTTGTTAGTCCGCTCTAAGCTTCAGGTCCTTTTTCTAAAAGATAAAAAAATTACACGGTTCTAAGCGTGATGAGAACTTACTCTGAATTGGAAAACTATCTCCACCAGGTCGTACAGGAACTTCTTTTTTACTCTGCCCCCCATATGGAAAAGTATTGCTTTTGTCAACATTTCTGAGTTTGTGTTCTGTGTGAGTCCCTTTCTGTGCGAACCCAAAAGTCGTTTTCGATGGTTTGTATGTCAGTGTGGATGTGTACAGAGCTACAGACCACTCCTGTGGTCCGATTTTGATGACAGTTGGTATGTGGGTACTAATCCATGGTATCAAAGGTGATAAGCCCTTTTGGAAATTTTGATTTTTAATGGGCATCTATCCATAAGAAACCCTAAAATGACAGGGAAATCTGATTTTACAAAACCGACTCAAACGATTTCGATTAAAATTTTGTCATTGTCTTTTAACCCCAAACAAAATCATACAACTCCCATAGCTGTAAAAGAACTGTGAGAAATTTGTTGCATTTTTTGTGATTTTACCCATAATTAGGTACCCATTTTACCAGTGTGATTTTACACCTTAAGGGTCATTCGCAAGCTAATGGGAGAAAGGAGAAAGTATGTGTCAGATTGCTGATCAATTTATTTACAAATCTTTATACTGGATCGCTTAGCCATGAAGGATTTATTTGAATAACCATATATTCTTACACAGTTTATATTTTGTGTTTGCGTTGCTCCTACATTAAATTAATTAAACGTCGTCATTTTCAGCCTTCCATCATGTTCAAACTCCCTCTGGGAAATTATCCAAAACGACACTCTTGAAATAAACAATTTAGAAACAACCTAAATTCTTTTTTTCCTTACCATTTTTATCGAGTAAATATTATTACATTCATTGTCTTAGTCTTTCAAACAATAAATCATAAAAATGCAGTAGCCTAGTAGCCTAATAAGTATAAGAAGTGCAAAAATATGATTTAGTGGTTGAATAAATAAACTACCATTGATCAAATGTGTGGTTAAAAGCACATAAATCTTAGAGGTTGAAAGTTAACACCTCCAAGTCTAAGAGAACGTTAACGGGTTGGTGAGGACCGTGCTGGGGTGATTTACAACAAAGGTTAATGGGTGTAAAACAAACGCCAGTTGGTACAACATAATGTAGACAACACTAAAACACTTCCTCCCTAACTACACTTGCAGCAAACTACTTAGAGGTAATATACAACATTGTTTCATCTGAACAATTTGTTAAGGTAAAATTTAGCTATTTCACTTTGTTTTTGGCGGATTTGCCATTAGGGAATGAACTATTGCCGTAGGTCTGATTCTTATGGGAAGACATAGACCCTGGACAGCTTTACTTTTTTCGTTTGAGGTTTCCAGAGGCCAAATCGCCATCCGTTCAAATTCATATGCATCCGTTAGCACGATAACTCAAGTAAAATCATCCAATTTAAATTAATTTGGTAAAAACCAAATACGTATTTAAACGTACGTTTATTCGAACGAGTTCGCGTACCAGTGTGTTTTTTGGACATTAGGAATTCGGCTTTTGGGGGGTTTATCATGGGGTTAAGGTGAGGGTTCACCCATTTTTGATCTCCAAACCATAGATTGATCTCTTTTCAAACCATTTTAGAGCTAAAAAATATTGTTTTTGAAGCGTTGCTGTACACCCAATAGTTAAGGATGACATTCCAAAAAACTGTACATTTTTTAATTAGCATGTTCTTTTATAAATACCTTAACAAGTAAACCGTCGTAGATTGCTTGTTTATACGATGTACTTTATAAAATTTTGCAAATTAAATTATTTCATACTAAGCCATTACATCTTCATAAAAAAATACAAATTATTTTATACCCTTCCTTGTAGCAGCACACATAAGTACTCATTAAATCTAAAAGTATTTTTTAATAAATATTGAAATTTTTTAGGAAATATTCAATTAATAATGAACAGCTTTTGTAAGACTAGAATTTGTATCAGAGATAGAAAACAAAAGTTAATCCACACATCGATTCTATGTTCGATAAATTAGGCCAGCTGAAACTAGGTTTGTAATTTAGGAATCGTTCCTCTTGTGAGAATGGGGTTCAATCAATTCTACCCTTAGTTTGTAACAGATGTGGCTAATCCACGCCGATGAGTGGTTTTATCTATATAACTTTCTCGTACTGTAAAAACAACTATGAAGTGTTATTTGTTTGATTTTATTCCGATTTGTTTATATTTATTCTAGTTGTAGTAACAATATACTGTATATTCTGATGGTTGAATGGCATTGACATGTTTTTTCAGGATTTTTGGAATGGTTGAAACTTTGGTCATTTTACTACACAACAATAGGTTTACAACCAAACATTATAATAATGAAAATGCCAAAATAACATAATAAACACTAACTATACAGCTCAAAGAAACGATAATGGGTATACTTTATTAAAATCGTGTTAAATGGCATGTCAATACGGAGTAATTATTTGGAAATTGATAATTCATATGTAAATTAAAAATAGTAGGCTACATTAATTGTATAAAATAAAGTGCCTAGAGCTTTGCTCAACATTTTTGCTTGTCAGATGTCCTAAAATTAGGTGAAAAGTACAACTCTGTTTCAAAACTGAAACCAGCTGATCTTGATCATGTGTTTTGAATGAATGGTCCTTCCTATTATGTATAACACAGCTGATCGTAGTCAGCTACACCGGTCATCACACTATACACTTGTACAATCATACTTAGTTTCAAAAAGATACCTACATACCAATGCCAAACAAAGCGATCTTATCTTACTTAACAAAAAATGTGGTAAGCATAACATAATAAACTCAAGGAAAAGTGTCAAGGAAAATTCAGTTTGCTAAAGCTGCTTATTTCAAGAGTGACTTTGATTGGTTTTAACCCTTTGCCTTGATATTTTTCTATTCCGTCCTCAAAGATGATGCAGTATTTTAAACTTATCAGAGTATTTTTATGCTTTTCATACGACTCTTCATCTAATTATAAAAACACAGAAGTTATTGAGCCATTATTTTATTAATATTGAATGTATAAAGAGGGAAAGCCATCAAGAATTTCCGCTGGCCATTTCTCCAGTCTTTCAGTGGTTTTCTTTCCATTCACAGTTTCAGGGAATCTGGAACCTGTTGCCTTCTGAAATAGTCGTGATCGGATTCTCTGTACTCGATTCTTCTTCTTTCGTAATGATTCGGTGGGTACTTACACGTTATCTGCTCCGTGGGTTTCATGTTTCATGTGTACTTTTGTTTCAGTACTGCTTCGCCATCTCGTATCGTAGAGAAAACCAGCGACAGTATGAGCTGCGGGCGGCTACAGAGAGCGACTGTAAGATGTGGATAGAGGCTATACGAGAGGCTAGGTGAGAGTTACAATCTAGCCTTGTAATTAATGTTGTTACAGTTATACAGGGTGTTCAAAAAAGGTGGAGACATATTTTACCTAGTGATTCCTTGGGTCAAAATAAAGAGAAAATTAAGAATAACATTTTTTCCAAAATCGCTTCGTTAACCAGATATCCACCATTTTGTATTTTTTCATAAACATTATTATTTTTGACGTTTTCAACCGATCTTTATTAAATTTGGTATGTAGGTTAAGGTAGAAAAGACCAATGCTAGAAACAACATTCATCTTGATTCAATTTAAAATTTCAAAATGCCGGCCATTTTATTTTTTTAACTTAAATTACTCAAAAACGGCTAATCTTATGAAAAAATGTCAAGAACACTTTTATTTAGCAGTTTTGATTCCCTATCAAACTATACCAAGCTCAATAAGATCGAATAAGAAATAGCTGAAATATTACGATTTTTAGTTGTAAAATGGGGTAGAATACGGCAGAAGCTAGTCCCCATTTTACAACTAAAAATCGTAATATTTCATCTATTTCTTATTCGATCTTTTTGAACTTGGCACCGTTTGATAGGTAATTAAAAATGCTAAATAAAATCGTTTGTTGCATTTTTTCATAAAACCAGTATTTTCGAGTAATTTTTTACTCGGCCATTTAAAAGTTATAAATGGCCGCCATTTTGAAATTTTAAGATGGATCGAGATGAACTTTTTTTATGACACGGGTCTCGTCTTTCTTAAACATACATACAAAGTTTCATAAAGATCGGTTTAAAACCTTAAAAGGGGAAAATTTTTATGTAAAAAATACAAAATGGCGAATATCTGGTTATCTAAGTGATTTTGGAAAAAAATGTTATTCTTGATTTTCTCTTTATTTTGACCCAAGGAATCACTAGGTAAAATATGTCCCCACCTTTTTTGAACACTCTGTATAATACCAAACTCTGTTTCTGTTTCATATTGGTCTGTCAGTGCATGTCCTAGCCTATACTGTATAAAGCCAACTCACAGTAAATCATAATCTAGCCAATTTGAATGAATGTAAATGGGAACGATGCAATTTTGGATACTCAGTCACTTAAAGACCACAACCCGTTACGAAAACCATTTAACTTTATATCAAAACTGCAGCTTGCTTATGGAAAATATGGGATTAGGAGCTGTGATACCTAACAAACTTTGTATATGTATAGTCCGGCAAACAACCTAATTCCCTTATATGCTACTGGCCTTAAATTAGCCAAAGCAGAATAACAAAATTATTCGTACGATTGGTAGACTTGTTCAGCAAACAGGGGTTCAAGTCAGCTTGAGCTTAGTTTGACTCCCAGTCCAGCTGTTTGATTGTTATGATTTTGAGTTATCAATTCAGGTTATTGAGTTTATTCAAACAAATCTTTTTACCTTTTTAAATACACTTTTCTTTCGTAGTCTGTGTGGTCAGTGATGTTTAGTTAATTAATTATTGTAGTAAAACGGTAGGTAGTTGCATTTAGTTTGTATTTAACAATAAATACGTTATGGTATCCCTTTTTATCAAACCCATGCTATTAGCATAGCCTAGATTAAAGGAGTAGACAAATCTTTGGACCCAAAAATAGCTTTTTACCTAAATTTAACATTGTGTGAGGTATGATACCTCAGGTATCTAGGTCTAGATTAGCCTACTATTTAAACTTACTTGCTCTTAGTAGTATAAACAAAACATACATTATTTCTTAGTTCATATTTTAAACACTGTACATCAATCTAGTAGGCCTAGTTTCACTTCCAAATATTTTCATTTGTTCCAGCTTCAACAAACTGTTGCTCCAAAAAGAAGAACTGGAGCAAAAACATCTTCACTTGCTTCAGATTGTGGAAAGCGAAAAGACAGCAAAGTGGCAGTACACTCAGCAGTGCGAGGAGCTGGCCTCTGAGATCAAGAAACTTAGAGCTGAGGTAAGTTTAACTTCTTAAGTTAGTCTTTTTAGCTTTTTTTAGACATTTTAGGCCTAAGTTTATATAATTGTTTTTTTTAGGTATGCCATTATCATTTTTAGCGAATTTCCCTATAGGGAAGTAGCTATTACCGTAGGTCTCATGGTAAGACCTAAGCCCGGGACCGATTTACTTTTTCATTTTGATGTCCCCAGAGGCCAAAAACACCATTCGTTCAAATTTTTATATACAGTATATATATATATATGTGTCCATCCGCACGATAACTTGAGTAATTTTTGTCCGATTTTGATAAAATTTGGTTTGAAGGTGTAAGGCGGGATAAACTTGAATGAGTTCGCGAACCAGCATGATCGGACTATGGGAATGGGGGTTTTATGGGGTAAAAATAGGTTTTTCCCATTTTTGACCCTAAAAACACAAAATTTCACAATTTCTTTTTAAACCATTTTGTAGAGCTTAAAAAAACAAATAATTTAGTATATTGAAGCGTTATTATGCGCCTAATTGTTACGGAGAAAATTCAAAAAAATTTTAATTTTAAAATTCCCACGTTAGTCTTATGGAGAATAAGTCAACTGTTGTAGTTTGCTTGTTTATGAACATATTTTGATCAAATTTGGAAAATACATGAATTTCTTACTAAACCGCAGTAGGCCTACCTTTTAATATTTTACATAAAAAAACTTTTTTACCCTCCCTGTTGCAGCAAACCTAAGGAGGTACTCATTAAACTAATTCTGTTTAAATAGGGAATAAATGTGATATTTTTAAGGAGACATTTTAGTTTAAATCCAATCAGGCAAATGGAAATTCGCTAAGTCTGCAGGTTTGCTGCGGCGGGGGTATTTTACCATAAAACAATCCAAACTTGGTTTTTATTAATACGTTCCACAATGTCTACCTTTTATTAGACTGCATCCTTAATAGCCCCATGACTTTTATCTAATATCCACAGCCCATAGATAACCTTCAGATGTTAAGGCGAGCACTATCCACCACTTGGACACCTAGACATTTTTTTGGTTTAGGCTTCTATAGGACCTTAGTTAATTCCTGATGGGGAAAATTAATAATTGTGTTCAAGCTAACCTTGTTTTATTCAGAAGGTTGCCGGTTTGATCTCATAACAATTTATTCTATTTAACTTAACAACTTTTTAAGAGTCCTCGGAGGCTATAAACCATCTTGGATTATTTCAAACAACTGTTGAAGAGTTATTTAAGTATCATCGAAAAATATTTTTTTCTCCAAGGACTCTCAACTGTTACAAACTGGACCCAGCCCCCTTGATCATTGGATATTAATGAACTGTCTAGAATTTAAAAATACCGGTAGTTTATTGTAGTTGATAACAAGATATATATCTTTTCATTTTAATGAAGTCTCATACGGTAAAATACTTCACTTACCTTTTCCTCAAATTTTACACCTAGATATCAGCCAGAAATGAGAATATGAATTTGGGGAAGGTATTGGTAGAGAGCGGTAGGCTAATAATTTGAACACCCCTCAATGCAAAATTCTGTCGGCTTCAAATGCGATTCAATCTTTTACCTATGCTCTATACAAAAGAAAAAACAAGATTAAAATAAAACATTAATTGCTTATTTTTGTGGTTTCGTACACTTGTAGGAAACTTCATAAACTAACCCTGTCAAGCAAATAGTCTGTCTAAATTTGAAAGATGAAGATTTCAGAAGCATAGCTGGACATCCAGTAATCCCTTCGACCTCTTTAATTAATCTAGAACTTTTTAATGAATAAATTATGGCTAAATTAATTACATGGTTAAGCTTATTTATGATTTATATAAGATACATTACTTTGGAGGAGTTGAGAATTAAGGACCTACAACCCATACCTTCGTGTTTCTGAGACCAACAAAGTTGTAAAGGGAGAAAGAAAATTATAAAAGATAAGTAATTAATCTTTTCAAGGGAAGGAAAGAAGCACTTCCTGATAAATTAGTTTATCAAGGAGTTCTTCCTTCTTGAATTAAGTAGCAGTAATTTAAATTAACAACTGAGTCTATTTAAGATTGACTTCACAATTTTCAGTTTGCTGTTTTTTTTATGTGGTATTTTTACCTACTAACCAAAACAAATTGATCACATTGTTTTTGTTTCAAGTCGTAAATAGTCATTCATAAGGAAGAAATAACTATCTTTTGTGGTTATATTTCTGCTAAAGAGTGGATGCAATTGGTAGGCTTATATAAATAAGACCCAAATCTCAGAAAATTGGCGAATAACTGTTAAAACAAAAATCCAACAGTTGCTGACATTATTTGAGCATACATGTAAGATTTATGTTATTGTTATGTAGTATCCAGTTATTATTAGTAACAAAATTGTTTTAGCACATTTTATTTAAGTTATCTTAGTTTATTTGTAATAAAATTGTAAAAATATCATAAATACAGAGGAGGTGGTGAAAACGATGGCTTTGCTGTAATTTTAAAATAACTAAAATAGCCTAATAAGCTATTTTTAAATATTCCTAACTTTCACTATTCATTAAAATAATCTCACATGAAATAGCCTAATAATTCTACTTTCTTAAGACATATTTTTAACTTAAAATAAACATTGTTCAACCCACCACCTTAATCCCACCATCAAACAACGTGATACTAAAAAAGTACGAGAGCAAGGTCACGTTTCAAAATGACGCAGTTAAATGCTTTAGAAGTCAGTCGAGGTTTTAAAGAATCTTAATTACTGTGAAAAGGTCGTTCCTTCAAAGTCCAAAAGCCAATTTGTTTTGTTTAAGTAATTAATTAGTTTGTAAAAAGTGAACTGGAGCTCTTTGAACGGTGCCCGCCCTATGTGAACTGAAACTCGTTTTTAGACGGTACAGATAAGTTGAAGCGACTCTAAAGCGTCTCGTCTTTCAAAAGCTACTCTTCCTGTATCTCTCGGTGGGTATTTAACATTTTAAGAGAACTCGGGTATAGAGTTTTGTAAACTATTAGACGGAAAGGTGGTAAATAGAGTATTAATTTGATGCTTTATAACTAATTATTGAGATTCATCGTAGTTTCATTTGATTAATGTATTTCAATAAGTTTTGCAAAAAGTGCCATTTTATCAGTTTTAAAAAAGGGTTACAAAATGAAAAATAACAGTTTATCTTGTTTTGCTTCGCACAAATAAGATGTAACAGCCCTCACAATATATTAAAAGTATATTTGTGACAGGAATATATACAATACCTTTTTAACACTTACAAATTGACCAATTTTTTTAGTTTGTTAGTCATAGTTTTATTTTTGTATCTAAAACAGGTTCCAGTTGTTGCAGTTAGTTCTCAAAACAAGGTCTGTTTTATTCGAGGGACGGTTGCAGATAATTTTCACAACATTTGGTATTTGGAATCTGAATCCATGAAAAAATAGTTCTGATTTCTGAAATTTAACAATTTCCTGCTTTGGCTGAGTTTTTATACTACTAATAGTTTTTTTTTACTATCTTACCCCTGAGGATGGGATCAGATTCCACTGCTTATTTAAGAGAAGAAATAATGCAATTTGACTTCATTAAGAGAAGCAATCAGAAAAACTAACTTCTTATGAGGAGCAATAATTGTATAAGCCTATAGCTTTTCTCAAACAAGTTAGTTTTTTGTATTGCTTCCTTTAAAAAAGTCAATTTTTTTATTCCTTGAAACAGCTCAGTTTAAATGATCTTTGTTGTTGACAGTTGTGCGCCCTCAAGAAGGAGTGGAGGCCGGTACCGTCGTCCTACAGCAGTAGCAGCAATGTGGCTGCGGCGACTGCTAGTGGCACCAGCGGGGCGGCACCCATCTCTGCGGCTACGGCACAAGAGACACTGGAGCTACGCAAGATCAAGAAGGTCCAGAGCTTCTTTCGAGGCTGGCTGTGCCGACGTCGGTGGAAGCAGATCGTAGAGCAGTACATCAAGAGTCCCCACGCGGAGAGTATGCGCAAACGAAACAGGTGAGGCTGTTGGTTGTACTTATTACGTCAAGCGGAACTGTGCTATTGATATAATACCAGTCAACTTTGTTCTTATCATTCTAGTTAGCTGGCAACGCATTAAACCTGTTTATTCAGCTAAATTGCACACTGCAATAGTCATGTAAGACCCAGCTCCAGATTCAAATCCCAGGGCCATTGCCTATAGTATAGGGATTGCCTATAGTAAGAGAGGACATTCTAATATGTATTTTTATTTTCAACATTTGTCTTGATGAAATTATTTTTTGGCATTGTATCAGGATTTATAAGTTCTTTGGCAATCAGGCTAAATATTTTTGTAAAAAATAAATTTCTAAAAAAATCTGTTTTGTTGTTTTTTTTAGTTTTTAAATAAATTTCCGGAAGTAATCTTATTATTTTAGTTAGTTTTCCTTCACAAACGTGTAACTTGTTTAGATTCATTTTGACTGGCAGATAAGCCCAACTGCTATGAAAGCTCACATCAATACACGTACTCTCGACTAAGGGATGAAAACATGAAGCATTCAAGAGCCTTCCTTTACGCTTTCATCATTTAAGAGCTCTACAAACTGTTTTGTATGATTAATATCGAGTTCATTTAAATTAATTGTAAACTGTTTTAATCATGTATTGTGTTACTGAGTTAGTTTTAAAGTATTATATATTGCTCTAAAATTTTAGATCGATTAAATAAATACTAACACTGTTTTATTATTGTTGTGAGTAATATTTGGTTGGTTTAAATTTTTTGGATTTTCTGTTATTTGACTAAACTAGGTTTTTTTACTATATTACGCCTTTAGATACAGTGGAAACAAAATTTGTTATTTTTGATAAAACTAATGGTGATTAAATTTTTTTCAGTTTTTATCTCTCCGTCAGCAAAAAACAAAAAAAAAATAGTATTTGGGTTGTTCTACAGAGAGTGACCTCAGATTGTTTTCAAAATGTGATGCCTCGTAAAAAATAAAATATAATAAGTAAAAAAGTGTATAATTCAGTGTAGCAATAAAAAACTAATAGCTAAAGTAATGTAAAATAGCTAAAGTAAATGTTGCACACTTTAGAAGGTAAAGGATGAATCCTCTTCTTGCTTATATTAGGTCAAGTTTGTAGGGGAGTGAGGTAGACAACCTCAAATGAAAGTTTTTTTTATGTTACAATTAGCAAATTTTTAAGGTGTTACCTTCCAATACTTAATACCTGACATGCACACAGTGTACATGTAACGTGCTACGGGTCCTGCGGCCCCTTCCTAGCACGGCATTTTTTGCTTCCTTGCACCCCCAACCCTTAAAACCTCTTGTGGCCATGATACCTGGTTGCCAAAGTAATCCATGGTTGTCTGAACGGCACTTGGCTTAAAATACCTACATTGTATGGTCGCCATTTCATAAGAAAGTATTGAAGTATCGTTTGAAGACTTTTTGATGATCTAGGATTTATAACATCATGGCTTAACGCTTGTCAGTGACAACCGAGTGTTACTCTGATAACAAGATTCACCTCTTGTATAGTATAGTAAGCAGATGCTTATTTACTAAATGTTTTCTACCATTTGCATTTCACAGCTTGGTGTTCCGCATGGTGGAAGCAGAAGAAGAGTATATGGAGCAGATGGAGGTGTTAGTCTCGTGTTTCCTGCGACCATTCAAGATGGCCGCCTCCAGTAAGAAGCCTCCGTGTTCTCACGAGGACGTGAACTCCATCTTCCTCAACAGCGAGACTGTTTTGTTCCTACACCAGATATTCCTCAAGGGTCTCACGTCGAGAATGGAGAGCTGGCCTACTCTTGTACTCGGTAGGGATCGTCTTAGAGCGAACTTTGAAAATTATGCGTTTACAACTAGGTATGGAAAGGTAGAAGTTATTGAAAATATTCTGAGTATTTACTTTGGTATAAGAAGATGTAGATATTACAATTCCATGCTAAAATTGAACTCCTTTTTATAAGAAATTTACTTTGTCTTAGCAACCAAACAGAGTGTGCTAGTATTAGGGATGGACGAGATTGGATTTTTAGTTCGAGACGAGACGAGACGAGATTTTTTATTTCTCATAAAATTTCGAGACGAGATCGAGACGAGATTTCTCTTCTCATACACAACGGGAAATGCACGTTCAAAATTTTTACCTGATTTTGTAACATTGTTAGATGACTGTTTAAATACTAAAATAATGATAATAGGCAAGAATATTTACATCTTTCATTAAATAACATCAGCATAACATTTTTTTATTAATCACGCCTAACTTATTAAAAATGCCTACGATTAGGAAACATGGTGATATCAGTTAGGATAGAGTTCAACTTATCCTAAAATAAAATAAATCATAAAATAAAAGCAATATTAATTTTTATAAAATAGTTACTTGTTTTGACTTTTTTTATAGTAATAAAACATTCCTCACACTGCTTTACACTTAACAAAACTTCTCAAATGTTATTAAAGTAATATTATTAAAATAATGAAAGTAATATTTACATTAAAAGAGTTAAAGTAATATTTACATTAAAAGAATTAATTAAATAAGAACGCCTTCGAAAAGGAAACGCAACTACAACACGCTCCTGTATTGCGGGTATTGCATTGACTTTCTGCAGGCGTTTTTAATTTATTTTTTTTTTTTTTTTTATTCTCGTCTCGATAAAAATCTCGGCCAAAAAGTAATCTTGTCTCGTGTAACGAGATTGAAAATTTCCCGAAAATTTCCCGAAATTTCGAGACTTGACCATCCCTAGCTAGTATCAAATACTGATTTCTGGCATAGTAAAAAGGGTTGGATATAATTGTAGTCAGGATCACATTTTGTGAGTGGTTTATTCAAGTATGTTCTTTCTTAATACCAAGTCCTCTTAAGCTATTCCTTTTTTATGGGAAGCCAACACCAGTCCTGCTAATTCAAAACATATGTTTGGGAAAGAGATTATACAGTATCTAAATTTAAAACAAAGTTACAAACAAGAACCCTGGACCAGGGTTCATAGCCTACCACAAACCTGGGAAACCACGAATTGTGAATTTTGATGACCGGGAAAAGTCTGTGGATTGTTCAGGAGTTTTTATGGAACCGAGAAATTTGCAATAATTGCAACGCTTCTCTGACTGAGCATCCTTTCAGTGCTAGTATTCTCTTTTTAAGGTTGTGTAAAAATAATACAATCACGGGAGATGATTACCAGTGTTGTCATGATTGTGGGAGCAATATAGAGCAATACAGTTGGGCAATGCAGTGGTTAGCGTCTTCAGTGTGGTAGGGCCGGGTTCAATTCCTTGCATATCCATAATACATAAGAGTTTGGACCAATTTCCCTAAAAGCCTTTAAGTACTTCCTCTTGTGATTCCTCATGTAAAAATGCCATTGGCGTGGGCATAAAGAAAAAAATACATGGCTATAGTAATAATATATTATATTGTTTTATATGCAACTTTACTGCATTTCCAGCTAATCTGCAACAGGAGATTGTCCCAAATAGTTTGAATGGATCGGTAAATGGGCCTCTGGTGTGCTTCAGTAAAAGTCAATGGCAGTAACGAGCCCAGAATTTAGACTGTTCCTTTACCCTCCACGGCGCTTAAATGTCAATAGTGTAAAATACACAAAGACTTGGAACCCAAATTTGAATGGATAAGAGTTTTTTCATTGGCCACATATGGTCCAAAAAGATGTTTATTTCAGTGTGCAAATGGCTGCAACAAGAACAGGTTTTGGACAAACAATGTCAAAGGTATAGAAACACGTAACGACTTAATACCCAAATTAGTCTGGATTGATGAGGATTTTATGTATTTTTCTGTTCAGGTGACCTGTTTGACATGCTGCTGCCGATGCTGAGCATCTACCAGGAGTATGTACGCAATCACCACTATAGTCTGCAGGTGCTTACGGAATGTAAACAGTCGCCACAGTTTGCAGCATTGTTGGCCAGACTGGAGAATAAACCTGCCTGTCAGGGAAGATCTCTGGAGACATTCCTCACCTACCCGATGCATCAGGTGAGAATATCATCTAGAAAAACTATTTTGTATACAGTTATCTTAGAGTGGCTTTTTGTTCATTTAGTCTGCAAACAACCAATTTATCCAAATTTAAAAAAAAACTGTGTCTAAACTAACTAATTAACGTCTTTTTCAGGTGCCCAGATATATAATCACGTTGCACGAACTGCTCGCTCACACTCCTCACGATCATGTTGAACGGAAGAGTTTGCAAAACGCTCGTCAGCAACTTGAGGACCTTTCTCGTCAAATGCATGACGAGGTACGCATCCTTAGTTTGTCAAAACACTAAACGTGACAATATCTAATTTCTCATTATTGAAATCCTTACCTCTTCCGTTGCTATTTAAATTTCCCCTTTTGTCAATAGTTTGTCTTCCGTTATCTTCGTTATGTTTTCCACTTCCTATTCCTTATCCTCTACCTCCATGTAATCATCTTTGTCTTGTCTTGTGAATTTGTTTGTACTAATAATACATCTTTTGTATTTTCTCTTTAGGTATCAGTTTTCATTACCAAACCATGGCAATTTTATTCTTTTGCAGCTTTGCATATTTTGTTCCCAGTTATATTCTCTGCCTCTCTTTATGTCCTGCTCAGAAGCGATTTGGGAAAAAATTCTTGGTACCAAGTGTTGTTATTTCTATATTTATCTTAAGTATTGCAGAGTATTTCATGGTTGTGTTGTGTGAAACCAAAAGCTCACCTTTTTTAATTTTTAAGATTCATTTAAAATTTAATTCGCAAGAAATTATCAATGCTGGTATCAATTTTAGTTAACAACACCTGAATGGCTTTGGACACTTTAGAGATATAACTTTTCAAAGGGAGGTCTTCTTTTTGTTCATTTTGGATTTTGTTTTAAGACACTTTAAGTATGTTTAATAACATGCAAGTATATTACTGAATTATTTACATAATTTTGGGTGCTGTATGGAGCCACATGGTATTATAAGTTCTTAGTAAACAAAAATAAAGTTGTAACTCGTTAGATTTAAGAGAAAAGGGTAAATATAAAACCGAACCTGTTCAATATAGACCGGTGCATCAATTTTAAATCAAAATAGGGGTGTAAAGGTTTTCCGATAGCTATAAATTGTGCTAAAACCATTTCAGGTTTTACTTAGGCTACTTAAATCTTAGGCTCATATTTGATTATTTATTGGCAATGATTAAATCATTTAACACAATTTACACTACATTGTTGTATCTTCAGAATTCCTTGCTAGGCAGCAAGTATCAATTTGGGACACATAGTAAATGCAGAGTCGAATCATCTTTCATGCGAAGGCTTAACACTTTAACATAAACTCCTCATCGTTCACTCGCAATACAGTATAATCGTGACATTGTACATCTTTACAGGTTAGTGAAACGGAAAACTTGAGAAAAAACTTGGCTGTAGAAAGAATGATCGTAGAAGGCTGTGACATCCTGCTAGATGTCAACCAAGTTTTTGTCCGCCAAGGTACGATCGGCATCTATGTTTGTTGTCTCATCACTTCTCCATAAACTCATTTTACTTTGGCTTCTCACAGAATTCTTTATCTTTGAGGTTTCGCAGTATGATCTTCCATCACTTCCGCTAAAGTCTTCATTCCATTTCCACTTGTAGTGCATGTATAGTGTTTTTTTCTAGATCGGTTCGGTATTTAGATTCAGCTAAGACTTTTTTAGGTTAGTTTTGAGTTTATAACCATTTCGTATGCATGAGCATTGTTCTAGTTTTAAATGCTGTTCTGTGTTGGGGGATATTATCCAAGGATTTCATTCTTCTCGATGTTTTATGTGTGTAAATGTGAATTATGTAAATAGATGTGGAAGGTGTGTTATGAAAAGTTACAAAATTATGTACCATATTCAAATTACATAAATTGGCTTAGGAGTATTGTACACTTGTCTTCATTTGATCAATTATATTTAGGCCTACTAGAATCAATATTACATAAACCCTGGCTAGGTTTTTCTAAAGATATTTGATAAATGGTCATCTAAAACTCCTCGAAATTTAAGGCTGTCAAGTTGATGATCTTGACAAATTTACCAATTGGAAAATATTCTTTGAGGATCCTGTATGTCTTCTGCTAATTTTGTCCAATCGGCAGCATAGTACCTAAAAGCCACTCCAAGTATTCATTTACCATACGTCAGGGCGTCACACCAACATAAACATGAAATTGTTACATATACAAATTCGTAACAAGTCATACCAACAAATTCAGTCAAATCAACTAATGGGATCTTTAGCTCAGGGGCCATTAGTGTTTTAGCTAGATGTATTATTCTCATTCTTGGGTGTTTTTAAGAATTGACTTTTAAGGCATTTGACAGTACGTTGAAACTCTTACTTAGGTGTAAGAATAGAGCTCTATTTTTGCTATTCTCTTTGTTTGATATATATACATATTTTATTTGTTTTTATGTTGAATGTTTTATGCATGCCACTTTTAAGGGTCCATAGAAGAGTGGTATAAAAAGTTCAGTGTTGGTATGGTAAACACAGTGTTTCTTAGCTCCCGAAATTTTCCAACTATTGTATATCCAAACTCGTATAATGTTTGGAAGTACTGTAGTAAGAAATAATTTGTCATTATTTGGAAAAATGTTTACTGTACCAACAACGATAACAGAAACGTCAGAAACTGTGATGACTGTACAGTGTACAACGCGGAGTACTGAACCATATGGATGACTGTATATTTGCATTACTTTACTATACATAGATTATGGCACTGTTTGGGTGACAAACCGTACAATGACTATGTAGGGAGAACAATGGCGTACGATGATGGTACTTTACAGTGTTCACATACCTTACATACAGGTGACTGCCCCATCACAGAGAAAAGGCACAGAGGAAACATTCAATGGTACACTTTAGTGGTGTCTTGGACTATCTGGTGTCTAGGGAGAAGTCCAATACCACCCCATTCGCACTCCTGTACTACAATGCTCATGCTGAAGGAAGACCCTGTTATAGGAATTTCTGCACAATGATCACCTCTCCGGCTCTTCCTTGTTCGTCACAAGTATATTTCCCGCACAGTTTACTAGATCTGAAAGCGCACAGTCGGCATAAGCGTGTTTTCTCCGTACCTTCTTAAGTCTCTGCGATAGTACAGAGTCACTCTACCGTACAAATTGTGGTTCTGTACTATTAATATTAACAGTATACTAATTACTGTACCATACAACTGACAATATTGTATTGTACAGTTATTGTAATAAACAGATAAGAGGTACCACACCACCCCTTGTAAGAAGTGGCTTATAAATCTTTTACTTTCCAGGAAGCCTGATACAGATTCCCACTGACAAATGTAAATCCCAGCGAAGCCGCTTCGGAATTAAGTCTGAGAAAGAAGCTCTTCGCCAATGTTTTTTGTTCTCCAATCACCTTATTATTGCTACAAGGTGGGTGATTTTGCAAACTTAAGTTGGCTAAAGCCTGTAATTTTACAGTTTGAGGAATATTGTACTACTTCACTTGGTAGTTGGTGCAAGTAACAAGTACCTAAAAAGTGATAAGTTCTTTAAAAGTCTTTGAGTAAAAACGCTAAACATAGTAAACATAGGTTAAATTTAGTAGTTTTTCAATAATCCCAATACCACCCTGGTTCCACTAGTGTCGGATTATGAAGAGTCAATTGTAGTATTAACGAGAAGCACTATTCCATTATTTTTAGCATGAAAAGCAAGTTAAGCGTACCTTCACTCAAATAGTAGGTTTACTACAAATCATAATGATTCAACTAAATACTACACAGATGAGTAATTGACTATAGATTCCTAATTAGACTTGGTAAGTAGAGATGGTGGGTCATCAGCTCAGATGATTGCCACCAACTCTGTGAAAGCAAAGATAATTTCTGGTGTGCTTGATAAGTTCTACTCTTGACATTAGTTAGATACTTAACTGATAATTGTAGATTACGTTCCCTAGTTTAGCATTGTCTTTATGTACTGAGGTAGACATAGTAGCTATAGACCAGCTGTTGCTAGTTTATTCAAAAGGAAAGTAGTTAAATGACCCCTCGTAGAGTGTACTTCTATTAAAGTGCTGTCGTCTCTTTAGTTTCTCACATTGATACGATAGTTGATGGCCCATAGCACATTATATTATAAATGGCTCAATTTTAACATGCACAATGGAATGTCTACCTCACAAGAGTATCCAACGAGTTTTGTGTTCACCCGAGCTTTGAGTTGACCTGACTTTTTGTACTGATCCAAGTTTTGGGTTGACCTGAATTTTTGTGTTGACTTAGTTTTATGTTGACCCAAGTTTTGTGTTACCTCGACTGTTTGTGTTGCCCTAACTTTTTGTGTTCATCCAAGTCTTGTGTTGACTAGAGATTTGTGTTTTACCAGGAGTTTCCTGTTCACCCGAGTTTTTTGTTGATTTGAGTTTTTGTCTTGACACGAGTCTTGTGTTGATCCGAACTATGTGGTGACCCTATTTTTGTGTTAGACCAGAGTCTGAGTTTTTTATTGACTCGGATTTTGTCCACAGGACCTCCGGGGGCAGGCTGCACCTGGTCACAGACGTAGGCAAGATCCCACTCGCAGACGCCATCCTCATCGAAGATCCTAACGATCATGGTGTGAACGATGATGATGGTAACATTAATTACGTTTATTCCGGTGGCCTACAACTGTGCCGCTAGACGCTTCGGGTGACACCCACCTATCTCGCACTCGGCTCTGCTTTCTTCTTCTTCTTCTATTTCTGCAATATTTGTTTGAGGTCGAACAAGAACAGGACGGCCGAGTTGGATGCTTAAAGTTTTTAATTCATGATTTTTTTGTTTTATCATCTGATTTTTAAAGAATTTTTTTATTTACATGCTCTGCTAAAAACATTTTAACACTCCAATAGTTGTGGAAATAACAAAAAGGTCACAAAAAAAACTAATAAAATCAAAGATCGAGGCTTTTAAAGAGTTCAGAATTTTGGGTTTTTACAGTGCCATTGAAAACAAGTTTTATTATTTTCCAACGGTAACGCCTAAAGCTTTCCTTGTTTGCTTGGATAATAATATGTTTTATAACAACAACAAAACCTGGTGTTTTTTCCATTGTCAAGTGTAGTTTTGTGTTAATTGTATTTATTGTTTTTCTTATTGAAGATAGAAAATATTCCCAACTTATTTTTAAAATAACAATACTATGACTTTGGGGTTTTGTTTTTATCAACTAACCCATCAAATTCTAATTCTGTACTTTTATTTTAAAGCCCTTTTATCTTTAACAATCAATCTTTACAATTAAAACATCAAATGTATTAGGAGCGCTTAACATTCGCAAGTAGTGCTTAATCTTGTCAAAACACTTAATGTAAAATTAATGTTCCAACCTTTTTTTTTACTTTTAACAACCATACAGTAACTTGATTTTACAGTCAACTAAAATAATGTTGTAAAGGCACTCGGAAATTGTCTTTGTGTATCTGCGGGTAATATTTTGCAGTAAGTTTTAAATTACGTACGTATGAGGAGCTTTTAGCAAGCTAACAAGTAAAGTTTTACTTACAATGAAAAATACAGTAAAAATGGGCAGTAATGGATAAAAAAGTTTTCTTAAGTTTAGTTATATTGAGGCTGTTTAAGCACAAGGGAAATCTTGTGATGAGCACAGTAGTCGCAAATGCTACCACTGTTGCTGTTACCATGGTGATTAGAGGGGCGTAGTGTGGGCCATCTTAATCGCCCACAGAAGGCAATTTTTCAAAGTTAAGGTACAAACCTACCGGTCAAAAGAAACCACATGTTAACTCAAAGAAAATTGCATCAAGTAAATTATTGTGATTATCGCAAAATTATACATTTTTAATTAACTAAAATTGTGTCTACGTATTTTTAACTCAATTTTAAAGTGAACTTTATTTTAGTTTTTTAACCGCAAGGTAAAATTTCAATAATTTTCTGTTGCATTATTTGTAAGTTTTAGGTAGAGCCCCTGAATTTGCACCAAATTTGACAAAATGGCCACTTTCAAGCCCCAAAAGTCCTACATTATTCGTCAGAATCATTTAACAATCTTATGTGTCAGTTTCTATTTTAATATATACCTAATCCAATCAAATAAAATTGTTTAAATTAATTTGTTCACCAAACGCACACTATTTTTATTTGTTTAAAAAATTAAACCATAGGCCTATAGACTCTATTTTTTCACTACTACCTAACCTTAAATAAATTATTGTGGATGCCATCAGTCTATTACATATTTTGTAATATATTAACTATTCTTATGATTTCATCAACATAGCATGGATTTCATATTTCCTTCGTCATAAGTGAGCATGTTCTATACATTGTTCAATGGCATGGTGATAGGTTGAAATCGTTAGACAACATGTAACACTCTTGAGCATGGTTATCATTACGTAAAACTTTACATTACGTAAAGCTTACTTTTCACATTTCTTCATGTAAAGCTTTGTTACATTACTCTGTTTTGTGTAAATTACACTTTACAATTTATATTTTCATACTTTGTAGTAAAAAGATTAATTACTAGGGGATTTTTTAAAAATTTGGTAAACTAAAACATTTATGTTGACGTCTGATAATGTTCTGGTTGTTAATCATATTTTTAGTGGTGATTAAGAAGAAGTACACATTACAAGTCAAAAAATTACCAACCAGTTACGGTATTTGAAGGAACAGTCGCCTGTTTTGGTTCTAATCAAAAATCAACACGTGAATGGGTAGTGGATTGTTAAAAAGGGCTTAACTTAAATTCCAAGTATGCTGGTTGGATCCTATGAAGGATTAACTGGACCTAACCATTCTTACCATTTTCATTTGAATAATAATTTATGATGCTTAACATTACGATAATGGAATGGTTATGGTGCTCACCTGCAGGGTTGCCTCCTTAATGTTATGGAAAATCGGGACATTTCCCCCCCTCCCCCCGAATTAACATAGGCTTATATAAGGGCATATGGAACCAAAATCGGGACTGTTCCGGCAGAATCGGGACGGGTGGCAACCCTGCCTTTAAGTCTTAATGTTGTTTATTTTATGTCAAGTGTGTTCGATTCAAGACCCTGATGTCATTTGTCATTGAACTATCCATTAATAACCTTTGCAACAATAAAAGGCCAATGATGGATTGTAACAAGATTAGAGTTTGGACCGTTCCCTAACAAAGAACAAAAATATTTCCAGTGGCATGGAACTTGAATAAAAACGGAGGCTAAAGTATTACGACCGAGTTTTATTCTGTACCCTGACAAAAATATTTTGTAATACCTTACCATTTATGTGAAAGTACAGGGAGGGCAAAAAAATTGCTTTTAAGTAAATTTCTAAAAGAAAGCTATCTTGACAAAAAAAACGTAACTTAACATTTTACTTAACATCTCCCCAATGAAATTAACAATTGGGTGTTTTGCTAAGCTAGTAGTTAGCGTCTCGTACTTCAATAAGAAGAAGACAAGTTTAATCCGTGGTACCTACAAATATTTTATAGTTTCTGACCACTTTACCCAGTGTTTGTGACTCCATTGAAAATTCCACTGGCATTAACACTAACCAAAATTTTTTTCATAAGTACTAAGTAGTACCTAGCTATGAACAAAGTTAACTCCATAATTCGTTTTCAGACTGCTCAATGTCCAGCCATTCCAGTAGCCATAGTGAAACCTCCAGCACAGGATGCAATTTTCAAAACAGAGACTTCAAAATTATTTTAGACATCAAAAGTGGTAACCAGTCGCAAGTGTCTGTTCATTTGGTGGCGCATACCCTGCAGGAGAAGGCTGCATGGGTCAGTGACATTAGCCAGGTGCGTCATGAACAAATAATATATGAGTAGAGTAAATGTAAAAGATTTGTTATGCAAACCCTTACTCTGGTAGGCTGTGTTTAATGGTAAAACTTCGCAGATTCCAGAACATTATGTTTTGTATTCATTTTAATTCCTTCAGATATCTTCAGGGCTGCTTTTATAAAGTACAGTTTTCTTGCCCTCAGGGGCGCAAGAGAGTTTAGGTTTGTTGGGGACACAAGGAAGAGAAAAGTTACCCCACAAAGTAGGTGGAGAGAGGCGCAATCACCTCTCGGGTCCATAGTGCATCACATGCAAACCCCAGGCCTGGATATATTTGATAAAATATACTTTTTGATATAGCTTACAGAGATTTTTCACATTTGTAAAATTCAAATTTGTAGTTTTAGTAAAATGAATAAAATTTATAAAATAAATAACATTTAAGGATAGACACATAACTATGCCACATACTACTGTGCATTATTAAATGAGGAAATATTGATTGTATGATGTCATGTAGCCGCAAAAACAAGCTCGTATGTTCGAGTTAAAAATAGCTTTCCACATTTGTAATGTTGAACTTGTCCACAGTGCATGGACAATGTACACTTCAACGACCTTCTCCACAGTAGTATGTCCGATACCTCCTCCGTAACAATGCCTCAATCGATCAAGAACGACCCGAAACTCTTCAAAGACGATGTTGACATTCGATTCAGCAGAACTCTAAATTCCTGTAAAGTGAGTATCTGCATTATCTTGTTTGTTCCAAGATAGCTATCATAATATTCAAAACTAACAAGATTTTGCATTGTGATTAGATGTTTAGTCTTTTAAAAAGACTAAAGGTGTTTCAATTTTCTACAAAGTCGCATACAATAACTGGGTAGTTGTGGTAAATAAATGTCAGTTGTTTGTGTAGTAAAAAGTTAACATTTCATGTAAGTGATTTTGCCATACTGATGTAGTGATACCAGTCGTATTTGCTGGAAACATGTAAAAAATGTAAAGAATCCTAATTAGTGTATTATTGTTGACTTTTGGATATAAGAGTGGTTTTTTTTTATCCTAGGGCGCTAGCACAGAAAACATACTACTATAACCCAGAATGCCAACCGCATGGTAAAAAGCATTAAGTGTTTTGAAATAGCTTTGCCTGTCAATTCTTAGGCAGCGCCACCAGCGTTGCTATGGTGGCGCTGCCTACGAATTGACAGGCAAAGCTATTTCAAAACACTTAATGCTTTTTACCATGCGGTTGGCATTCTGGGTTATAGTAGTATGTTTTCTGTGGCGCTAGGCACGACCCTGGGATTGTTTTTCACATTACTTCAGGCTGACCTAGGTGTTGCGGCATTAACACATGAATAAAATCCATTGGTGATTTGGCGGCATTTGAACCCGGAACCTCTTGGACTGAAGTCCCGCGCTCTAACCACTAGCCCAGCTCGCTCCCCCTGGATATAAGAGTAGACATTGCCTGTATATGAACCAGCTGTGGTCATGAGTTTATTTGAATAGAATATAGTTTGATGAGCTGCTCACAAAGTGCTACTGTCAAAGCATTTTACTTCTCTTCATTTTCAATTCATTGATCATCGAGGCTATCTGATTGGCTTGATTGGAGAGTCAACGTAAACGTTACGTCATTAACAGCAATACACTATGTCAGTGGCTTAGTTCGACTATTTTTGTTTTTATTCTAAACCTGACTACAATGTAGGTATAAAGTGTCTTCTACTCTACATTGTCTAAGGCTACATTCAATAGTTGTTTTTTCCCCTACAAAGTCACAGTAACCACAGAGAATTAAAGTACAGAGGAAACCTTCTTATGTGATGTTCTTGTGCTTTCAGCTATAGTATTTTGTGCTGGAAATATACTTGTGCTGAGCAATGAAGAGCCCAAGCAGTGAGCACTGTGCAGAAATTCCTGTCGCAGAGAGCATAAGGTCTTCCTCCACCGTGAGCCTTGTAGTACATCTTGTCGAGGAGCGCGGTGTTGGCATTTGCCCTAGACACCACTAGAGTGTACTATTGAATGTTTCCTCTGTACCTTACTTCTCTAAGCAGTAACACAATAATATAGCAAACAATCTATTAATACCTCTACAAGAAATAATGATGCTACGGTACATAAAAACCTAAATGTAACATCTGAAGACTAAATTGCTGTTCCAGGTTCCACAGATAAGATACGCCACCCCAGATAGACTTCTCGAGCGCTTGACAGACTTGCGTTTTTTATCCATCGATTTCCTAAACACGTTCCTGCTCACTTACCGAGTGTTCACGGACAGTGTGAAGGTTCTGGAGGCTCTCAAGAAGGTGTTTTACAACTCAGACCCTCCTGAAGCTCAGACATATCCTCCAGGATCATTCATGTGAGTTCAGTCTGAAATGTTCTTGAAAATTCATTCAAGTCTTTAATTGATATTTTCTACTGAGAAAGGATTTTGATTTAGTCTTTGTAAGACATAGAGTTAAGACATATGTATCACACTTCTACATCTATACTCCATTCTGCGTTCACCATGCAGTACCCGCCTTATAGGAGATAGCCGTGTGTCATTACTGGAAACACCATACGTTAATTGTCATGAAGGTTGCATCCAACTGCCCTCATAAAATCATTTAAGCATTTATTTGACTTATTTCTCTACCTCTATCCTTTGTACAGAGATGGATTGGTATACTTACCCAATGATTTGAATTTTTACTTTGGTATATCCACAATTGGTTGTATACAGTTTGATAATAAATTTAGAGGTTGTTTTAGATGGCTATTGTTGAAACTCATACCACTGCATGGTGAGCGTGGAATGGAGTATATTTTGTAAACCTAATAATAATCGCCAAGAAAATGTTGGCAGGCGCCAATTTATGCTTGATTCAATTGCTGCACATACAATAGCTTAAACAGTTAAATTAAACCTTTTGTTTTGTTTTAGTCTAAATTTCTTTAGTGAGTAGATTGGAAAGTTATGTGATAATTTCAAACCTAATTTTACTCTATATGCATGAAAACTAATAACAATGATCAAATTTTTAGCAAAAACTGTTTCTACAATTCTACTTGAGTACTACATCATTTGTGGTAAAATTAACACTAGGATGTGGGAATTTTTTCCAGGGATGAGCTGACATCATCGCTACAGCTTTACGACCCAGAGCGGCGTCGGAGCAGCTTCTCCCCTCGTCGCTTTAGCGGAGCGAGCTCGGTCTCGGGTAAAAGCAATCACTTACACAAGATTAAATATCCTGCAAATAAGATTAAAAATACATTGAGTTAAATTAATTATGAATTATATATTCAATATTTTTGACAGTGGTGAAACTGTGATGTTCTTCTGTAGTTTTGAGGTAACAAATCCTTAATTCAATTTTTTAATAGGTATGTGTTATGTAAACTATATTACCCAGTATTTTGTCACGATTGTCATCCAATTTGAAATCATTTTTGACTTTAAAAACGTTGACCAACTAAAACACCTTTGAACTACAGAGTTTTCGGTGAGTTGGAATTTGTGTGAATAAGAATAGTTCAAATATTTTAGCAACTTGAATTAATTGGATTGTGGATAAGATGTCATGGATTATTTGCATTTTGCATCCAAGTTTTCTCAGCATTCTGGGCTGAAATAGTTAGAAAATATATATGAAAATGTATAAGGTGATTCTTTACAAAACATTCTTAAACTTCCGTTGTTTGAAAAAAAATCACACATGAGACATTGATTTAAAAATAAATAGAAGCAATATCACTTGTCTTAACTAATTTATTTTTTTAAAGAAGTTCTGAGAAATTGTTCAGCTTGTAAGACAAATTTAACTTTGTAAGTTATTTTGTCCCAGCACCATTCTGTTTTCTAAAGTGTACGTTTTTTTCAAACTATTTCGTATTCTACAATGAGTTGTTCTCAGGTTACGGATCCGAGATGTCAGACAGTCGAGATCGAAGTCACAGCTACGACTCCCAGGCTATGTTCCCACCCAAGTCACAACGACGATGCAGCTTTAGAAACAGTAAGTAATCTGTAACAAGTTAAAAAACTTAAGAAATCAATACAAACTTGGCTTTGACATAAATTTAAAATTGGTGAGATTGTTTTTATTCAGGGCGGAAATAGAGAAAATATGCTAAATCATCTTTACAGTACAAGAAGCTATGCAATGTAACATTAAATAGTTCAACCCCTTTCAATTTTCATTATGTCAACCAGCTGTTTAGTAACAGATTCTGGCCTAATTATTTTTTCCTGGTCCTTACAGTGTGACGTATTGATTAGTTTCAAGTTCAAACAATACAACTCTTTTGCCTATCATCAGTGGTTAAAAATTCAATCTTATTTCACTATTCCCTCAGTTGAGGAGGAGCAGCTCACAATGCCGAAGATTGTGAAAGACCCGGCAGCCTCGCTTAGTCCTCGACGCAAAGTCAGCATCCGAGTAGAGGAAGTTGACACCAACACTAATACTTCTCTGCTAACCATCCCTTCTACCATTGCTGGCAGCTCCAGCTCCGAGACTCTCACTGGTATGTGGAACTGGTCATCCTGATACTCAACCCTTCCCAAAATTAAATACCCCCGCAGCAAACCTAAGCGAATTCCCATTTGGTTAATTGGATTTTCACTCAAATATTTGTTTAACTTGTATTAATGTGTATGAATTGGAACGGATGGTGTTTTTGGCATCTGGGGAGATCAAAACAAAAATGTAAATCGGTCCCGGGTTTTAAGACAAGTTTCTGCAAAGCGCAGAAAAAGAGCACCAAAAGATCATGAGCCAGTTAGTTACAGTGCAAATACTAACTAGTCTGTCTACAGAATAGGGGGAAAATCTGCTTCCTGTCGTCCACATTGATGATCTTTATGCGGATATATATCTGTCATCTATCCTGGAAGTCATTGATCACTGAACCTATGATATGCTATAATGATAAAAGCATGTTAGGTGTATTTGCTAAAAGTATATGACTTATATAAGGTATACACTGAACAATTTGTTATGGATACAACACTGTAAATTTATCGACAATGTCACCTGTGTCTAAATGTATGTGACAATAAAGATATTTATTTCATTATCACCATGCTATACTTTGTTACAGACCAGACGGTGATTAGTGCTCCATCATCTCCCAGCAACCAATCGACAGCCACTCTCGTACCTTCCTCAGGCTCTGACTCCAGCCAGGACCACGCCAAGGACCAGCAGCTCCCTTCGTCACCTCCCACCACCGACCCCTCGGACCTTCCCTCTAGTCCCAGGGTGACCTCCCCTAAGTCTACGTCACCATCAAGGACATCACCCTCCAGAGTCACTTCCCCGTCCAAGACACCTCCGGGGCCTGACGGAGTACCCAAGGAAGCAGAAAGGTACAGTTAGTCAATTATCTAACGGATTATTGGATCCGGGAATGTTTGGGCATTACAAAATGTAGTCAAAACTTTGGATCGTGATGGAAAATGTCCACATTTATTTCTTAAACAACATAAACTCAAACTCACGATTACCAAAAATTAAATTTAAACAGGTAACTTATTTACACAATCAAAAATACATATGACATAGCTGTACCTGTGTTGCAGCCGACACGGCCGTAAGAGGTCCAGTTTTGAGAGCAGCCATCGCAAAAGCAGCACTGTAGGGTTGTCTGAGGACCGAGCTGATTGGCCAGATGACGGAGAGATTCACGGACCTCTACCGTACAGTACTACCTCATCTCGCTCAGCGTCCATCGTGATGCAGGTTTGTACTGTACACTGACAGCCTTGAGATTGATTTATAGCACTAGGGCAGACTGTAGAAGAATTTTATAACTTGTATAGCAGTTAGTTCCCTTTCACATTATTGTGTTCTTGAAGAAAATCCGTCAGGAATAAGAAAATAATTGGACAAGTCCAACACACGTTTTGATTGGATACACTTTCTTGTTCACCTCTTCTTCACTTGGTTGTTTCTTCTAAGTTTTTGTAATATTTATTTCTCTCTTGAAATTTTCTCCCTAGTAAAAAACCCTTGATAATCTTAGATAAATAGTTTTCTACTTTGTTATTACAACTTTTGAACTTTGTACATGTTTATTATAAAGGGAGACTTAAATCAGAGTAAGTCAAACGTTGAATGGATAATAAACTGAGAGTTTACAGGAAAGCTGTGTTTCAATGAGATCACAATTTAGAGATGAATTTGCCAGCTTGTCAACCTAACATACAAACATTTTCCACAACTGTTAAAAAAACTAAAGTTTAAGTTTTTACATCATTTAAAGCTTTTTGAAAGTTATATCAGACGAGACAACTAATAATTTAAACTTACTTAATTCAATCACCTAAGTTTTTCTGTATTCCTCACACAGAACTACTACAGCGCCCGGCGATCTCTCGTGTCAAACGCAGACGGAGAAGGCATCGGAAGTGTTTCACAACGAACGAGTTTTCAGCACGACTCTCCACAACATTCCAGCAAAGCAGGGGTCGTCATCACGTCTTTCCGTCAATCCCAGCGGAGGTAAATATAAGCTGTTAACTGTCTAACTAAGTGTATTACCGCTTGTAACTGAAATAGAAAAATTAGTGAAACCGTGGTGTTCTGTGTGAAATTTAGTTCAAACCAGAAATCAGAGGCTTCAAATTTAAGTTTGTGGTGATGCTTGCTGAGCATCAAAAATCAGAAACTAAAGTTCTGTATGTGAAGGTTCTAAATTCTGTTCATATTAAAGCCTTAAAAACATCAACGTACAAATTTATTTTAAGACTTTTTTGAAGATTTTTTCAAAGAAGCTGTTCAAAGAACATTTTTGCCTTTTTGAATTACACTACAATCATTAGAGAAGATTTCTGGAAGTTGATCTTACTAAAATAACTTTACTCAGACCTTTTTACACAATCTGTTAATTTTCCTGTAACCTACCACCGCAAGTGATCTCTTTAAATTGTGATGCATGCAAAGCTGTGTTTACATGAAGCCAGTTAGCATGTTATCTGCCTCAGATAAATTGAGAAGCAGGTAACCTGCCTACCGGTCTCTTATAAACACAGCTTAACTCTTTTATATTTTCTGTGGCTGTGCCATTTAATTGTGGTCTCCATTTATTAAGTTTATTTTGAATTACTTGTTTTTCAGTGGACAACTTAATTTGGTTTATCGTATTTTTTTATTTAATTTACTCTCTTTCTTTCTTGTTTAATTATTTCCTTATATTTTACCAAATAATATTTAGAAATTAATCAAGAAAGAACATGAATTACTTTTCTTGGTTGTATTTTTATTGTTTTGAGTATGAAAATAAAATAATCCATTTTGTAAAAATAAGACTTTTATAAACCCCCTACTTTCAACAGTTTGTTAAAAGAAACTCGACATAAAGATAGAAAAACTTGATAAACTTCCAAAAGAGTTACTCGGCATATAAAAATCTCTCAAATTATTAAACTATGCCTAAAGTTTTATTTTACTTTTTATAATTATCTGAATAGAAAGTATGTTTAATATATAAATTTGTTCTACTAATGCATGTTTTGTTTTCTATTTTACATTATTTCTATCTTCTGCTTTCTTCTATCTTTATATCTTCAACATCTATTCTTACATGCATACTACTATATGTACGAATGAGAAAGTCAGCTTTTTGGTACTGTGTTTCAAGTTTTATGTATGTTTGTAATTCTTGGATAACTATATATCTTTGATTCTTATAAGTTTACCTATCACGATCATAACAACCCTGAATTGTGTTTTTTCCCCTTATTGTCTTGCTTAATAACTTTTCAGTTTTCATTATTCATTGACATTGACTTTTTTTAATTTTTTTTACTTTTCTTTTTAAATGAACATAAGTATGCCCTGTAGTAGTACCTATTCACACTATTTTTTCTGTTTTCATCTTCTGAACATATTTAAAAAAAAAAATGTGTTTTAAAATATGTCAATAAACCTAATTATTTATAATATTTTAGAATTTGTTATTAAAATAATGTAATGTAGTTTCTTTAATATAATTTAAATCTATCAATGTCAAATTTTATTAATAAACAATACAAGTGGAAGCTGATTTTCAGTTTTAGTATTATGGCTATAATGTCTAATTATTTCTTAAATCATCCTGAGTTAATAATTAAACAAAAATTTGTTTATTTTACAGTAATGTTAGTTTGTAGTTAATTTACTATTTTTTTTTTTTTTTTTTTAAGTACTGCACTACTGTTTATATCTTTAGTATTGTAGTAGTGTTAATCTGTTTACCCTAAAAGTAGTAAAACTTATTTGTTCAAACTAACAAAAAACATAACAGTACTTTAAGTTCTAAAATAGTCAAATAACGTATGTCCTTTCATTTTTCAAGAAATATGGTCCAGAACTTAATAGTTTTTTTTATTATTTTTAAGATTATTTCAGTTTAGTATTTTAAAGTCCATTTTATTATGTTTAATTTTTTATTTTCGGTTTCTCTTTGTAGTTTTCTACCACTTGATTTTTTACTAACTCAAACTTGAAAATATTCTTATTCTGGTTTACAAGTGAGGTTTGAGTTGACAGATATGGAATATTACCTTTACTATCTATGTGCTGTATTTGTTATTTGTTATTTGTTCCTTAACCATACAAATGCAGAAGGATACTTCAATACTTTCTACATTTACATAGTTTATAAATATTATTTCCATGTTGATTTTACCATCATTAACGTCATTTTCCTAATTACTGTTCATTGCTCGAAGCTTTGATTGTTTCTTATTGAAGTCACTGATATCAACCTTGAGATGGACTTGAAGGTTTTTAAAATCCAAGATAACTTTTAGATTGACAATTTGTTTGAAATATGGTTAAGGCTTGCTAGTGTGGAAATATCAATCGTTCAAATGAGTTTCAAATTTCAACAACATTTAGAAATAGCCAATTAAATTTATTTAAAACCCAAACCGATAAGAACACTCAACTTAGTCCCTTTGTTAGAATTAATTAGTAGATTTTATAATGTTTTTCAAAGTTTAATGAAATGTTGAATTCACAAAAGCTAAGTTTTTAAATGTTAAAATAATGTTCAGATTTAATGAGCTGTGGTAAAATAAATCCAACCTTTTTTTAGTGATAAGCATAGTTTTAAATTATTGGGTAACCCAGAAGTTAGTGCCTTAAATTAGGAGATTGTTTCATTGTTTGACAATTAAAGAGGAATGGTGTAAAAACCTGGTTATGGACATTTTAAATACCTACATCCTTAGGCTCTACAGGAGGATTCACTATTGTACCGGTAGTCGTTTTCAGGGTTTATTTGCTACACTATCATCAGCTTAATTTTTTAGTTACTGTGAAAATTATGTCACTAAAAACACATCAATACTGTCACGATTTATTTAAGAATAACAATAAACTGTATAGTCTTATCACTTGGGGAGAGAGCTAGTCTAGTGGTAGAGTGGGGGGTCTTTGGTCTGAATGCCCCAGGTTTAAATCCGTCAAATCACCAATGACTTTATCCATAAGATAATGCCGCGACCTTCTGAGCCCAGTCTGAAGCAATGTGTAAAACGATAATACTAGAGCCTAGATTCCTATATTATGAAGGTGGGACAACAAAATGTTTAAGTATTTTGTATCTAAACTGTCTCGAGGATATTTCCGCACTAGCGTTGGCAGTGTTTGCTGTTCAATGTCGTATTGAATGTTTGTTGTGTCAAGCTTCAGACATGAGCCGTTGTGGTGAGTAATATCTCTTTCTCTCTCTCACTTATGGTGAGTAATGTGTCTCACTAAGCTAGCTTTGTGGTGAGTAAGACCCCTGTACCTGCAGCTTTGCTTTGAAGCACCGTCGTTGTCTTGCGATTGTGGCAAAATTGTGAAAATCTCTCCCCATCTTGTTAAAATTTATAACATCTCCGGTGTGTTAGATCTCAGACGATGGGGAGCATTTCACACTGGAAGATTAACGACAACTAGTGATGGTCGAACCAGAAATTACAAATCACAAAACCTAAACTGAAACTTTAAAAATCAAATCTCATTTTTACTTTTTTTTTTTCAAAAAAATACAAATTTACAAAACACATACAATTCCAAGCCACAAAAGCCAATATGGCTTGTCTGCAGCAATATGGCTTGTCTGGTAAATGTAAGAAAAATATACATGAGATAGATTAATAAAATTTTTTTCACTATGCAATAAAAATAACTCATGGCCCATTTTATAAAATAAGCCAGTTATTCAAACTATTGTAGCTATGTGTCACAGTTCTTTCAAGTTTCAAGTCGTGAAACATCAACCGAAAAACATACTTTTTACGAGTTAATGAGATCCTTGCCTATGCTAAAACAAAATTTCATGATATTGAAACTACAGACCAGTGTTGGAAAAGTTCTGCCACTTAACAGATCTTTACGAGTTACACAATTTTAGCGGTGACTACATTGGCCATTCTTTGTTCTCAAAAGTTGATCTAAAAAAACTAAATTTCTAAAACAGCGTACCCTCAATTTCAATTTCCGGAAAGAAAATTTGCAACATAGTATAGGGGTCTGCTGCATCTTTTTCATTTACTTCCTCTTCTACTTATGGTAAGTATTCTGTCTCTATCTCTCTCTGTTTACCCGTGTTCCAATCCTCTTCTCATTTGTAGCTTGCAATCTCTTGCATATCTACTTTTGTGTTTTACAGAGTTAAATTTGCAATTTGTTTGTTGAGTTGTTGTTCGCTTCAGATTTTGTAGTATTTTTATGAGCACTTAATCTCATGAATACGTCATGAAAGTTCATTTAGTATATTCTAGAAAGTTTGCATAAAAATGTTATTTTTCTGAGTAACCGTGTAGGGTGTTTGTGTTATGGTCTTGTAGTTTTGCTTTATGTTTTAATTTCAAACATGTTCTAAAATTATATAATTTATTTGTTATTAACATTCATCGAATAAACTCATAGAGAATTCTAGATTGGATCAGTTTGTTTTGACAAAAATGTGAATAATATTTAATGTGGTAATTTCTAGAGTCATAATCTCTTGGTTGATAACATAACTACTTATTTAGTTTGATGTGATTGCCTTATGTTAAAATTTGTAACATGATAATTTCAATTGATTAAAACACCAGGCACAACTATGTGCAGAAATTTAGACACAGAAGTGTATTTATTTAGTTATTTGTTCTTTTTAGGTAATTAAACTTAATTAATACTTGTGAAGTATTTACATTTTTTAAATATTTTTTTTTAAACATTTCTTGATTAGTAACTAACCATACAATAATTGTACGGTAATTACAGTATGTACGTATAATGAATAATAAATAATCAATTGATAAATAATTATTACGCTGCACACCCTGTATTAGTTATATATAGTAGTTAGTTTTAGTTGCACCGAAGTAGAGATTTTATATCTTATGGCAATGGTTGTTTGAATTTTAGTATGACAGTGTTCTTAATTGCATAAACACATTGCTAAATTTATCTACGTATTTGATTAGCTTTTATTTTTTATATATTTGTCCAATATAATATGATTCTGTATTATTTTTATATGTAAGAATAACTAAGTTATGTGAAATTTAAATGTATCTATTTTCTTATTAGGTTTTAAAAAAATGCATGGAGTTTATCGATATTTCTTTTGAGGCCTTTCAAATATTAAAGCATTTATAATGACCTTTCATGAGGAAAATATAAAATATATTACCTTATATTTAACATACTCCCTGGCAGATATTTCTTTGTTATATCTCTGCTTTTTCCAGTGGTTTTAATAGGTCTACATATTAATAATTTAATAGGTGATTGTTATTAAATTTCTATTGTGATTAGAACTTAAGGATTTCAATTATTTTTGTCAGAATTTGTTTTACTCAAAAAAAGTGTTATATTACAATTCTTACTCCATTTATCAAACCAAATATTAAGTGCTGTAACAAATTTGATATTTTGATTAAAGTTGGAGAACTTAAGATTATTTTATTTGTATGTGTCGTAATTCATTGTACTCATGGCACGCTATTACAATAATTTGTAATAGCATGTATAATGTTACCAACTTAGGTGTGTTACTAGCCTAGTGGTTAGCGTCTCGGACTTTGGTACGGGAGGGACGTGTTCAATTCCTGGCACATCCACAAAACTTAAGGGTTTGGGCCGCTTTCCCTTAAAAGCGTTAAATCTCATGTTGTCTTAAATTAAAATGACTCTACCGTAGAAAAAACACCATAGATTTACGATTTTACCAAATTGATGGTTTAAACCTCTTTCGCAAGCAACAAACGTAACCTGTTGATTTTTCAGGAGCAGCACGTCAACAGCGGCCACAGCGTTTGCGATTGCAACCTGCGGCAGCAGCAACCCTCGTGACCTGTCGCCTGTAACCAAAGCCCGAGACACTGGACAACGAGGCGGTAGTTGTCGCGACCGTGAACGCAACCGCCGCAAGGAGAGTGTAATGAGCACCGCTGCGACCATGCGAGTCCTCAACGTATTGAGACATTGGGTTTCCAAACACTCTCAGGTAGTTCAGCCATTACGTACGTTACAGTACAAATAGGCTAGGTTATTAACAGACTAACAAAAGTAGAGACGATATGGTAGTCCGCGTTTCACAGCGATTCTAGAACTATCCGTGTTTCTCTCGTAGACACAAAATAAAGATAAAGATTAACAAACTTATGAGATAATGTTTGGTTTGTTGTTCAGGACTTTGAGCAAGACAGCCGATTGAAGAACCTGACGATCGAGTTTCTAGACGACATCATGTACAGTCCCAACCTGTTGCCAGCGGAACACAAGGCAGCATCTCAGCTGTTACGACTCATTACCAAGGACGATCCTGAGAGCTCCAAGGTCGACCTGGACTTGCTGCTGGCTCCTCCGGTGGTAAGTGGGGAACTAAGGAAACTGGGAAAAGGGTTTGGATGTTTTGTTGTAATCCCCGGTACTTGCCTAGCCTAATCAGGAAGTTAGGGAAGCTAGTCGGTCTTGTGATAGTGGTCACATAAGTGTGGTGTACTTTTACGTTATTAAAAATTGTATGTTCTACTTGATTATACAGTAGAACCTTGCCAATTTGAATTTGGGAGGAAAGACAATATATTTTTAACCATAGGATGTTTGAAATATAGAGAGTTTGAATTATAGAGGTCAGTATGAATAAAATTTGAATTATGGATGTCCCAGTTTTCAGTATAGAGAGTTTGAGAGAATGGAGACTAATGATGAACACATCGTGGGAACATCAATAAGAGCGTCAGTTCATGTTTCAACAGGCGTATTTTTGTCCTGAATTCAAATTACAGAGGCTTACGGTAACGCAGTTCAAATTGTAGAGGTTGACTTCGAATTTTGGTTGTAACAGTTTGAATTACGGCAACAAAATTAGAATTGTAGAGGCTCAAGTATATTCAAATTCGAATTGTAGAGGCTGAATTAAGCGTAAAAATCACTTTGAATTATCTCTATATTATTCTCCAAATTTTAGAGGTTTTCTGAGGGGAACAGACAAACATTACTAATTATAGAGGTTTTCAAATTATCGAGGCTCAAATTAGCGAGGTTCTACTGTAGTTTTAATATTGAAACTAGATGGCTCGTCAAAATACTCTAAATTATATGAAAAAGGTTTAAATGTATAAAAGCCCAACACCTCTTGTGTTCCAGAGTTGAGGTCTTGTATGAAATCTAATGGGTTTTATCTGTTTCAGACTCCAAGTAAGGAAAGCATTGAAACTCTCTCTGCGTTGGAAATAGCTGAACAAATGACGTATTTGGATCATCAGATATTTGTGGCTATTAGAAGCGAGTAAGTATTTGTAAATTTTTCAATTTTAAAGCGGTTTTCTTTGTTGAGCTTTTGAACATTCATGCTTAGCTGATAAAGACACATTCTTAATTGTAAAACAAATTATGAAAGTGTCACTATTAATTGGGTGAAAATAATTCTAATTAATGTGTTTGTGTTTGTGTTTAGTGGTTGTACTATTTTATTTTAATTAAAACTGTTTTCATCAGGGAGTTCCTCGGCCAAGCTTGGATGAAGACTGACAAAGCAACCAAAGCTCCTCATATCATTCTGATGACCAGACGCTTCAATGAGGTAATATAGCACTGTTAATCAGCTGTTCATAACCCGATCAGCTGTTTGAGTTGTTTGTCACACTGACTAGCTGTTTAGGCCTTTATCGTTGTCCTTTCTCTTGCGCTGCCTTCATTGACTTTTATCCTGGCCATATCTTTATTCACCTCATCCTTCCATCTTTACTTCAATCTCCCTCGAGGTCTTCTCCCCATCGGATCACAATTCCACACTTGATATAGTGTTTGTTTTATTTCTTCTAATGATGTGGTTCTTTCCATCAAAGTGTCTTGCTTTTAGCATCTGCAATTACATTGGACTCCTTGAAAAGGTCACTTAGTTCTTGACTATGTTTAATGCTCCATGTAATTTATTTATTTATTCCAACGGTTTCTCCATGAAAAGATTTTGTCATTACTGACCCCAAACACCAATATCAATTCACTAAATGATAATGCCATGCTGTGGTGGGGAGCTGACCTTAAGTCAGTAATCCGCATAACTAGGACGGAAAACATAGATAGCTTTGACAAGTTGAACTCTTGCTGTACTGTTATCTTACTTAAAGTCACTTAGTTTATTTTTGTCAACTCTATGTACAGGTATCCCAGCTGGTAGTGTCTGAGATTGTCCGAAGATCCAACATCAACGCTCGTATCAACGCTATTGAGAAGTGGGCCGCAGTCGCGGATATATCACGGTGCCTCCACAACTTTAACGGAGTGTTGCAGATCTGCGCAGCCTTCACCAACAGTTCTGTGTTCCGGCTGAAGAAGACTTGGGAGAAAGTCTCTAAAACTGTAAGCTTTTAGTTTTCAGAACAGTTATTGTTATTACGGATTAAGTGTTAGTATTATGGCTGGTTAGGTGGATAACCATCTATAAAGCTTATAAAGCTAATAAAGCACAGGTTTTGATTTTGAAAGTCAGAGCTTAAATTCAATTTTTTTTTACTATTCGGCCTTAGTATTGGTTTATATGTTTCTGATACGCCTTATATGACTCAGTGGGCTTAGCCCTGTTAATGTTTTCTCATTTCTAAATGTCTAGTTTTATGCGCTATCACTTTGGAGAGGCACAAAAGTTATAAGGTTTGATGTATAAAATGAATATAATGTCCATTCAAATTGTGTTTCATAAAACAGCATTCCGTTGAAATAGTATGTAACGATGTTGTAATATTCCCAAATAATTAACAGTCTTTCTTACAATCAAATTCAAGTAAACATATCAAGAATGTTTTTACTCAAATTAAATTAATTTAAAATGTAGTGCCCAGAGCTTTTGTTCCTACATAAAACCATCACTTGTGTTTGGTTCCAACTGTTATGTGAGTTTTTTTCATTTCAGACAAAACAGACAATTGAGAAGTTGCAGAACATAGTTTCCTCCGACGGGCGTTTCCGCAACCTTCGCGATGCTCTTCACCGTTGCGATCCTCCCTCCATACCCTACCTGGGCATGTACCTCACCGACCTCTCCTTCATTGAGGAGGGAACCCCCAACTTCACTGAAGATGGTCTACTCAACTTCTCTAAGATGAGAATGGTGAGTAAATCATTTCAGTTGTTCATCATTTCACTTAATCTGCAGGTTTGCTGTGGTGGTTTTTTTAACATTTTTACATTGTAAATTGAGGAAGTTGTAACATAAGATTAAACTTCGACTATGAAGAGAATTAAACATCTTACTTTCATGTTAAGGGATTTAAATCCTGTTTAGAATAATGTTAGGTTAGGTTAAAAGAACATAACCTATAACAGCAAGTTATGAGATTAGATTAGATCGAGTTATGAATGCAATCTATCGATTTAATTAATATTAATGGGGAAAATCACTTCCAAATTTGTAAATCTAGGCAACAATAACTTATAAAATACCACCAAAGAATTCTTAGGTAGTATTATCTGTATCTATAATATACGTAATTATTGGAATGGTGTTTTGTTGAGTACAAATTTAATGGTATAGTATATCTGTATATCGGAAAAGTCCAAAAATTGGCTTCCGCTCATCCAAACAGATGACTGCTTCAGTATCGTTAAATCAATTCTAATACCAACTGATTGTTACAGATCGCACACGTTATCAGAGAGATAAAACACTACCAACAGACTCCGTACAAGATTGAGCTGATCACCAAAGTCACCAACTACCTGCTCGACCCTTCGCTACTGCTGGACGACGACGAGCTGTACAGAATGTCGCTGGAGATTGAACCACGAACGTCACGACTCAGCGTAGCCAACATCGCTACTACCATGCCTACACCGCCCCCCAGGCCTTGAGACAACGCCTCCTTTAAAAGGTTCAAGTTCAAAGTGTAAAGCTAAGCTTCAGGAAGAGATGTTGTTGTTGGAGTTGTCAAATGTTTATTTGTTTAGAACGGTTTAGTATATTTTTATAGCGTAGAAAAAGGGCTGCTGTAGATTCTCTTCTGAAGCGGCAAATTTAGTCTATTCAACATAGTAAGCTAGTTTCACAGATAATTGCAAATTGTAAATTGGAGCACAATCAATTGTTAGATCTCCTAGGATCGTAGAGTAGCTGTATTATACGGTAGCTGTTAAACAATCATTGAAATTGTTCAAGTTTTTGCGAGTAAAGTTCACACACAGATATTGTTAGTGTTGAGAAAATCAATTGCGCAAAGACGTAGGTTATATTGTTAGCAAATTTGTTTGTACACAAACAAGCATTTTACTTGTGTTAAAAAGATTATTTAAAAACAAATTTTTTGGTAATATTGACAATATTTATAACCTGAATGTAACCTTAAGTCAAAAAGTTAAAGAAACCGTATTTCCTCTTGTTTCAAACAATCTTTTCAGTACAACACACTTCTAATCTGAAATCACTTAGAAAAGTTGTTTAAACTGCTGATACCATAAAAACTTCTTTAATTCCAATTGAACAAAACCATTTCTTTTACACTTTTTATGATAATTTTCTCAGTTGAGTAGATCCAGTGCTCGATTTGCAGGGGAAAGCGGTGGAACGGTGTTCCGGTACCTCTCTTTTGAAAAGATAAAATTAGTGGCATAAATAGGTACTAATCACATTAAATAGGTTCCAGTTCCGGCAAATCACAGCAAATCAAGCACTTATTAGTAGATCTCAAATAAACTAAGTGATGTGAATATTTTTTAATTATTTACACACGATATCTGAATGAATATTCCCAACTAACTGAAACTGCATATTTCCATCCATACCATTTTACATAAAAAGCATCCTTAATAAATCTGGATTATTTTCAATTTTAGCAAATTTCCTTAAGTGTTTACCGAAGGTGTTGTGAAGAAGACAATTTGTTGGAATTGTAACTGTGTTGCTCTTCTTCCATAAACAATGTAGGTATAAGTTTAAAAATCGATAAAAACTCACAAAACTATACTCTTTAGCCTTATTTTCAACTCAACAGTGTTTTAAAACATTTTCACTTCAATGGTTTTAACAAAATAAATCATACTTTCTTAATGCCTTGATTTAGTTCATACTGTCATTTCAGAAGTGATTATAGTTTTGAAAACTTTATTTTATTGTATAGGTTTCAATCTGGAAAGTAACAATGTCACTTTGGTCTAATAACAACTACGGTAAAAACTTCTTCCCTGGGGAAATTTACTAAAATACACAATATTCCTCTAAATAAGCAAACAAAGTTATTATCTTCAGATCTCAATATTGCTGTGATGTCTGTGTGTTTATCTTTACTCAATATTTAGAATTATAATGGACTTTCTCAGAAATCTCATCTAAGTAGTGAGTAGTAACTTTAGACATTTAAAAATAATCTGAGAAAACAAATACAGTATCCCTGGTATAAGCTTTTGACTGCCATTTTAAAATATTGTCTAAGCTTATATTCTAGATCACATATCTATAGACTTTATTTTCAAGCAATTTAAGACATATAATTTCGACTGTGATAATGAAATCTGATTGATCTCCTTAGTTTTTACAAATGAGTTACTTTAGTTGTGTATCAAGTAATTTAAACTGTGTTTGTACCTACCTAAAAAAACCTCGTTTAGTACTCTTAGTTATTTGTTTTGTGGAAAATGTTTTAAGTCACAATGATAATAATTGTGATTTTCTAAAATTATTTTTTATTCATACTTTAAGATTGTTTTCTTTATTTTCCTTTGTACAGCGATCCATTTATACAGACATTTAAAAAAGAAGATTTGTTAAGTCTGTTGCATACCGATTATATTTTTCATCTTAAGTATTGGTATTTATAATGTTTTTTCTTTGAAATACTAATTTGTCTCTAATCAGCAATACACTCGTTCTGACCTTTTAAATCAGTTTAATCTTACAAGACTGTCCACTTATTATACTGCCTGATATGTAAAAGCTTTAATGATTATTCCATATAATTTCCTATCGGGCTAAGATTGTTTTCACTTTAAGTGTCAAAACACACTCAGGTAATTAACTTGTTGTTCAAATCAGTTAAATAAAAGTATACAAATAATTATTCCAACTGGTTTAGGTTTTATCTACTTTCGTTTTAGTTTTGAATTTATGGTTTTAATTGTTACTTGATATAGGTGATGAGGATGTTTTTACCTGAATTAACCTAAGGCACACTTGATTGTAGTATTTACACTGTTAAATTGCAGAAGTTTTTTTAGTGGTGAGTTAGTGGGGGAAGCTCTTTAAAAAAATACATATTTCTAGCTTCATATTCAATAAGGGAGAATATTGCAATCTTACAGCATTTCTCTGATTGAAATTTAATTTTACATCAAATATAGAAAGAAAGCAAAAATGAATAGAATATATACCTATTTCCAAAAAAACTAATCTTTTCTTTTGTGATTAATCAGTATTCCAACTAGTTCTTTTAATGTTATCGATATTTTCATTTTATTATTTTTTTTACGGCATAACAATCATAAATTTGTATTTTCAACAATAAATTACATAGTTTAGAAATGTATACACAGTTTTTAATTAAGCCTGTCAAACCGAACATGTTTTTCTTTTCAAAATTAAAATCACTTTCAAATGTCTTAACAACCTCAACGAAACTGTGCTCTTGAACCTTTTAGAGGAGTAAAAAGACTTAAAGATCGATGAAATAAGTTTAATTCAGCTTTTCATTCGACTTTTTCCTGTAAAAACTGTATTTTTCTCTGTGGTAAATTCGTATGTACAATACTTACAAAGTCAAGTCTATATTTTTATAATTGCGATCGTTTTCGCTCTGGTTTTCGGAGTGTACAAGAATGGAGATACGTATTTGTGCTTTTAAACCAGATATATATGTGTCAACCCGTTTGTTAGTAAATAAATACACTATTCAGGTATTGTATATAAACTATATTTTGTTAGGATTACGTTATTTCGGTTTCCGATGCATTATATCGTTGAGATTGTAAATTAATATGGACATATCAACCCGGTGTATTACTTCTGGAGGTTGCTCAAACTTGAGGTTCATATCACTGTAGATAAGCTATAGTCAATGTTCTCCTTGAAATGTACATACTTCGTATGAGATACAGAGTGTTACTATATGTTGTGGTCTTAGGTTTGGTTCAGTTTTGAATTACAAATTTTAACTGTATTCCACACTGTGAAAAGCAATAACTTGTGTTTTTATGTTGAATAACGAGCCCCAAATCCGCTTTATGATTTCAAAAACCGAATTCATAATATTGTAAAATGTATGTGTCTCATGATTTTTAACTATGTTGTAGAATTTCGTTCAAGCACCAATTCCAAATCTGTAACCGGACTGACGCAACTATTTTGATCATTGAAAGAGCTATTTTGTAAATGTAAATCAGTTTTTACAAAGTAATGTCATTTTGAACTAAATTTAGTCTTGGTAAAAAAAAAAATATTAACTTATAGCCTAATCGACAACTTTAAGACTACTAAATATTAAAATAAATAAGTATTTACTGTTTGGTTTAATCAGCACTTCTTGTTTTGTTAAAAATAAATTTAGATACAGATCAGTGAATCACAATCAAATAGCCAAAACATGTTAGTAAAAAATAGTTTATGTAAATCATTATTTTTACTATGTGTAAATTATAATTTCAACTGTTAAATCGTTACAATCAATTTACAGGGTATTGTTGTGTGAGTTATCTACATACTTTGTAACTGTCAAATTAATTATCTGTAGAAAGTTAATGTTTTAACCAAGTCGGCACATAGTATTATTTAGTGATATCAACCTACAGCATTGTTGACTGGGCAAGTAAACTTTGTGCAGCGTAGATAGTATTTAGTCTATTTCCCGGGTTTTTCTGCAAACTTTGCTGTCTTGCACATGCCTACATTGCGTAACTCTACTAAGCATTTTCATTGAGGTCACAGTAAAACAGATTACCAATCCTATCTTCAGTTATTAGAATAAGAGTTTTAACATAAAACAGACTTGTTATTGAAAGAAATAACTTAAGTTCATACACATGGGAGAATTATTTGTTGTATAATTGATAAATGACAATTATTAGTGATTGTTATGTATAATGTAAGGATTATTTAGTTCTATGTTGACATATTAATGATTGTCTTGGGTGTTTGTACTTATTGTAATTTGTATTTTCAATATCACCATAAATTCTCGGTTAGTGGTGAACTAATATGAATTGTGTTGTAAAATATCAAACTAAAGAAGTTTTTGGCTTTTGAAATAAGTATTTAATAGATAAGAATAATCCAACATTTTCAACCTAAAATATTTCAATTATATTTTTTACTTTGAGGGCAATCTTCTCCAGCTTAATCTTTCTGGAATCAAATACTCAGGCAGTTTTAATGTGTAATGTTTTGTTTTAAAAAATGAGATGGAAATTAATTAAGGCATGGTTAAAAAAGTGTTAACATATGTTTTTATTTAAGTACCAAGTGTATAAAACAAAAATGGAGATTAGAAAATAAATCTAAAATCACAGTTGTAGGGAAGGTTCATTAAAAAAGTACAAAAAGACCAAGTGTACCTGATATAGTCTTTTGGTACTCACATTTTTTTTAACTTTAAAAATTTGATTGTAAGACAATCTGTAAAACGCTAATCATCAGTATCTTCTAAAATTCTTAAAAAACTATTTTTTCATGCAAATTTTACATTATAATTTTTTGCAAAAATTTTCCCAAACAGTTACATAAATTATGAACTCAACTTCTTTATTGGTCACAAAACATTTCTTTTGGTTAAAACTAAGTTGGTGAAATGGGTGATAAGACTAACTCGTGTCAATAACAATGTTTGAGGATTTTTTCACATAATAATGCCTGACTATTTTTTTCGCATAAGAAGCTTGACGATTTTGCTGGGGTAGTTGGGGAGCGGCTGGTCTAGTGGTCGAGCTCGGTGCTTTGGAGCCCATAGTCCCGGGTTCAAATCCCGCCAATCACCAATGGATCTTATCTGTGTGATAATGCCGCAACCTTCTAGGACTAGCCTGAAGTAATGTGTAAAACAGTTTCGGGCTAGAACCTAGCGTTCTAGGATGTGTTGGTGGGACATAACTAAAATATTGTCGCTGGAGTAGATTGCTTTCTTGTGGAGTTAAATGAGAACTTATTGAAGATCTCTTCACCACCGCAACTGCCATTCCCTAATCATCTACATATTAGGTATACTGTACTGTTGTTTCTTAGAATGTTGGCTATTTCAGACTCATTTTATTAAATACCACAAAGAAGTAAGGTACAGAGGAAACACGCTTGTGAAAAACTTGCGCTTTCAGCTCTAGAATTTTGTGCCGGTAATATACTTGTGACGAGTTAGGTAGATCCCGAGTGGAAATTCCTATCGCACAAGGCACAGGGTCTTCCTACATACGATGGCAAGGGGGTGGTTTTGGAGTTTGCCCTAGACATCAGCTGCCAGTGCTAGACACCACTAAGGTGTACCATTAAACGTTTCCTCTGTACCTTACGTCTCTGTGTAAATACTAAGGCGATTAAAATATTTTTGGTAAAAAGAGCTTTTTTCTGTAGCCTACGATATTAAAAATTCTTTTGACAAACAGCAGTTAGATCTTAATCAATATATCATAAAAAGTATTCCCAATATTCTCTTCCCTGTACAAAATATATCTTCTAAACGTAAATTATTTAAATTTTAATTGATTGCAAAACTAAATGTGTTAAAGAATTTAAAACTTTAAGAAATCTATGTTAGATGATCTTCTGATTTACAGAATGAATATTACTAAGTCAGTACTCTATAATCTTATCTACTGAAAATATGTGAATTATTATTTTGTATAAGTTTTTACTGGGTGTTTGGTGTGCGTGAGGGTTACTCTGAATTACTCGGTGTCGATTGTGTATATTTGCAATAATTGTTTAAAATAGGCCTTGGACAAAATCGAAAACAAGGCATATTAAAAAAATTCTGGAATCCTTCGTACTGCTAAGTTCCTAAATGTGTAGTAAAATTAAAATTATTTTAGGTATTGAATATTTCCAATGGTTTATATTTTGAACTGTGTGAAATTGAGTGTATATGTAAACTACTCACATATTTATTTGTAAATCTGTTAAGGTTACCAGTAGAAACTTATCATTCTCGTAGTTTTAAAGAGAGTTTTAGGTATAAAACCATGATTAAGCATCATCGGGCTGTACAACTGTAGAAACAAGAGTTTTTTATTGCACTATGTACAAAGTGAGATTTTCTAGTTTTTTAGTGATCGCAACTTATTTTCGAATCTCTAGGCTAAGAGCAACAGGCCCCGCCTAGTTAGTCGGGCGTTCCTATGTGTTATCGTCATACGCTTACGTTTCTCTCGGAGACATATTCTTCTCGAACGACAAATGTGACAATCTTAAATAGAATAACGGTTAGATTCTATTAGCATTGATTCGATAGTTGATGCCTTGATATGATGTCACATTTGAACAGGGATTTCCTTCTCATGTTGTACATATCGGGTTCTTCTGAGGATCCTGTACCATAGAGCTTTAACGAGATTGAAGTTTGAATTTTGTATTTCCCTCTATATAAATATATATGTGATATATCTCTTTCAAATATACTTTATTCTTCTGTAAATTGTGGTTTATTATTCAAAGGCATTTAATAACCTTGGTTAACCTCCTTCCCTTATGTATTAATCCCAATACATATGCACTATGATAAAAAATGTGTTTGTTAGTAAAGGAAAGTATATTACAATCTTGGACAGAAAATAAATCACAATTCAATCCTCCATGCTGCTGTTTATTCAACAAATTTACAAAAGCGCAACATAGACAAACGCTTGATTGAACACAAAAGCCTTCATGTGGTCTCCAAGAACTAAGTAAATATGTTTAAGAAATTGTATCGATTCCACAATCCTTCAAAGACCCCTGTTCTAATTTAATTTAAAACAGTGCAGTATATAACTTAATTAAACTCATTCTACTTCAAACTCCACAACATTTTCAAACAAAAGCAAATCTCTTAAATCTTAAAACTAAATATATATTTTTAATATATTACTATTTCCAAAATTAGCACAATAAATATCTAAAATCATTAACCTGTAACGTATAAGTTACATAAACAACAAGATAATCAACAAAACATTCCGTAGAAAGTAGACAAAACATTTCTTAAATTCTACATATAATACACAGATTGCATTGCTAATTTAAACTAACCTATAAAATACTTAAAATAAGATCATAAAACTAGTGGAATGAAGAGATTAAAATACAGTGAATTAAAACTTGTTTATACTCTTACGAGTCCAATTAAAATAATCAAAAAATAAAATCGGTGAGTGGCATTTGATGCATCTTTCGATAGATTAAAAAGTGTATATAAATGTATGGACAACAATACTAAAATCATGCATGGTAAGTTAATTAATTATTTAAAAAAAACTTATATTTCCATTACAGAAGGTATGATATTATTTATTCAATCAGAACATATTTACCAATCCTAGTGCAATTAAAACTAACAAATGCAATTGTAAGAATATCATTTCAGTGATTACAATAATATAGATAATCTGAACATAATAAAAATATACAGTAGGCCTAAAACAATATACATCATATCATGATTCTACAAAAACAGAGTAAATTACAGAAAAATAGTTGCATAATATTTATTTCTTCACGCTAAAAATTTGTTATTGAACATTTTTAAAAAATTGAAATTATCTGTGTGCAAATTGCATATTCCAATAGAGTTTTGCATTGCAAAACAAAAGTACAATATCCTTTTACCTATCAAAGATTATGCTCGTTTCAGACAGTTAGCGAACTATAGAAATAAACCAAATGCTAGGGGGGCGAAGACCTAAAGGACCTTTTAAGTTACAATTCTTGATATAGTCACTCCACTAGATCAAGTTTTGCAATGACACCTCAATTGTAAAAACAGGTAGGACAGGTGAAAAAAGGATGTTACAAAAAAAAACCCTTATTGTATCATGTAGACTAATCTGTTCTTAAATATTCCTCAATATTCAAAGTTTAAGTTACATCTTTGACTATTTTATTGGGCCTGTTTAACAGATTCATTTTCTGATACATAATAATTGTAACAACTTGTCATCAAATTTTTATTTTGTACAAAATAACAATTGAATAATTTTTAACAATAACCAAACTTTACTCAGTTGATTTTAAATTTTCATAATATTCACAGATCACTTTTCAAAAGTTTTAATAAGATGATTATTGTTTTAATGATATATCAAGCCTATATGAATAATTTATTTTCATTCTTGCTTTAAATCTGAAAACAAATTATCGAAAGGTCAACTTCAATCTCATAACAAGAAATTGTCAAGAAAGTACAGTTTTGTAAAACTGATAACCGGTGTTTCATTAATAAAAAAAAAATACATCAATTATTTTTTACTTTTCATTTGAGTTGTATTTTTCTTGTTTTGTTAAAAAAAAAACACCTTGGTTCTCAATCAAACAGGGAACTATACAATGTTTCTTGTTCATAGATGATAATCATTTTAAGAAGCTCCAGCACATGTGTCTTTAGGCTGTCATTTTTTACTTATTACCAAATTTCTTGCATCGTCTTTGAAGCAGTTCTCGCTCTGAAGCTGTGTAATTTGTCAACTGTTGCTTCCAAACAACAGCCACTGTGGGTTTATTCCAATTTGCGCTGCTGGCTCCATCCATGCCTCCCATCAAACATGTTACAAATAATCTGCAATTTCTCATTGTACCTCACGTTCTTCACCGTGGATAAAGACCCAGGTTGGCAAACGATCGAGGATGTCTTAACTTAATCGAAATATACATATAAAAATATAAAAAAATATATATCTGTAACATAAAATAAAGCTCGATGATTTCCCGAAGATTTGGAAGGTGACAACTAACCCGAACAAGCTAACCGGACCCAAAAAAACCAACAGCAGCAAAGAAGAGAAGAGAATCACTCAGGGAGTTCCACGATGAATTTCCGCTCCTCCGGAGGGTTTCGAGTCTTGTTATGCGACGCGATGATAGGTTGAGTCGCTGCTTCCTGACGCGGGATCTTTGGAGGGGGCCACGTGTCGTCGATGTCCGGTACAATGTAGGATTTGGTGCGTTTCCTGCCGACAGTGTAAGCCTGAGAGTAATCGTGGTCGTCTTGTTGCGGTTTGTTGAACTGCAAAAGCTCCTCCAAGTCAGCCAGTAATTTCTTATTGTCAACTTCTTCCCCTCCAGACGGACCCTGATCCACAGGCGTCTGATCTGCCGGTTTTGAAAAAAGTAACGTTCTTGAACGACCTGAAAGAAGTCGGTTCATTACATTTCTAAGGTAATATTAATTAGAGCTTTTGACTAATGAATAAAGGTGGTATTTGTTAAACTCTTTTGGACAGAATATTTCATATCATCAACAGTTTCTCGACCATCTGATTTTCATGGTGTTGAGGATTGGACAATCCTCCATTATTATTGTATAAAGTGCAAACTTCACGGCTCATTTACATAAGGCATAAGGTTTTCATGGTTAGGACTAGCATATATGTTAATGTTTTGAACTTTGGGGCAAGTTACACGTTTAATCCCTGTCATAGTGGTGTTACAAAAATTATAGATTCCAGCTGCTTTCCCTTAGACATATTTCAACGTAAATCATCTGTTTGCATCATAGACGATAATAAAAGTACTAATACATAATACTATTACACCAACCCACCTGCTAGTGGAGTGTGAGTATTGGATGGCAAGTCAAGGTCGTTATCAGTCGCAGGTCTGGACTGAGAGTTGCGTAGGTTTGGAGCCATGACCAGGGCCAGACTCAGCACCAACACCATGAGACAAGTGGCTGGCTGTGTCGTTTGCGCAGAGCCACGCACCACAGCAGCTTGTAGTCTGCGCAGCTGCGTGCACAGTGACTGGTTCTGCGTTTGCAGCACCTTTAGTCTGCGTAGCAGCGACAGGTTCTCCTCAGTGCACTGCTTCACTCTGCACAACAGACGACATTTTAAATACTTTGTTAATATTGTTTAAATGTTCCATGTGCGTAAATAGTTTGTATGTGCGTTTTTATTTGATTTAAGATGGTGAAAAAGTGTTCAAAAATTAACAATGGTTTGATAACAAGGCAATCTAATTATTGACACTAATGGTCATCAAAGGAACTGTAAGGATTGGCGACGTAAAAGGTAATTAAGTCTAATTTGTTTTGTAAAGCTCACAAATTACCAAAGAATTTTAGATGCACTAGACGATTCCAACATAAAACATAGCTGACCTCAGAAGGAATAGCTTAAAGAGTCAAATCTATATTAAACTCTTTAAAGTAGTAAATTATTATTTTAGAAAAATCAATCAACAGTCCTCTTAAATGTCTTCAACTTTTTAAGCTCTTGTAGAGGATGAAAGTTATTGAAAAACTTAGCGTTACTAAACAATGGCTATTGAATAATGATTTACTTAGTCAACTATTATGACAAACTGTCAAAGAGCTTAGCCTCACCTTTCTTCCAGCCCGTCCACGTACTCCTTCTTCCTCTTCCTTGAGTCTTGGGCAGAGATCTTGTTGCGGATTTTCCTCCTGATCCTCTTCAACTCCCGTTCCTCGTGCTTGGTCAGAGGATAATGCGTCGGAAGAGTTATGCCTTCCTTGACCATCAGTCGTTTTTCTTCCGCTGCAAGAAAATTTGTTATCATTCGTTTACTTTTAGTAACTCTTGGAATTTGGAATGTATGTAGAGACCTTTCAGGAGTCTAACAAAAATATAACCTCAATATTTTTATCTAGTAATTTTTACATATTTTAATACTTTCATTTCACTACGCAAACTTTAAAGCCCCAAAAAACATAAATAAAGATCTTACTATCTTTTGACGAATTTACATCCGCTGCGAGGTTTCTGAGAAATAAGATTTGTTGGTGCGGTTTCAGCTAGTCTGATTTCTGGCGAAGTTGTCTAAGACTTAGGTCTTGTCATCTAGGAGACAACATCCTAGAAGAGAGTTCTAATCCCATCTAAGTCCCATCTGATTTGCGACTCATGTGTCCACCGGTCTGTAGTAGACCTTGGTCGGAGTGGCCTAACATGATAATGGTGGTGATGTGGATGGTTGACAAGATGAGTGAATTTTTCATGAGTTGAACCTCAAAACAGGATTTGTGATATTTTTCTTATCAAACTGTGTGTGTCCACCAAAAAACTTGTAAAATAATTTGGATGTCTGTATTTATCAGGACGAGGAAAATCATTGAAAAAAAGGCATTTGCTCCTTTATTATTGATTAAATGGGCACAATCTTGTTTTAATTTGGTTGTTATCATGTTAGGTTTTTTGCAAGCAGTTTTATACTCACAATTAAGTGCTAGAAAAGGAAATTCTATCTTGAAATATGCCAGATTTAAGTAGAGACCTTTCAGGGTTCTAACAAAAATATAATCTCAATATCTTTACCTACTCATTTTTACATATTTTAATACTTTCATTTCACTACGCAAACTTTAAAGCCTAAAAGAAAACATAAATAATCTTACTATCCCATTCTACGAAGTTCTATTTAATCTTTGTGCTGCCCCAGACGGACTATTTGAAGGTCAAAAAAGTCTATTAGTTTTTTAAACTCTATTGAGATAACTCATCTCAAACATGAAGAAAAAGAAGAGATTTCGGTTTCAAAAGAGCAGAAAAAGCTAAGTCAACAAACCAGTTATCAAACAAGTCAAGGTCAAACTACAGCTGTGTCACTATCTAATCACTGATGATTAGTGAACTGTTTCTCCAAACACCTGACTAAGCTCATTATAGCTTACAACTTTTCAGTTCAAACATTGATCAAGCATTCCATATTATCAGTAGTAATTTAAAAATAACTTAATAAATTCATTCCCATTCACTTATAGTGAACAATTTTTGATTCTTAGAAAATAACTGATGATTTTGAAGAAACAGATTCAATCTCTAATATTTTTCAACGAGAGTTATGTCAAAACAATGTTTGCTTAAAACGCAGTCACACATCAAAATATCACGTAAAAATACACTTTTTCACAGGATTAACAATTTGTATGCTAACATATCTTGTTTATAAGTGGGGCTAGTAAGAAAATGTTTGTAAGATATTAGCAGCTGAAATAGTGATCTTTGGCCATAAAAAACTCTACTTGTAGTAGGTGGTTTAGAGGTAGATTACAGAAAAGTAAAGAAAGTAGTAAGTTTTTTTATGGTTCAAAACTGGACCAGCTGTTCTTCATTGTTGAGCTTTCTGTTGGTTAAAGAAACATCTGATTTTAGTCACTAACAACACCACTATCTCATTCATTTAATACTCAACTTCGCCTTAAAACTCAACAGAATGTTGTGTCAATGTTTCATAATAATTTAATAATCCACTGTGTGGAATAGCCTCTACAATTTATTTTTTAATTTTAACAAATACATACTGGTAATTTATCTAGTTTTAAAGCCTATCCTTTTTTCTGATTTTGAAGGGAAAAAAACTGTGCCCTAAAAACTCATTAGGCTACTTAGAATGCCTTTAACAACAAGTGTCTGCAAATGGTATAGGCTAGTAGACATCTCGTGACTTTTCAAGCTTTTAAAGGTTCATCACCTACAAACCACTAAACGTTAAACCCTCACCAGACAGCTGCAGCCTGGGGTAGACGGTTTCCCTCTCGTCATCGCCAGCCTCGGAAGCAGTTTCCTTCTCGTCACTGATGGATGTGATGACCGCGGAGTTGTTGAGCAGTTGCTTGGCCCGAGCGTTCAGGCTGGCTTGAGTTTTGGAGCCTGCGTTGATGATCTTGATGGTCCGGACACCAGCCACGCCGTTCACTGGTATGAGGATTGACCGTGGGTTGTTGGACTGTAGAGGTGTCACTCGGATCACCCTGCGAGGAGCTGGGGCAGCTACAGGCTTCACACGGACCATAGGAGGCGGGTTGACAACTGATTGCATTTTGGGTATATCTAAAAATCAGACAAAACTTATTCTTTCTGAAAATCAGGTAGGGTAATGTAGGGTGAGTGCACCAGTGAATGACCGTTTAAGGTTGACTTTCTACTTGTAAACGACATGGGAAAATATACTACTAAGCTACATTGTTCGAAATCGTCTAAATATATTGCCCATATTTCCCTGTACTTCCCGATGATACTACTTAATGTATTATGTTCAAAAAAAGTATCGAAAATACAATTTATTTGCACATAAATCACTGCACCAGTGAATGACCGCATATTACATAACAATTTTAAAATTGTATTAAACCTCCTCCTTTTTATCGAATAACCCCCGTTCAAGATTTTTGCATGGAAGCTGAAAACCCTGTAGTGAAAAATAACGATATCAGGGTTATTAAAATATAGGTTCCAGTGAAAGATCACTTTTTATCTAGGAAATGACCGTAAGATTTAACTCGCATTCAAACTTTGGTTATAGTGTATCCACATAATTTCTAACAAAAATTTTTGTTTCCTAGCAATCGCTTACTCAATCAGAAAACATTGTCATCAATATCAATAAAGAAAATAAACCCAAATCGGTCAATTAACCGAAACGGTCATTCACTGGTTATTCCCTAATTTCTGAACCAGTAATTGACCGGCAGTTTAAATATACAATTGGTTTGGATTTTTATCTTAAAATGAGTACAGATTTGTACCTTAACATGTTAACTATGAATTGCATGTAATATATTAGAGTTCCAATCAATAATTAAGGAGCCGTGACAAATTACAACCAACCATGTTTGTGCGAGACGCCATAGTGGGAAGCTTAGAAACGAACTGCTTGAAACATCTAATTTTGTTTATGTTACAAAAGGACGATTGACACTTTCTTTTTGAATCAGTCAAAGAGTGAATTTTAATAAGGCCCCAAAGTTACTTTTAAACACGTTTGTAATGGACTAGGGAATACAGAAAGCCTGATATGAGGTTTTTTATACAAAACGGTCATTCACTGGGGGGTGGTCATTCACTGGTGCACTCACCCTACTTCAAATTCTAAAAATCAAGTATTGGTGGGGCACATCAATAATATGACACGAACCACTCCAAAGACCTTAGTTGTGTAGGTAAGTGTAACTGTGGGAGACTATGGAAATTAATTTATGTAATTTCAACAATCTTCAGAAAGAGCAACATTTTAGTGCCTTGCACAAAACTGTCCTTATTGTTTTTCTATTGAGCAAAAAGAAGCCACATGTTATTTAGAACCAGCAAATTTTAATATTCTGATGATATATTTTCTTGAGTACAAGCTAATAGTTATTTAATAATAATAGGTTAAATACCTAAATAGTAGGTATGGTATAGGTGGTGGTAGTAGGTATGGTAGGTAGGTGGTTAAATAGGTTAATAGTTATTTCTCAACTGTACTCAAATAGTTGTAAAAAGTTTCCTAGTGTCAACACAATGTACTCAAATAGTTGTAAAAAGTTTCTAGGGTCAACACAATGTTATGTTAGTAAACGTTTAGAGTCGTGGAGATGAGGTGTACAAACATTAGGTAAATTCTCAAGTTTTTAATTCGGAAAGATTTCTTCTAGGTTGAAATACTAACTAAACTAAATGATAAAACATATGCCTACTCAGTGTGACGACATGTTGGTCTTCCTCTTGCTTTACATCATCTACAGTCTCCATCGGCATCTCCAGGTTGGAGTCATCGTCTATCTCCACCACTTCCTCCTTGATCACGGGATCAGTGTAGACTTCCTCCTCAATCACTACTTCCTCTACTTCCTCAACATCGTCCATATCCTGCACCCTCGGAGACATCTGCTGGTCACATGACACACCTGCAACCGATCAAACCTAGATCAAGGGCCGCCTGGGTTTTAAACAATATTGTGAGGATAGTAGGCTCAACTTGCAACATTGAATTCAGGTTGAATGAGATGGGAGTCCAATTTGGCACAAGAAACACAAAATTACAATATTTCAATGTCACAGACAGTACTTTCAACCGAGGAATTGAGAGCTAGTTATTTTACTGGTTACGTTGCAATTACTTTCACTGCCAGCAAGGATAAATTTCACACCTATTGCCCTGCCCCTCAGAATACTAGCAGCTCTGACCAAAAGCCAGGGGTTTAAGGTTTAACACACAAAAACCTGTGATGACTAAGTTAGGGAGGTAGGCAGGCCTACTACCTAGCTATTTATTAATTCTTCTCAGGAAAGATCCCGCCTTATAGCTACCTACTGAGTTATAAGCAACATAGGGCAATATTCTTAAGCGGAACTAGCTGCCAAGCTGATACACAGAGAAAAGTGCTACTTTCCACACTACAACAGATGATGTAACAGTTTTGGTATGTTTGTTTCAATGACATCAGGCAATAAAACTACGAGATTGTGCCTTCTGGAGCATAGATTTTAAATTATATAGGCCTAATCTATCTCATTATAATAGCATTGGCTGTTAAGATGCATAGATTAGGCTTAGCCTGACTTACTGGTAAATGGTTACCTACTAACTACTACAAAAATAGTACCGTAGGCCTAAGATGCAAGATGGAAACCCCTTACAATATGTTAGCCTACAAGTCAAATTATTTGTTACTATGTAGGTACACTGTAAGTAACCAGTAGCCTAATCTAATAAGTTATTTAGCTTCTTACCACTGTCGGAGCAAGAGCTGCTCTCAACCACGGATCCTGCTGGTGTTACAAGGCTATCGGATTCTGACGAACTCTTATCCTGGACATGGTCAAAAGACTGGCTAACATCTTCCATTTCCAGGAGCGAGTCCAAAAAATCAACATCATTTGACCAGTCGTCATTCTGAAATTTTAAATGGAATTTCAGGTAACTTAGCTGTATTATTGTAAATTAAATTCATCTTATAATTTTCAAATTTGAGAGTTTAACTTTAGATAGGCTAACTTAGCGTCCAGCCGCATAGTCTACACTCCATTTAAGTTATGCTATTTTTTTTACTAGTCTTCCTTTTGGTCAAAAGTTCTTGATACTAATATTAACAATCTTTATCTCAAGATAAAAATGTCTTGGCAGAATTTTTGTTTCCAATTGTTTGAAAACCAGTGAAATACCTACCCTACCTACAAAGTTTGCTGTATCACTTAAAAGTTGAATGACAATTGCTTCCAGGACGCAACATTTTATTTCTTTTTCTTGTGAACAAGAGAAGTTGTTTGTCCGCATCATTTTAGTTATATAGTCGTGTTATTTATTTAAAGAGTTAAATTTGAGGCTGCAGCCTAGTCTATTTTCCTCTAAACGGCCAGGAAAATAAAATTAGACAAGGAAAGCATAGGCATAAGCTACCGGAAGTTAAAATACTGTAATGTTTTCTAACATGTAAATTAATTGGACAGCCTAACCTCATTTATTTATTTTATCAATGGCTCATAGTATAAGTTATTATTGTTATTATCAATTAATTAACTTAGCCTAGCCTAACTTATTTGCGATTTTGTGTACACTTTTGCAGAGAACCTACGATATGTTATGGGTGTAACGATATAGGCCTAGCCTACATAGAAATAAGTTAGCCTATACCAATTTTTATCCGGTTCGATAATAATATTGAATGATATAATTAGGCCTAATTGTACCTAAACTTAGGTACCGGTACCATGTGATACTGTCTGCCAGAAGTTATTTATATCTTTCTGAACGCTCTTTGTTAATGCAAAATTTAGGCTATAATTAACGGAACCTCAATTAGGCTACAGGCTTAGCCTATTGAGGCCCTATTTATTTTCTCTACGTTAAAATTTGTAGGTCACGCTTATTGTACATAGCAGATGTTCTTTTCATGTTTAAGATGATTTATTTTTGTTTTCTGAATTTGTCATAGGCCCCTATGTCAGCCTGGTGAGAGCAACGGACTGAAAATAGCATAATTTTTATAGTCGTAATCAGCTTAATTTGTTTTGTATCTTTTTATTAATGTGAATTTATTATGCAATAATTGTGACCTGTGTTGAAAGAGAAAATAAACAAACATTCTATTCTATTCTAGTTTATAGGCCTAAATAAAAACAACAATAACATTGATGAATCTGGTTATTCATTTTATCCCTTGTTTCCACTTGAATATTTAAGTTAATGTTAAAAATGAAAGAAATTGTGAATTTTTTATTGAACTTATTGATGTTCTTACCTCATCAACACTGGTATATTGAAAATTGCGTTGATTTTCTTACGTTTTGGTTGTTATTGTTTTGTTTTAATTTTTTTAAGTTATTGGCCTATTTTTAGGTGATAATGTAAGTTTTTTTTATATTTAAGTTTAGGTAGGCCTATTAGTTATTTATGCCTAAAAACGTAAACAAACCAATTTTGAAATCAATGTTTAGCCTACAATAGGAAAAAAATTATATAAGTAATAGATGTATCGAACCCAACAAGTTTCGATACACGGTAGGGTTATCTAATTCATCCGGTAACATATTCCTATCGTAGGTTCTCTGCGGAAGTGTACCGTAACCAAGATTTTGAAATTAAGTTAAGTTTAGGCTTAGGTAGGACCTCTACAAATATTAACTAGGTAGATTAAACTTTAGTTGAATCTGAGAAAATAGGCCTAAGTTAAGTTAATGGAAAGGCGCAAAGCCAAAGGAGTTCATAGAGTGAACCGGATAAGAGATCTGCTGACTCATAACTTGAGGTCCCTAACTTAATATTTGAGTACCGGTATTATGCTATGCGCATTGGCATATTGTTCATATGTTCATAATGTGATGTAACCATTCAGCCATTGTGTAAATTACATCAGCTAATGTAGCCTAGGCCTGTAGTCCCATATTGTCACCAAGTTAGGTATCAAGTAAGATTTTAACCCACTTACATTTATATTTTTGTGATCTAGACTGAATTTCATGCCATCATCAATCAGATCCTTTTCAAAGTTTAACAGATTATCCTCCTTATCAAGGAGTAAATCCATGAAACTCATGTCAGTGGGTAAAGTCATAGTTCCATAAGAAGTTAACTTATGTTTTAGCTCCTAGGTCTGGTAATATGGGTAGGGTAAGTCTTGGGCTAAAATTGAATTCGGCTTCTGTTTTAAAATGTACCGTTAGTTTGACCTTAATGTACACAACGCTGGGAGGTGGGCCTCGCCTTCTGAGGCTAGACCTAGCTCTAACCGGACACTGTCACACTTATGATTTTAACACTCACAAACACAACCAATACATCCGCACTAAAATTACACGATACGGTAATTTCTACAATTTAAAAAACACCACTTTCAAATATTTGATCATTTTAAATTAATAAAAACAAAAACAATTTGAACTACAGACTTCCAACGTGTAAGTTTTGACGTCACACGTCATCAAAAGAGCGAGACAGAAAATAGAAAAACATGTTTTCAACAGAAGTCAGATGTTTTTAAACCATACACTTGCGTCATTTCCATTGGCCAGAAATGCCATAGAGGTTTTCGAGCATGATTGGATATAAAAGAATGTACACTATATAAAATAATATACTAAATGTAGAACATGTAGTGTTCCAGGGTTCCAGGGGTATTGTGCAGTATGGTATAAGAATAATGGCTGATCCGGCTGATGAATTTAAACATTAACTCATTACTTTGTATACAACACCAGACTATAAAAAGAGGAAAATGTGATGAACGGGTGAACCTGGCAAACTTAGCTTTCTCACAAAATTGCAAAATAGGGACAATTTTTAAGCCATAATTTAGCTATTTGTATATAATTCAACACTGGAATATTCAGTATTCAGATTGGTAATAATATATAAGATAACTATTGGTAATATACACAATGAATGTGTCCTCTGAAACTATACTAAGGTAAAGTCACATCCAGTAAATTATTCGAAGTCCTGATTTCCCCCACGCCTAGTTTGGTTCTTAAGGTGTCCTCACGCATATCAAACTGAACATAACATGAATATTTTGAACTGATCCACCAGCACGTAATACTGTATTCGTAATCATATAATGTGTATTATATAGCATAGCTCTGGAATGTGACTTAAGAAAAACATATATGAAGAATGAAGTAAAATTAAAGTAAATCCGAGCAGCCATACAGTCTGGAGAACATATCTGAGACTAAGTAAATTGAGAGTGAGTAAATTCGGAAGGTTTTTAAAAAAGGGGGTGGGAAGGGGGTTGAACATTTGCCGATTTTGTCGCCAGACAGCTCTGCTCGCTATCGATCTGGTCCATGGGTGGATTCTGCCTCTTTAAGCATTTATCCTAGTGGGATTTTATCCCTAAAATGGGATATTTTTTATACTAGGGATAAAGTGGCATTGTAGGTTAATATTTCATTTCATGGGACTCAGTACAACGTTATAGTTTAAGTTATTTTCTCCATAAGAGTGTATAAATGCATTAATAGATATATTGTATACATTTTTAATTTGAGACGTTTAAATGGTGCTATAAATGCAAGGACTGTATGGGATACAAAGGTGTTTAAAGCTAACAAAAGCGGGATAAATGGTATTATTACCGGACAAACTGGGAAACTTGTGTTTTGGGTGGGAACCTAAGCTACAGCAGACAGCATCTAGGTCTCAATGTTTGTCAGCGATTTTATTAGGGTCTTAATGTTATCAATTTAATTTCCCATCTAAATTTCAATTAAAAATATGAACATGATTTACCGACTGTTCTTTTTTCTGTGCTACTTATATTTTCTCACGTCTTCAGCAAATGGTAAGTTATTGTTTTTATTTGTGTATGTACATGAAAATTGGGCTATAGCATGCTTCCTCTTTTTATATTTTGAAACCCGTAGATAAGAAATTAAAGTGTTATCTGAGGTATAAATGTTTTAAGCTATTACTTTTTATCATTGGAAATTATCACTTTTGGTGGTTTATTTCGGTCTCAGGAATGAGATTATGTTTAGTAACTAATTCCTACAATCGTTGACGATTTATTAACTTTTCTATTATTCCTCTTTGTTCGGAAATATTTTAATTTAATACTTAAATTAATATTTTAAACTATTTTTTACGTTAGATGGTAACGATAATAATTTACAACTAAGAAATTAAGTCAACTTTATTTTTTTTATATCTCAGCGAAACAAATATTTTTAATGTTTGCTCTAATTTAAATAATTTAAAAAATACAAAACGTATAAGCATAGCAAGTTTTTAAATGTAAGGAGTAAAATAAACCCAGCATTAAAACTACGTTTTCAAACATTCTAGACACACAATCAAACTTTTTCCACACCTATAGTATTTTTCACAGGGGCAACGTGAGAAAAGGTTTTTTTTAACCTGGACATTACGCAAATTTATGATTTCTTATTGCGAGTTTATATTTTTATTAAAATAATTTATTATGAAACAATACTTATTATCAAATTCCATGCTCAGCATGTACACCATTGATTGAGGTTGAATCAATGTGTGTAGGTTTTCTGCTACGATGAGAGGCCCTGAAAATTGTCTAGTTAATTTTTATCTTGTAACTTTAGTGGCTTACTGTGCATAGATTATTTATTAAATGGATTAAGATATAAACAAAGCCAAATGTAGTAATTAACGGATATAATGGTGGTCATTTCTGTCCGTGATTGTTTTTATTTGTTTGTTGTTGTTCGTCGTTCGTTTTATCGTTTGTTGTTGTTCGTCGTTCGTTTTGTCGTTTGTTGTTGTTCGTCTTTCGTTTTGTCATTTGTTGTTGTCGTGGAGGTAAAAAACTATTAGACCGACTCTGAAATGCTATCCATAAGTAGTTACAGACACGTATAAATTGTATCAAAATTTAACAATTTGTACGGAAATTATTGTGTTACGATATACATATAATATGTTTTTGCTTCCACTCTTCGATGTTTCGGGACCTAGGTTGATCATGAAGACCATTTTTCTATGGAACGATATGATAAAACGAATAAATTAGTCCGTTTGAACATTTGGGTTACTGAACGAAATAAAAATATATGTAAAATGGAAAACGTTACCGGTGTAGAACACTTACGTGATAAAAAGACATAAAGGAATTCAATTTACTTCTGTATACTTCAAGAGGCGTTAACAAATTCTACAAGAGCGTTGTTATCTTCTGCCCTTAGGCAAGAGCCTTTGTCTTAGGAATTCTCTAAAGTCCTCTTGCAAATACTTGACCTTTGAACTTGAACACACCGTAAATTGTATCTTGTTTTATCCTTGAAAAATGAGATCGTTGGTATAAATTAATAGATAAAATGATAACTGCTTTTGAATAAATTTATCCAAAGCAGCCGTACTTAGAACGGATTCAGATTCATTCCACTATGGATAATTATCTGAATTCATCGTACTAAAACAGCCTCTTCTGCTCTATATATATTATAGTCTTATAGTCTGATGTGCGTACTATTCTGATCGTAAACTGCTGTCATTACAGTATCAAGCACATATTTTTGGGGGAACAAAGGCGCAATTTTTTCAACATGTAGCCTTGATTTCGATTCAATTTCTGAAACTTAAAAAAATATATTCTTAGGATGAAACACTATAATAAATAACAAAATTCATTAAATGTTTGTTTGTAAAAAAAATACAAAAATAAAACGTCGTGTATAGTGCTCGATTTTCCTGGCACTGAATCTTGATGACCTGAGTATGCTGATGATTATCAACAGGTATGAAACAGATAGAAGCTATTCCTGACGCTAAACGACTCTATGACGATCTGCTGAGTAACTACAACCGTCTGATACGACCTGTCATCAACAACACTGAATCTGTCACTGTCTGGTTAGGACTCAAACTGACTCAATTGATCGAAATGGTAAGTGTTGTGTTGGTGCACGTAACAACTGTGAACTGCTTTTGCTTTCTCTCCAGAAAAAAAATTATGAGAAGTTTCTTATAGATGTTATTATCTTTGTCTTTCTTATTCTCTTCCTCCTTCTTACCCTTCCTCTTTTAGTTCATTTTTATCTTTTATCTTCCACCCTCCATCAATCTCCTTCCCCTTCGTTGGTCAGGTAACTCTTTGCCAAGTTCTCTTCTTTCCTCCCCTTTTCCACCACCTACTTCCTTATTCATATTATTCTCCTCCTCAGCCCTTGATATTCTTCTTCCTTCCTTCCATCTCATTCCCTCCTCTCTTCCTCTTCGTTGTTAGCCTTATCAGTCCAACACCAAGTCGGACACTATCTAACTGATCTTGCTACACACTTCATTAAATGAGCACTGAGCAGGCCTAGGCCTAGTGGCGGAGCTTCAGGTTCGGTTCCCTGAGGTCACGTGTTCAAGTCCATCCAATCATCAATGTATTTTGTAGAAATATACAAAATCGTTTTAAATAAAACTATTTTGGGCTACAGCCTAGTGTCATTTGAAGGTTGGGTTTAAATAACACTTTGTATTGTACTGTACCCTTTTAAAACATACAATTTGCACAATATTTAACACATATATTTCTTTGTTATTATGAAGAAGTGTGTGTTAAATTTACTGAGAGCTTTCTATTCTAAAGAGATTTGATATGTATTCTTCTTTTTCTACAACCTTAGTCCTCATCTACTATAATTTTGATAAAAATAAACTAAATGGTGAGGTGAGATTTGATTTGACTCAGATATTGTGTATGATCAAGTGGACCCCATTCAATTTCTGCAGTGTGAGTGTGGGGCAAGCATTTTTACCAAATTAAACATTTTTATCATTTGATCAGCCACAAGATACTACTGTACCAAAGAACTAAGAAGAAAGACTATCAATGGGCTATGTTTAGTTCCAAGAACTAATCAATGTAAACAAAGCAATGATAGATTTCACTTGTCATTGTTATCTTACCAAAAATCACATTTTGGATATGGTAGCAAGTAATTCCTACAATATGATTTTTTAAATATATTATTTTTTTTCAGAATTTAAAGAACCAAGTTCTAACTACAAATGTATGGGTGGAACAGGTGAGTGACTTTTACTTTCTCCCCCTATACCATAGTATATGGAGAAAGTATTGTTTTCGTCAAAATTTTCGAGTTTGAGTTTTGAGTGGATATATTCGTTTTGGGTCCCCCTGGACCCAAAAAAGTGGTTTTCGAAGTGATGTCTGTGTGTGTGTGTGTGTGTGTGTCTGTGTGTCTGTGTGTCTGTGTGTCTGGATGTGTACAGAGCTAGGGACTACACCTGTGGTCCGATTTCGATGAAATTTGGTATGTAGGTTCTAATCCATGGTATCTCCAGGCGTTTTTTTCATTTTTTTGAAATTTTGATTTTTAATGGGGATTTTCCTATAAAAACCCATAAAAAACCTGAAAAATCGGATTTTCTCGAAAATGGCCCGAACGATTTTGATAAAAATTTAGTATGTTGTAGCCCTTTAAATTCTGAACAAAATGGTACAAATCCCATTTCTGTAAAAATTACGGTTCAAAAGTTATGGTAAATTATGTTATTTTCCCATAAAAACCCAATAAAATAGGTAACGAAAAATAGGATTTTAGAAAAAAATCCGGTTATATTTTAACATAGTATGTTATGGTCCTTAAAGTTTTGATAGTTTTTTCATTTTTAAAAATTTTAATTTTTAATGGGAATTTTCCCATAAAACCCCATAAAATAACAGAAAAATAGGATTTTCCCAAAAAAGGCCCGAACGATTTTGATAAAAAAATTGTATGTTTTAGTCCTTTATATTCTGAACAAAATGGTACAAATCCCATTTCTGTAAAAATTATGGTTCAAAAGTTATTGTAAATTATGTTATTTCCCCATAAAAACCCCATAAAATAACGGAAAAGTCAGATTTCACAAAAATGGCCTGAACGATTTTGAAAAAAATTAGTATGTAGTCCTTTAAATTCTGAACAAAATCGGACAAATTACTTCTGTATATTTACTTTCACCGCTTACATATGATAAAGGTTGTTGACAAACTTATGGGAGAAAGTATGTGTCAGAATGCTGATACCGTTTATTTAAACTCATAATCTATTTTCTTGTTAGTTATTGTTGTAATATACAGTGTATTACTTTTCTTAATTGTTGAAGATTTAAAATTTGTAATTAATGAAAACAGTTAAATTACCGTAAGTATTTTTATAGAGGCTAACAGCGAATCTTTTAACTTTAAATTAATCCATTCACATGTACCTCAGGAAATGTGCATGAAAGTTTCCTGCAAAACAAGGTCGATAAAATTCAAGAATTACTCCACTGTTAAATTGTAAGTAGGATAAACTCTCGATATTGCTCCCTTGATTCAACACTTGTTGCGTAACCAAAACTGAGCCACTAACTCACCAAATTTATTAATTGATTTACAAGATAACTTAAGGAAACATGAATACATTTTTCAGTCAATAACTGATGGCTCATTATTTCTTTCTTATTGACTTTTGTTCTTTTCCGGGTCAGAAATGGGTTGACTACAAGTTGCGCTGGGACCCAGAGGAGTATGGAGGAGTTGAGATGTTGTACGTTCCTTCTGAACACATTTGGCTTCCAGACATTGTGCTCTATAACAAGTAAGTCTTTCGGTATTTGCCTAACCATCAAGATTACTGTCTTGTTGAACTTCTTACCTTATTGGGCTATTTACTCCTACCATTACAGTTTGGAATTTGATCCAGATACATCTAACAAATAAGTCTGTTTTAGTCCAATATTAGCACATTTACTCTGAACTGTTTATGAGGCAGAAAATGCTTTTAAATAAATACATGGGCAGGTGAGCAAGAGGAAGGACATTGATGTTGCCTACTTAACACCATAAATCATAAATGCTACAAATTAAAGCCTACAACAGACCATATTGGTACCAAGCTAGGAAACTAAGGATATTGCAAAATTATTTGTTTTTAAAGCTAAAAGTTAATTACCTAGTTGAGTATTTGCTATGAAATAGATCGGTAAGTCACACACTATTATGTGATAGTAACTTGTTTAGAAAATTTACGTTTTGACATTTTAGTAACTGCCTTCATAGATGACGCAGTTTAAGATTGCATAACCCTATTTTCTCTTTTTTTCTTTCTTGCCTTTTATCTTCACTCTCCCACTGTTTTCCTCCGGGTTGTACAACCAAAGACTTCCAATAAATAGACCAAAGTTGTTGACCAAATTTCTGTAATTGCAGTGCAGATGGCAACTACGAAGTTACTCTGATGACTAAAGCCACACTCAAGTACACTGGTGAAGTGATCTGGAAGCCACCAGCAATTTACAAGTCTTCTTGCGAGATTAATGTGTTGTATTTCCCTTTCGACCAACAAAGTTGCATCATGAAGTTTGGATCCTGGACCTACAATGGGTATCAGGTGCAGTACCCCATCTAACTGCTTTTAGCTCTAGTTACAAAACTGACTCTGAGAAATATCAATGTCTTTTAGTGATATCCAGTGCTCGATTTGTGGGGGAACGCAGCGGAACGGAGTTCCGGTACCTCTCTTTCGGAAAGATAAAAATATTGGAATAAATAGGTACAAATCACATTAAATGTTACAGTTCCGGCACCTCATTTTTACAAATCGAGCACTAGTGATATCTATAAGATTATTCAATGTTTAATGAATGAAATTAAAAAGACCCAGGAGAGCTGATTCAGCACTGCTTCATATTAGAGCCACGGAGTGTACTAAAAAAAGCAATGTGTGTCAGGTAAGAAAAGCAATGATAAATTATTTAATGCAAGTTTATTTATGAAAAATTATCACACTTCACAAAGCAAATTCCAAAATAAGCCATAAAACTGCCTCACATATAGACCAAAGCATTTTCCAGGAAAAGTAGAGTAAGACACGTTTATTAACGTTTGCTCCATTGTTTTTTAGACAACCCTACATTATTTGAATCTCTGTTGATCCAGATGTATTCATGTTGTGACAGGTCGATTTGAGGCACATGCAGCAACAAACCGGATCTAACCTGGTGCCTGTTGGTATTGATCTCAGCGAGTTCTACCTCTCCGTGGAATGGGATATTCTCGAGGTTCCGGCCAGCAGAAACGAGGAGTACTACCCTTGTTGTCAAGAACCGTACTCTGGTAAATCTTAACTTAAAGTCCTCAGATATGCATGCTCTATTGAGAAATCTATAAGATGACGATGCTCAGGTTTTGGTCGTGTTGCTAATTTGCTAGCTTAGTGTTTTTTGGACTCTGGTGCAAGAGGAATGGGTTGAAGGGTTTGATCTACAAAACTCAACAATTCGGACAGCACAAAAGTTTCAGGGGTTTGGACTAAGCAAGGTAATCTAATAATCAAGTTCTTAAACCTATAATAACAATTAAAGGATCGTTCCACCCAGCGCACCCTGGCGCATCCATAGCCATTTAACGGGCTTTCACTTAAAAGCGTTTGAACTAACTATTGAATTTCAATTAAAAAATGCCACTGGCGTGAACACAAGCAAATAATATTTTTGTATTTATGTTTTTCAGACATAACTTTCAACCTCACAATGCGGCGGAAGACTCTCTTTTACACTGTCAACCTCATCATTCCATGTGTAGGAATCACATTCCTTACTGTCCTGGTCTTCTACTTGCCTTCAGATTCAGGAGAAAAGGTACCATTATTTTCATCATGAGGTAATTCCTTTCCTGGTTAAAGTACAGACGGTTCAATTTTGTTATTCAGAAATATTAATGAAATGCAACAGATAAAACTGTATTCTTTGCTAAAAAGTTAAATTTTGGTGATGGTGAGTTTTAATGTTAAAAGATTATTGCAGACATTGTTTGTGGACAGAGTTATTTTTCTTAGTAGCTCTGGAAGGTTAATCTCAATGAATCTTCACGTGGGAGCAGTGGCGTCATTTCACCAAATCCTTGGGAGGGGCAAACACTGGGGGGGGTACGGAATACCCCCCGAAAATTTTGCAGTTTTTAAACAAAAAAAGAGGGGTTTAAGCTTATTTTAATTGTCAAAATCACTTTGAATAAAAACTAAATTATGAGTCAAATTTATTTGAATCCAGGCAGAAAATTAATGAAACTAACAATTATTGGTAACAGACAGAAAAACATAATAATATGTTGGTAAGTTAGTCATCTAAGAAACGTGATCAATAGTTTCATGGTGTATTAATATTATTTTTGTTATTAGATTTATGACCAAATTCTCTTCTACAACATTTAGACCTATATAGCAATGAATACGGTTGTATTCATAGCCTATAGTTCAAAACAGTTTAATTTGGTTTTTAAATGAAACATAAGTATTTTAAGTACTTAAAAGCAAATCAAATTTAATTATCAATAAAATAATTTGACACAATTAATTTGAATGTGCTACTGAGACACTAAAAAATAATATTTTTGTTTCAAATTACTGTAGAAGAATAGGCAAGATTTTTGTCTGCCGTGCTTTTTAAGATTTGACAGGAGAAAATATTTGTATATTTAGCTAGTACAGCATTTTTTTTTCTCTAGCCCAGGAACTAGGGGGGGGGCAAATGCCCCCTCCTTGCCCCCCCCCAAATGACGCCCCTGCGTGGGAGATTCAAATTATTAGTCCTTAACCTCTTAATAGATTACTTACATTGAGAAGTTTAGGCTGCTGTAGTTTAGCGATTGTGATGTTTACATTATCCAAAAGAATATTGGACATTTTCCATCACATAAAAGTAGCCTATGCACGAAATGTGAATCGGTTTTTAACAGGATGGTAGGAATTTTCAAAATTTGCCAGGTGAAATACTTCATGAGGTTATTAATGTTTTCTTTCCTGCAGGTGACATTGTGCAGTTCAATCCTCGTGTCGCTGACTGTGTTTTTCTTGCTGCTTGCCGAGATCATCCCCCCTACCTCACTCGCCGTGCCTCTACTCGGCAAATACTTGCTGTTCACCATGATCTTGGTCACTCTCTCTATCTGTGTCACTGTATGCGTCTTGAACGTACACTTCAGGTATCGTTCTGTCTCCTGAATGCTGTCCAATGTTAGAAAAGAGTTGGTAAATATTATTTGAAAGGGTAAATTACCTTGAGCGCTACCAAACGGTTCTTTTAGTGGAATTAGTACTGGTGACTGAATCAGTGGAATTGATAAGTGAATGAAAAAGTAAATTGATGAATAGATACATTGATTGATGGGTGAATAAATAAACTTAATACATGATTTATGTAAACAGTTTAAATATTTGTTTAGATAGTTTACTGTTTAGGTTTTATTTTTAAGAGAAAAATTTTCATCTCGAGGCTATTTGTGGATCATTAGTTTGAAGTTGTGTATAGGCATTCAGTGTTATAGCAAATCAAACTTTACATTCAACAAGTTTACTAAATATCTAAGCTGCAAGCTATAGGCCTATACAACAATTTTATCTCATTGTCAGCTACTGTCAATGAAAACTTTGTGTTAAAATTAACTACCTACCTTCTTGTTATTTTCACCATAGGTCTCCATCTACACACAAGATGTCTCCTTGGGTTAAGAAAGTATTCTTGCACATAATGCCAAGGATTCTCATGATGAGACGACCTCCGTACTCTTTACGAGACTCTTACGATGAATCTTTCTCTGATGGGGGATACATCAATGACGGCGACTTCAGGTATTTATTGGTTTTTTTTTATCCGAGAAATATGTGTTTGCAGATAACATGGAACAAAATGCTTAAAACTACTCAGTTTATTTGGTCACTTTTAAATCAACTAAACATCAATACAATACAAAGCTTTGGCATATATTTACTTCATTAGGCAAGATTAATACCTTGATCCCATAAAGTTAATATTATTTTCCAATCAAACATTATAGCTATTCTCTAAAATTACCTGGAATTATTTACCCATTAATTTGACTATTATGTTAAACCAGAAACAGTATAAGAATTGGCACTTTTCTGAGAGTGTATAGCAACAACCACGACACAATATTTGTTTTTTTTTTTCAAAAAAGTCAATGTTATTTCAGAGACAGTATCAGTGATCCTTACCCAGGAGACTCCAAGGATCCTCATGAACCCCGAGGTTTTGAGTCCGTCGCCACCGCTTACCGCTCAGCACTGAATGACGACAGTCGACATCAACCACATTCCTCAAGTGAGTTATGGATACTTGGACTCTAAATTAAAACTTTTCTACAGATTTTTTTCTACGATTAAGGTTTTTTCCCCTAGGGATTTTGTGGCACATGTTTTTCTACAACATTTTATTTTGGTTGTTTGGGCCTGAATTACTCATTAACTACTTGGTTGGATTGGGCTGAAATTTAGCATGATGATAGCTCATATTTCCCATTATCATAGAGGCATGTTCTTGTCTCAAAATTCCTATTGGAATCCGCCCCAGTACGTGTTTCCCATGTTTACCTTGTGGACATTCAAAAATAATCAAAGAATATTGACTTGTTTCAACTTACCAAATAAGTTGGGTTTTTGTCAACTCAGTTCATCATAAAACTGTTAACTACAACAAAATAGTCAAACTAATAGAGACGATTTTACAGTGACTGAGTCTGAGAACACGCTGCCTCGGCAAATGTCACCCGATGTGTTGTCAGCTTTACAAGGAGTCCGGTTTATTGCTCAGCATATCAAAGACGCTGATAAAGATAATGAGGTGAGATTTATATAAGTTATCTTTTTTTATCAAAATATATATTAACATTATTTTTTGTTTGTGAATATCAATACCTAAATGTCTATAGCTTTCTTTTTTTTTAATTTTGGCAAATATTCTATTTCTAACTAAAGTTTACCTTGGATACTGACACTTGTCCTTAGACGTCATTAGACTCTCGTCCTACATTTAAATCTAACCTTTTTTGGCGTGTTTCATGACCATTGTCCATACTAATATATTTTTTGTCATCCCAGGTTCAAAGTGTATGTTAATAATTGTTTTATTGTCAGTTCACTTAATTTAAAACTATTTACAAAATAAAACCATCTATTGGTCCTCAGGTATCACAACAAAAAAGCTCAGACTTTATCCTTGCATTATTCAATCGATATCAACAAATAACTCATCAAAGTATTACAGCACATTTCACCAGCTTGTGGGCAATTTTCATTGGAGCAATTTCCTTTAAGATATCTTCTCATCACTTACGCATCATAGTCTATTTATTTTGTAAAAATTGACTATTATTTAATACGAAATAAAGTAAATTTTGATTTGATTTGATTTACAAAAATATTTACACTAACTGGTATTGCTGTTGGGTTGAACAAACCCACTAACACTATACTGTTAGTAGTTTATTGTTTTTCTTCGTGACGTTCCAATCCAGAGAGCTGAAACCCTACTGGACTGAGGCTGTTTTAGGACTTAGTCCTCTTCAGCCAGGGAATCTATTGTTTTGTAAATATATAGACATAGACTATAGTGTTAGTGATAAGAAGATGCCCCTAAAAATGCCACGCAAGCTGGAAAAATGCATAGAGTAACCTAAAAGCTATACTCAATAACACAGGCAACAGCAACAAAGACTATCTATAATAAAAATTGTATTAACACATTCTACTTATGGCATACCAAACATTGTTTGGCATAGACAAAATGTGTAAAGACTTTTAGTGTTTTACGAAATATCACACTTCGTTGTAGCTGTTATACATAGTTTTCATACATAATGGATAAACATAGTTTTGATTTAATTTGAATATAATCCTATTTCCATATTACAGATTGTGGAAGACTGGAAGTACATTTCGATGGTGCTCGATCGGTTTTTCTTGTGGGTTTTCACCCTAGCTTGTATCGGCGGAACTTGTGGCATCATCTTCCAGGCTCCGTCACTCTACGATACTCGATTACCAATAGATCAGCAACTCTCGGAGATTCCGTTCCGCAAAAACAATCTTCATCTACCGGACGAGTTTGTGCAGATTCATTACACTGGTGTATTCTAAGGAGGCGTGATGGCCATTTGATTTATAAGAGAAAAGTAATTTACCTCTGTAAGAATAAGATGTACCGTAACCTCAAAAGCAACACTTTCAGAATAACAGAATTCAACATTCGATAACGTATATTAGAGAGTTGTTGATATCTAGAACCATTGACTATACAACCTTACTGTAGTATTATATAGTCAATTCTAGAACCCCCAGCAATTTATTGCTGGAATGGGGTTTCAAAAATGCTATTGTAAGGAGTCCTTGCTTTTGAGATTTGTCATTATAAGCCAACCTTTAAGTTTAATAGCTTCAAAGATCAATATACCCTTTAGAAAGTAGTGTTTTTTGTTAGATTTTTTAGGATATATCATTGTAAGAAACTTGCAAACAGTTAAATACACTAAACAATACATTAACATACACAGATTGTATACAGTAGGATATATAGTATGAATTGCTATATCCAGCAATGTTTTTGTTGTTTAAAAATTGTGTTAACACTCATTTAACTGTGATTTAATAGTAGTTGATACGTAACTTTGTTGAATACGTATGCCAAAGTTGATAAGTTTGTCTATTTAAATGTCTTCCAAATACAGTATATTTAATATTCTATATTGATTTGAAGAATATAAGTAACATAGGTAAAAAGTGGTTACTAATAAAACGAAACGAAGTTTTTCCATTTCCTGTAAACAAGTATTATTGTATTAACATCAAGTTTATTATAGGTAAATTTTAAGTTTATTGCCGCAGATAGTGGATGATAGCCTACATTTAAGTTACCTAAGTGAGAATATGAAATAGTTATACTCTGACTTTAGAAGTTATAGGTTACCTAGATGCTTAAAGTATCATAAGATTGTTAAATAAAGTGTAAAGGTTGTGAATTACTTTTACTGTTTCTACTGTGATTCTTAAAAACTATGTTGTTGTAATGTTTATTGATAAGGTATTTAATTTTAAGTCTCAAAACAAAAAGTGGACATTTTGTTATTTAGATGGATGTGTTATATAAAGAAAATAATATATTACCTTACCATTGTGTTATTCAATACAGTTTCCTGTCCATTAAAACTTTTTCTATATAGATAGAAACTTTAAAGTTGACTACAGTCAACTTAGTCAGTATCAAGACTACAAGATCATCCTACACTCATCTCCATTCATACTTGGCTTAAAATACCTACCTTCGTATGGTCAAAATTACAGTGAAAAGTATTAAAATTCACCGTACTAATCTAACAGTCAATTCTACATTTTATTCATTGACTCTGCTCTATGTAATAAGTCTGACCCAACAAAAATTGATAAACATATTTTTATTATTTGGAACACACATATAAGAAATTAACAAAATACTTGACATCCTTATGATTTACTAGATGACGACCAATGCTGCTCCGCTTATCCGAGAAATGATCAAATTTATGATTTTTGATAGAGTAATACAGTATCTTGAACTTAACTGATTCAAACTATCAATATTTCAAATTATAGTCTATGATTTACTGATTAATATGCATGAGTCTAAAACATATAAAAAACATGAACATTACTGGAGCTATTGAATTTTAAACATAGGAAAGCCTTATATAAAAAATAATTTTTATGTTGGTTGTTCACCTTGCGTTTGCTTGAAACTCGTCCGATTTGAATAATTAATAACTTAAATGAAAGCCGGTATTTCACTGAAGATTCTTAGACCAAAATATATAGGATTTATATATTTATGACTGGTGAAATACGAGGGGGTGTTCAATAAAGAAAGACTGATAGTACTCTTTCAAGACCTTTCACATAAAAGTTTGGATTTTAACACTGCTTTCTTCTTCTAAGTACCGGTAGTTGCCATTCAATGCCACACACTTGTTCCAGCGCCTCTGCCACTCCTGGCTGACGTGTTCAAAGCCATCCTTAGATGGGGTAGGGGATTTTTATCCCCCTGGAATTTTACCCCCTGGGTGAACGTGACGTCACAAACCAGGGGGTAAAATTCCGGCCGCAAACTTTTGAGTTTCGCGACATCAGTTCGATGGATTAAACGGGGATTTAAACGTATATTTTCACGGTTGTGAATTTAATAAGAACACATCAAATTATATAAAAATCTATAAGTGTACGGGATGGAATTTTACCCCCTTCATGAGGTAAGCTCAAAATGTACAGCCCGGATTTTTACCCCCGGAATTTTATATTCCGGATTTTACCCTGGATTTTAACCTCCGTATTTTTACCACCTGGCCAGATATATTAGTGAGAATGGTTAAGTATCTTCATTCAGTTTTAATTTATTAGTGAACATTTTATTAAAAGTAGCCCATCTTAATTTATCTGTAACATCAACTAATCGAAAAGGTTTTTAATTTTGAGATTCGAGTATCAAGATTCAATCTTTGAAGCCACTATTGGTTAATATGACGTATAAACAAACATCAGAATGGTAATTTATTCGAAAATTTCTTTTAACGATTTAAGAAATTTACCCATGGTGGAACTCCCACCATGAAATTAGCCCATGACTTAGGTAAATTAAATTGCTTAAATTTAATAATCTATTTCTTACTGTACCGAATGAAATCAAAATTTATTTTTCATTTTGATTTAAATTCTTTGTTGGCGGCACTGCCTGTTGTGTTTCAAAGTTTTTTGGAATGTTGGCAGTTCTTCTTGTTAGTAAACTCTGAAAATGGCTTCCTCGCAGGATGCTTGGTATTTATCATTATTAGGGTTAGCCGAAAATTTTAGAACTTCAAGTCCTCCGAACATCAAATTGTGCATTCAGTGTTTACAAGCAGTATTTCATTTTAAACCTCCACCTAGAGTTGAAGCTAGAACACATTTACAACTTGGAAATATACTTTTAACCCATACCAAAAATGTTGATTTGGCAAGGAGCCATTTAGAACAAGCTGTAAGTTTTTATATATATTTAATTCAATTTACTACTATAACGTTGTAAAAATAATTGTTTCTTGTTCTTCGATAAGTAATTATTTAATAATTTCTCAACGTAATATTATAAAAAGAAATTTGACCCTAAACTTGAGCTTTAGACTTCTGGTTATCTTACTACTTCTGTTCTGCTACTTCTGTTAGTCATTGAAGGCAATAGGCAATCAGACATCGTAATTAATTAGTCAAGTATGTGAAATGTAATATACATAGTCGAACATCTTTTTGATCAAGAGTGATTTATTTTTATGCATTTAATATCCGTTTAGCCAGGGTTAACTTGCTTTATAGTCTTAACCTTAAAATGTTTTGAAGTCTCAATCTTCCCACCAAAATAAAATTTTAGCCCTGTGTAACTTTCTGAGTAGTTCCACTTGGTATCGACTTAATATCATTTAGGCTATGTTAAATTACATATGAAAATGACTACAATAGCCTAGGCCTATGCGGCCTCCTATTTTAAGCGTGGGTGGTAGCCTAGTCTTCCAATCATGGGTAGAGGCCTAACTTGTGCCCTAAACTTAAGTTCTCAAATTAATTGACAAGCTTGTTCCAAATTTGTAACTAAAGCTTATATAATTGAACTTTTTGAAAGTGATTCAAGTTTAACTTTTATGTTTTATTTATTTATTCCTACGGTTTCTCCACTAACTTAAAGGCTAGATACAATTTCGTCTAAAACTGTATTCAGGCTTCAAGCTGACTGAGACTGAAAGTTGTAAATGTAATTCTTCTAACTATGAACTATTACTAATAAATAAGTTCATTTTAAATGATAAAAGGAATCTTGCAATAATAAATCTGACAATAACTTAAATAGGATGAATGAAACCTAAGAACTAACTTAACTTACAATGTTACATGTAAAATTGTTTAGCAATTAAACTTACCTACCTTGATAAATTTAGGCCTAGGAAAGATAAGATCTCGTAGGACAATTAAGAACTTTTTTTAATAGGCCTAATAATACTTTTATTTTTAAAGTGTTGAGTTGTTGAAGCATGTCACAGCAGCGATAAATTAGTACAAATACAAATCTTTTATTGTCGTAATACTCTAACAGTAGGCCAAAGTGCATTGACTGTCTTATATTGGTAAAAATCAAAGTGTAAAGTCAAGAGTAAGAAGATTTATTAGTATGACTGATACACGGACTAGGCCTACCGATCTACTAAACTTAGATCCCTCTTGCCACAACTCCTTATGACTGTGATGGAATTCGGGAAATCCTGGTTTTTTGTTGAATCCAGTTTTGACTGCCTGCTACACCAAGTTAGGCTAGTTTAGATTAGGATTTAGGCCTTTTTTAATTCAATTCAAAACATCTTTATTCATTGTTCAATTATTGTATATCTAGGCCTATATAAGAATGGTGTCAAATTCAGCATAACATAAATAAACACAAAACCTACTTAAAAGACAAATAACTTAAAAACAAAACATCAAAATAATACAGTCATCTCTCAGGTATAAAACAAAAATATAACTTAGGTAGGTACCGGTACTTCAGTGAAAACAAAAATACACTTCAGTGAAACAGCAATTAGGCCTAAAAACATTTCAAGTCAATGCTGTTATTGCTTAGCCCAGAAATCTTTGTATTTATAAAGAGCATTTTGTGTCAAATGTAATTTTAGAGCGTTTTAAAATCTGTTGTCATCTGCTTCATTTTGGATTTTTATTGGTTGATTCTTGGCACCTAATTGATTAAAAAATTGTAGCCTATTCCAATGTATGATGATTTTTGTTTAAATATCTCTTTTTTATGCTTAATAATTTTGAAATTATATCCTATTTGCTACAGCATGCTTCTTAAAAAGCATTTAAGTTAAGTTATATAACTTAATATATCCTAGGTCTTCCAAATTGATTTAATTATTACCGTAGCTAATTTTTTTGGGGTAGCGGAATTTTATCCCCCTGGAATTTTACCCCCTGAGCAAAACTGACGTCCCAGCCTAGTGGGTAAAATTACGGCCGCAAACTTTTGAGTTGACGAACAGCCTGAGTTGAAGAAATTAATGTTGGAATTTAAGGTGGGCTATCTTGTCACGGTTGTGAATTTAATCAGAACAAATTCAATTATAAAACCTAGAGTGTTCAGGCCGGGTTTTTACTCCCATAATTTTACCCTCTGTCCATATATAGAATTTGGTGATAAATAATTAATTTTTCTACAGTTACCTGACAAAGTGGGCTTCCTTGTAATACGTGTATGCTTGAAAAGTTGGCAACACTTAAAGATACAATGACTACAATCAGCGGTGTTTCCCATTTTAACTTTTGGATTTAACCTAACCTAAAAACGTCTTGTAGGGCCTATAGTGTTTGAAAGACTAATTATTTATATGCTTTATAGTAACTGTAGGGAAAATAATGTACATAACGTGAGTGCAAAGTGGCTTTGCTGCACTCGAGAAACTTTCCACACTCGCCTGCGGCTCGTCCGTAAACATTTCCCTCATGTACAGCAAAGTGCCACTTTGCACACTATTAACACTAATAACTGTTTTTTTTTAGAAAGACATAAATCAGCAAAAAAATCTATCTTCAATTGCCTAAACCCTAGTTAGGCCTATATAGACAGGGGGTAAAAGTCTGGCTTTTATTGCTAATCTAATTTATGACGCTCTGCATATTTTCAATAGACTCCCAAATCACGAAGGTAAAATTCCCCCGTGAACAAACTTGAGAGCACTCAGATAACTACGTCATAGTTCGACGTCAGCTCTGCTCAAGGGGTAAAATTCCAGGGGGATAAAATCCTGGTGACCCATTTTATTTAGTAAATGAAGTTAGTAGGCCTAGGTTAAGTGAAGTGGAGTAATTTATAACAATGTAATTTACATTTGGTATGTTCAATTTTTCTGTTTCAGTGGCTTCTCTCGCAGATTATAAATGCCTTTGACGATGTTAAATTTGAAGCAGCGAGTGTTTTAGCAGAACTGTACGAGCAACAGAATCAATCAAACCTATCGAAACCAATATTGAGGAAAGCCATCGAACTGTCGCAACATAGTATATACTGGCATTGTCGATTAATATTTCAACTAGCTGTAAGTTATCAATCTACTTAGTGTTCATAATTATTTACAAGTAACATACATTCAATATTCTATACGTCCTAGCCTATTTTATGAAATGTATTTGCTTTTTTTGTTCCTAGTAAATTAGTGTGTGGACACAAAGTTTTGTGCATACTCCTGTTTTTGGTATATTTTATACCTACATAGTCATAGTATTTGAATAATAGAGTATTAGAGATTATAGTTATATTAGAGCAATTATACCTCAAAAAATTGAAAATGAAAAAAAATAGTTTTATCAATGTGATCAAGTGACTCAATTTACATACATTTTCTTGGATATCATGTATGAGGCAACAAACATTAATCTTGGGAAAAAAAGTTTTAACATTATATCTTTACACATTCCATGCCGGAATTAGGGGACGTCCAAGGCATGTTTTTATTGTTTTTGTAGGGGTGAAAAAGACTCCTAAGTTTGTCTGAAATATTAAGAACAACATATTTGTGTTTTGTCCACTTTAAAGTCAATCCGATTCATTGACAAATTCAGACAGCATTGCTATTAACAATGAGACAAGTTGGTGACGCTTTCGACACAACCGACAGATCGATGACACACACACACTCCTACCAGTCGCCATCGGAACATGACAGGGTTTTGCCTTTCAGATAATCAACGCTCTATAGAGATTAAGCTATTAATGGTAGAAATTGTGTGTATACTTCAGAGTTACAGTATTTAGTTATATATAACTACTTTTCAGCAAATTCACGCTACTGAGAAGGACTATGAGCTGGCGAGCAGTCTATTGGGTGTTGGCGTCGACTACGCTCACATCTCTCAGGCACATTATACCAGAGTTTTGTTCCTACTCAGCAGGTGTATGGTGAGTGTGCAAATGGAATTTTTCTTATTTTATTGATTTTGAACTAGATCTCGCCACAGTGAGCAGGGCGAATTTGTGTAGAATGACGTAAAAGTTTTGTTACTTACAATCCAACTTTTAGCTGTCCTCCCTATTGACAGTTAAGTATCGTTAGGTGTGCTATTTCTATGTGCCATAGCATTACTCTATAGTCTCTGCGTCAAGTAAACCGCTTTTATCAACTCTGACTGTACACTCGAAAAGATAAAAAGTTGACTGCCCTTTTTATATTTTAATTTATGTTATAATCTACCGGTACACAGTTTGTCAACTGCTTATACCTCAATCCCTCCTAGCAAAAACTTCCCTTAGAAAATAATAGTCCATGGAATAACTGATACAGGTAGGCCTATAAAAAAAAATTCTGGATTTTTTGAAATTTTGTCTGATTAATCTTGGTGCTGTGCATTTCTTTACTGTTATTTTGTGCCAAGCTCAACATTGTCTCTATGTCGGAGAGAATTAGTGTTTTTGTTTTACTTATTTGTGTACCGTACCTATTAGATCCTAATTTTATCAAGTAAGCTACCTGAACTCTACCCCCTTTACAAAATCAGGCACTTGGCTTTCCCTTAGAACATAACTTAAGTACCGGCATACGAGTAGGCCTAGATGTTATGAAATTGCTATTAACGGATAATAAAATGTCTATCCTCACTGATAGTCTTGTAATATGTTTCAATGTTTAACAGCTGATGTTGATTGACAAGAAATTTCTCGAAGTTTTGCCATTGCTGAACCAAGCCGGACACTTGGTTGACAACTGGACTGGCAACCAGCATCAGAAGGAATACCTCAAAGTTTACTTCCTTGTTCTGCAGGTGAGATTAGAAAGAATACGTTGTTCATCAGTGCTTACAATCTCTGCCACGCAGGTGTTCGTCTATTTAGTAGTGTTTGGTACAATATACAATTTCTTTTCAAGAGGTTGGCGGCCTCTTTTAACCTTGCTCATCCACGTAGACTAACTGCCCGTGCGTGGAACATATCCAGTAAAGCAAGGGGTGAGCCGGTATAGTACTAAGGTGAGCTGTACTGATAAAATGTTTGCGGCAGTGAACAGGATCTGAACCCACGACATCGCTGCCTTGGGCCTGAAGTTCTAGACGCTACCGACTGATCCACCAACTCACCTTAAACATTTAAATTAAAATATTATTAGTGTACCTGTTGCTCGAATTCGAGCAATTGGTAAGTATTACAGGCGTTATTTCAAAATATGAAAAACAGTCATAATTTCTGATTACTTTAACAGAGTCGTCTCAAAGATTATGGAAATACTCACAATGTACATAACAGCTCGATATTATCAACATTTCTTGTAAATATCTTATCACTTTTCAAAAGCTGATGATCATGTTTTTAAGTGTCTTCAACAAATGTTTCCCACTCATAGCCGCATTAGGTTGTCCATAATAATGATTATTAATTCTACAAAAACACATTATTTCTATTTCTTCTACTTGATGGTGTTCTATGACTTTCCCATGTTTCCATAGTTTGCAAATTGGCTCTTTAAATGATTGATCAAGAAATGCAGCATAGTGTTGGTCCGGTTTTATTTTTACTATTCCATTGTAATATTTAGGCCAACCATAATTCAAATAGTAGGCAATATTTCTTTGTCGTCAGGTCCTTGGAATGTTTAAATGAAAATAAAATGTAAAACTTTTCTCTCAATGTGTCCTATAGGTAACATTTCTTTGCCGGGTTCTAAAAACATGCAAAATGTTTACAATTCAATTCCAAACAAAACAGCTGGGATTTATTTTTTATACAAAACTAATGTATTGACATCTGTTTCAGAATGTAATAACATTCAAATCAATCACAATGTTATCCTTATGGAAGGAACTTTGAGGGCAACCCACGCCCTTAAAAAGATATATTTCGAAAATCTAAAGCCAGTTTGCACATCTACACACCTAGACGAACATTTTGGTATATAATATGTGGGATTAAATCTTAAAACAAAAAAGCCTTATTGTTCACAAAGTTTCATGTCGCGTATTAAATATATAGATTTTATCGCTGTATTTGTTAATCTAAGGAATACAGCAATTAATTGTTTTCATTCATTTAGTTGAGCCCTTTTTACCTCTGAAGGTTGATATTTTGGAGGCAAGATTAACAAGTAAAGTGAATTACAAGCAAACTTCGGATCCATACGCAAAAACAGCCAATACTTAAAAATACACCCTCGTACTTACATCTCAGATCAGGCATATTGCTACTGCTTATCGGTAACCTGTGTGCCCTCCGAAATCTGTAAAAATGTAATATTTTGGCAATTGGAGTTCCGTGTGCTGTGAGAGATAAAACATGATAGAATGGTGGGGCTGAATAATACATGGAGTTCAATTCATTGACCACATTCCACTCTGGTAAATTTGTATAGGTGGAAATTGTTTGTCTTGTCATTAGTTTGCAGGGCTTTATTCAACTTATATGGAATTGTATTGAAGAGTTTGATACCATTCTAATAACTAAGATTTGCTAATAACTGTTTTGCTTTGTGATTATAAAGCTGTCTAATTGCAGGTATGCCACTACTTGATGGCAGGCCAGGTCAAGAGTGTAAAGCCATGTCTAAAGCAGCTACAGCAGAGCATCCAGACTATCATGATGCCTTCCTGGCCCACGGACGATGGTAAGTAGCAAAGTAACCAATTGGCTAGAACAAGTGAAAGTCTTAGGTTGTTTATGGCGTTATTTAGTGATGGGTCGATACTTTACGTCAAATGTTGGTTACACCGGTTCTTTGGAAAAGTATCGGGACCAAGAATCTATGGTGAAATGTCAGTATACCGAGTTAATTGGTTATATTTTTATTTACTCATTTAAAAAATTCAAATTGTCAACCATGATGATAATTTTTCACTTAAGGCTATTAGAAAGGGCACGTATATCATGAAATATTATCAATAGTAGGCCTATGCTATAGGATGATGATTTCAGTGTTGGTTGGTGCAAACATCGATACCAACTGCTCCACCTTCAAGCAGAAGACAGAACCAGAAGGCAAGCTTAATAAAGACTGGATCAATTCAATGATTTATTTGGACTCAACAAAATTATTACACTACCTTAAAACCTTGAACCACCCTTCCTTTATCTGAAGTTGATTATTAATAACATTAATAATAGTTACAAGATTATTTAATTTAATTCATACAGTTCTTTATTTGACTTTGTTTTGTACGAACTGTGGAAATACAGAAGCAACATAATTAGCGCTGAGCTGAATGTACAACTCGAAACTCAAACTCAGCAGCAAACCGACCCATCACTAGTGTTATTGTAGGTATTTTACATCGCGATTAAAAAAAACACAACCAGGGTGTCGGGTAAAACGGGAATGTTAGGAATCAGTTTATTGAATTTCAAAATACTATTGAAAAGTCGAGATTTAGTCTGTATTTTGTTGTCATAATCAGGATTTTTATTGGCCAAGTAAAATCTGATGAAAATGTCCATTAACTGATGCCTGAAACTACATATTTTAAGTAGGGATGTGTAAATCTCAATAACAAGAATTGGTATCGATACCGATATTTGGACATAGCTGTGAAGATCGTTTGACTGAAAATTACTGTTTTTCCCAGGTCCGCGGGCGATGACGGTTATGTTTTAGTGACCGTGGAAGACAATCAGAATTTTGACGTGATTGCGGATGATGAAGATATGTCCATACAAGTGGGAGAGATTTGTTATTGTGTCTAAAATTCTATTTACTTCCCTTCTTTTGCTGACCTAGTTGATGGGTCATAACATTTGCTAGCTAACCATAAGTTGTTCCATCAGTTTGACTTGGTAGTTTTTCATTCTAGTTTCTTTGTAAGTTTGTCTGAGGTAATGTGGTGTGTTTGCAGTTGTGAGTGGTGCCAACCCAGGGGACATGTTTATATGGATGCCCAAGGAACATCTGTATGTGCTCGTCTACTTGGTGACAGTGATGCACAGCATGCAGGCTGGCTACATGGACAAGGCGCAGAAGTACACGGAAAAGGCACTCATGCAGATCGAGAAACTCAAGAGTAAGTAGTGTGTCTGTTTTGTTTGTGAAGTTTTAAAAATCTGCATAGCGTTATCGGTGGTTGCTCTTGTGACAACTTGTTTCAATTTGGTTAAATCACTTAGATGTTTATAAGGAGTAAAAAATCATGTAAATTGTACCTCAACGAACGTTATATGAAATGATACCACAATATAGTTTTGGTCGTTATCTCCTAACACCAAAAGATTGGGAGTCTTCTTCCTAATCATGACTAAACGTATTAAAAATATTTATGTAAAATGCTATCTTGGTACATGTTAATGTTATTCAAACTACAATAGCCATTTATTTTACATTTACTATTTATTTTGTAGAAAAAAGGACAGCAGCCGACTTACCTTTGAAGAAGTAAAAGTAGGCTATAGAAGGTTCGCGACCGCAGAAAAATTGTTATTGTTCGCCTTGATCGTGTTCTTTTCACTACAAGACGACCATAAAAGGGAATCAACGAAATGCTGCAAATGAGTGGATGTCCTGCCATTTATGATAAGAATTAATTGAAAATTTCCTGGTTCTATACAAAAATTGTGTTTTTGCTTGGTCTAAAGACACCCGTTGATAGAAAGCTATTTCAGAACGCATAGCTTTGTTTTAGTTTAGTTACTGTAATTTTTCACACTATCCACTAACAGGTGGTTAAGATTGGCAGTACTCTGATGTGATTTTTTTCCTAGGACCCTAGGCTCTATCCCGGGATCGTTTTTTACATTATTTCAGGTTAGGCCTAGGGGTTAAGACATTACTCACTTAGAAAAAGACAATTTGGTGATTTGGTGGGATTTGAACCGGCGTCCTCAAGGACCAAAGTCCTGCGTTCTACCACTAGACCAGCTTGCTCCCCTATTGTATATGCAATACTATAGTCCTCGCCACCCTAAGTTGAGGCAGCCAAAGGCCGCACTAGATATACGCCGTGCGGCCTTGGGCTGCCTCAACTTAGGGTGGCGAGGACTATAACAGTAACCATGTTATAGTTGTGGACAACAAGCCGATCCTCTCCGTGTTCCAACTGATGCTGCTGGAGCATATAGTGATGTGTCGACTGGTGATGGGCAACAAGACGCTGGCGCTCCAGGAGATGGCGCAGGCGTGCTCACTGTGCGAGTCACAACCCAAACTGCTCCAGAGTCATCGGCCGCAGCTGCACACTCTGCTGGGACTGTACGCCATGAGCATGAACTGTATGGAGGCAGCCGAGGGACAGTTCATGGCCGCACTCAGGGTAAGTGTGTTATAATGTTGCTAGAGATACTGGTTTTACCAGGGGTAGTAAAAGTTTTTGATTTCACTAGGTCACAAAGGTCGCTGGTTTTCTAAGAGGTCATGCAAGTCATTAATTTTACAAGAGGCTAAAAAAAATCACTAAATCATTACAGTATTGATTTGACTTGTCCACAAATGTCACTAAAATGTTACTTATTTGACTAGGGGTCACAAAAGTCACTAATTTTACATGGAGGTTGCAAAACTATCATTGATTTTGTTAGGAGTTCAGGAAAGTTATTTAAAATTACACAAGTTTTCTTTTGAGGTCTCTAATATCACAAGAAAATTCACTAGTGATTCTCAAATAAATATTTAACGTTACTAAAAATCACAACTTTTTAAAATCCAAAACTGCATACCACAGGGAGAAATACTCTTAACTTTATTTATCAACTATTTCCTGGCAACAACACAAACACCCACTGGCACAAGTAAATTGGCGTTCTATGTTTATGAAGCCACTTAAAAATAACAGATAAAACGTTTAAAGAGGCAGAGCTCTCAGTCTAGAATAATATAACCACTGTGACAAGTAACTTTTCCTACAGTTACCTAACAATGTACATGTTCTCTCACTGATTTGAGAAAGCAAAGTGGCCAATTCGCTCATCAGTGAGACAATGTTAACATTGTCTCACTCTAATTACTTTGTCTCACTCCAGATTTGCAACGTGAAGGCACGAAATTAGTGAGTGCGTGCATGCAGGCAACGTCGTGTGCGCGCGAAATACGTTGGCAGCACTGGCTGTAAATCAGCTGGTCAGCTGTTGTACGGTTGTATTTGTCACTTCACATTAAATGTTATATTAAAAGTTCACTTCTGTGTAAAAATAGCTTATGTTTCTTCACAAATTTATTTGTTTTATGGTAACTGTAGGAAAAGTATAATGTGCAACTCGAGTTCAAAGTACAATTGCCTCACTCGAGAAACCATTCCTCACTCGCCTACGGCTCGTGAGTAAATACGGATTTCTCTCGAGTGAGTCAATTGTTCACTTTTCTCACTAGTTGCACAAATAACTATTACTCAGGATAGTCTAGCAACAAACAAAACCATATTCATTGGCATTAAAACTCCTCATTCTGCAAAATGTCCATCTGGTAGTCTAAAAAATATTGCCAAACCAAGAAATAAGTAAAATAAAATAAACCAAACTAAATTCTTAGACCTGACAATACAGACAGACCAAAACTTTAATTGGAACTGGAACTTTAAAGCTAATGAATAACTTTCTGAAACATCTTCAACAGATACCGGAAATGGGTTAAAGTAAGATTTTCTTTATTATAGCCTACATTAATAAAGAAAATCAGAGCAATTGTTCTCTAAGTACCAGAGGAGCGCTAGCAAATAAAGACATTTTGATTCACCCATTAATTTAAACTTTTCTTCCAACAGTTATCACAAGAGCGAGATCTGTGGACGTTTGCCAACCTCAACTTGGGCATTGTGTATCTCCGAGGCAAACGTGAGATGGAGTTTTCCAACCTGCTTGAGAGGATAAACCCAGAGACGTTGCCTTCTCACTCACACAGTTTGCGGGCGGCCGCATACTACGTGCAGGGACTACAGTCGTTCTTCCTGGCCAGATACAATGAGGCCAAGTGAGTAGCGGTCAGAAAATACCATATGAACAAGAAAAAAGAGTTCTTTCAACTGTATTCAACTGATTATTGGAAATGTAGCAGGTTTTTATGTTAAGTCTACAGTTGTACCACACAGATATAGCAAGAAGTATCTTGGTTCTCAATCATCCTCAGATACTAGGGGTGTGCGATGCATCGAAAATGCATCGAAATTTCGATTCGATTCGATTCGATGCATCGAATCGCGATTCGATTCAGCATGCATCGAAATCACGATGCATCGATTTGGCCTCGATGCATCGAAAAAGACCGATGCAGCGGTTAACTCCCGATGCAACGATTACATCCCGATGCATATTTAAAACTAATTTAGGACTCTAAAATGAGTTTTAGATAGGGAAGTGTCAATTATCGCTACCACCGATACTCGGACATTGCCGATACTAGGAATATCGGTATCAAGAATCGATTGCCAAACATCGATTTCGCCCGATTCCGCCGATACCGACAGCCGACAGGGATGGATAGATATTTTATTTAACATTTATTTATTTGATATCTATTGGTTTAGTAATCACGCTAACAACTTTAGTAACCAACTTAGTACACTATTTAGTTCAAAACAGCTAAAGGTTATTTTCAGCTGTTCTCTCTGCAGGCAGATGATATTGCACAACACAATACAATCTACATTTCAAGATGTCAGACGGTCAGAATTCAGTCTCAGACAACCGGCGTGCGAGTGTCCTCAACACGAAATTATACTAAAAAATGTCTGTATCAATAAGTCAGACCTTTAAATGTATTATTTTTATTTTTAGAACAAAATAAATAACCTAAACTTGTCTAGATGTTCAGTTTCATCCCTGCATTACGCATCATTAGAAAAATTCGATTCAATTACAACATCGAAGTCAGAGGGTTATTCGTATCGTAATCTACAACGCAGTGCGCGTGCGTGATTGGCTAAGTCGCTAATGACGACACACGGTTGCCGTGGCAACCTACAGTGCGCACTGAGCTCTGCGCCTTGTGTGTGAGGGAAGATTATACCAACAAACTATTTCAGGAATTCCATTTTGGGACGGATGAAAGATAAGGAAGAAACAAAAAGTGGTCACGTGTGCAAATGTAGTGGTCGAGACAATAAGGCTATAAACGAGTATTGTCGCGTCGTTGTTCCTTGTTTGTTTACTTTTTCATATTCCCTATCAAACGCCCTTATCTGCTATCTCTCTCTCTCCCCCTCTCTCTCTAGCGATGTACTGAACAGATTGTGGTTGACGACTTTTCTAATTAAGATTCCCTGTGGTTATTTTAGTTCAATCAATCCCATAACCTTTCTATCGTTTATCAAAATAATTAATTAATCTGTTTTGTATTTTATTTCCTTTAAACCAACCCCTATTTACCATCTGTATTTTATAGAATAAAATGTTTGTTTATAAAGTTTGACTGGCCACACAATTTTGTACCTATTTTATTTTGTATAAAGTAACAGATACTTTGATGATTATATATATATATATATATATATATATATATATATATATATCAATAAGTGCTGCGTGCTGTAATGAATGCTTTTTATTATCAAAATAAGTAATGAATTATACATTTTTTATAATACATGGGTAATTGAATACCATAATGTCATGTAGTTTCCTATTTGTAACTTGCAAATAATAATAATTGATAGTTAATTCTGGAAAATGAAAAATAGTGAACACATTCATAAACCTGTTCAAAACAGCAACGCAGGTGTAAGGGTTTATTGTTTCAGAGGCTAGGGTGTTTCAAGGACAAAGTGCTGGGCCTCCCGGCTCAGGGGGGGAGGGGTGGTGGTGAGACTGAGAGAGAAGAGGGGGAGGAAACTGGTTTTGGCTATTTATTGATTAGTTCACCGACCCTTCTAGACAACAAAATTGAGTGACAGTGACAGTGTTAAATCACCATGTTCTGTATTTAATTTCTTGTTTACTTTGTGTGTTATTCTATTAATTTTAGTGTTTTGTTCTATTTCCTCCTGGTCCTCCCTTGCAAATTGTATTATCAATGCTAAATAATTGTGGTCAATTCAAATTATATTTTTGATTATTCAAATCTCCTACACAAAAAGACAAAAGTCAAACCAGGCAAGGAAATAACCTGCTATTGTAATCCCCATACCCAGCCATTTGGGAAGTGGTGAAAGTCTAGTCTAAATATAGCTCAAAGGTCTCACCCTTCCCTTCCCCCCCTTCCAACCCCCTACTCAATGTTACTATTCAGCTCATTTCGAGGTCATTGCACAACGCCTGCCTCCCTTCTATTGTTTTGCCTTTATAGTGTTTCTATTCTGACTTTTATAAACATAAATTTATTGCTTACGTAACAGTTCAGTAGTGAAATTTTCTATTGTGAAACACTAGGCCTAGGCCTACTCTAAACACTACGATCATGTCATTCTATTCTGTGTCAAGTCAGTATACCATTGCCAGTCAGTCGCCGGCGACTGCTTTGAGTTGACCTATTCTGTCGTGACAGCTATAAAAATATGTTAGGACAAGACAACTACCTCTTGCTTATTTCTATATTTGTTTGTATGACTGTAGAATCTACAGTAATACAAATTATCCATCATTTTATTCTAACACAAGTTACATTTCAACAAATATTGATCTTACAATTTTATACCAAACTAGCGAGTTCAAATATAAGCTCGAGTTTCAAGGCCGTACTCTACTCGAACTCAAAATCTCGAATACTCGCCCATTTAGTGTTAATTGTATAAATTAGGGATGGTCAAGTCTCGAAATTTCGGGAAATTTTAAATCTCGTTACACGAGATGAGATTTCTTTTTGGCCGAGATTTTTATCAAGACGAGAATAAAAAAAAAATAAAAAAAAATTAAAAACGCCTGCAGAAAGTCAATGCAATACCCGCAATACAGGAGCGTGTTGTAGTTGCGTTTCCTTTGCGAAGGCGTTCTTAATGAATTAATTCTTTAAATGTAAATATTGCTTTAATTATTTTAATAATATTACTTTAATAACATTTGAGAAGTTTTGTTGTGTAAGCAGCGTGAGGAATGTTTTATTACTATAAAAAGTCAAAACAAGTACAGTACCAACTATTTTATAAAAATTAATATTGCTTTTATTTTATGATTTATTTTATTTTAGGATAAGTTTAACTCTATCCTAACTGATATCACTACCTATGTTTCCTAATCGTAGGCAGTTATTCTGATGTTTTTTAATAAAAGATTGTAAATATTCTTGCCTATTATCATTATTTTTTTATTTAAACAGTCATCTAACAATGTTACAAAATCAGGTAAAATTTTTGAATGTGCATTTCCCGTTGTGTATGAGAAGGGAAATCCCGTCTCTATCTCGTCTCGAAATTTTATGAGAAATAAAAAATCTCGTCTCGTCTCGTCTCGAACTAAAAATCCAATCTCGTCCATCCCTAGTATAAATAAAACCGGATCCAGCCTAAGATCCGATTGTAGTAGTAAATACTGATTATCAACTTTTTTGGTTCATGCTGATTTAAGAATGAACCAAAAGTATTGAAAGCCAACAAATATAAATGTGAAAACTAAGTAACAATACTACCTGCACATCATAAAATAAACTCTATTTTATTTAATACAGGTCAATAATAATAAACTTAACGATTGCTTTATTGATATAGGCTTATTCTAATTGTTAGTGAAGGGTGAATTTCCTTAGGCAAACCATAAAATTAGCAGTGTCCATTAATGAGGTTAGGTCAGCAACTATCCTCTTGTTCATAATTTTATTTAGTACATTTTTTACTTTAACTTTTTTAAGGTAATGGATCCATTACAGAAACACATGTTGTATTTAATTTTTTAAGAAAATTATGCCGTGCTGCATCGAATCGAATCGCATCGATTCGAATCGAAATTCTTTGAATCGCATCGATGCATCGAATCGAAAAAAATATGCTGCATCGCACACCCCTATCAGATACGTTTGTTCTGTTGAAGATCGTGTAATGGAGAATCTTATAGTGGATTCATTCAAGAAAAAATTTGTGTTGACTTGGAGACCACCACTTTTACACTGAATGTTTTTTAATGTAAAGTAAAAAGAAAACTCTAAATTATGTTGTCCTGTAAGTTTATGTATTACTTTTAATATGTTACTTTTTGCATTTTTCAAGGAGATACACAAACATTTTTCAGGAAATCGGTTCAAACCCATATGATTTGTGGGTGTATCGGGAATCGAACGTGTGCCTCTCACACCAAAGTCAAAGATGCTAAGAACTAAGCTAGCAACACACCAAATATTGAATTCTATCAATACAGAATAATAATTATTGTTTACTATCTTTTATTTAAGTACCTTTTAAATCTGTGTATCTACTTAAAAGATTCAGTTGACATATTTATTTAGTAGTAAAGTATTTAAAACTTTTACGAAAAGACAGAAATTGTTGATAACACGTACCTTTTTGCAGGAGGTACTTGAGAGAAACGTTGAAGATGGCGAATGCTGAGGACTCGAATCGCCTAACCTCGTGTACTCTGGTGTTGCTGGGACACATATTCTTATCATTGGGCAATAGTCAGGAGAGTATGAACATGGTGACTCCAGCCATGCAGTTGGCCAGTAAGATACCTGACGTGCATGTGCAGCTATGGGCGTCAGCAATATTGAAAGGTGTGTTAGTACTGTCGGCATAAGGATTAACGTTTTAGTCTGTGATGTTAAGCAACAATTCATGGGTATATAGAATGTCAGCCGGTACCTTTGAGTTCTTGAGGCGAATATTTGTTTTAGATCTTTTGTAAGTGTTGACATAATCTCAGTGGTTGCAAGGTGAAAAATATTGTCCCAATTTGATATGTAACTGTTTCAAACATTTACCTGAAGACCATGGTAGGTTATAAGTTAGTGAGTAATGTCTGTGTTGTGGCGTAGTAGCAAAAGGAAAATGTAAAATTTAAAGTTAAAAATTTGATTTTAAAAAGAGAAATTCTATTTGTGCACCAACCTTGAAATACTAGACTGAAGTGAAGGTCAAAGATGGCGGCTTCATCTCCTTGGAGCAAGCATCGTCTTGAGCAGTGGGGAGTAGGCGGGAAATTTGAATGTGTATTAACTTAAAATATTTTCTTCTTTTGTAATGTGTTGTATTAAAAGAAAATTAAACTTTTTTTCATGGGGTTTAAAAAAAATAAAATAATGACTTTTAACAGTCTGAAAGGTATAAAGTAATTTGATCGGTTTTGGAAATTTTGAATTTTGAACCCGGAAAATCTGGAATAGACCTTGAATTTTAATTTTTAAACACCCAGAATTCATTTTATCGGCTTGAAATTTAACCCAGCTGTCCTCGGTATGTGGGCTTTTAATTAATTATCTTGTTTTAAAAACCAGCTGTTAGTAACAATGCTGTCATCTCATTTATTCAACTCTCATTGTTCACTCATCTTCGCCTTAAAAGACACTTCAAACTGAGCCCCATTAATTTTAGTTTATAGAATAGGCCAGAGCCTACTAAATAACTATACCTGTTTACTAGGGTGAAAAGTGGATTGACTAAAAGTAGTAAACTGTTTATATTTAAGAAACTAAATGCTATGAACGTCTATTTATATTTTCCCGCAGACTTGTACCGAATGTGTGGAGACCCAGTGAGAGAGAACGAGGCCTACCAGATGCATTGCAACTTCTCCCAGATGCTGTTGAAGGACCACTTCCAGTCGTCACAGATGGCCGAACACAACCTCATCTTCTGGCTGGAGGGTAGCTTCCCTCTCCTGGCCACCAATCCGCCCTCCACCTCCACGCAGCTCGGTATATGAGCTCGCTAGGTGAGTCCATTTAAAGACAAACTAGAATTTTTTTTAATGAATACAAACCTGAAAAATCAAAATGCCTATGTGGAATAGACAGACTGGATTTTGCCGCCAAAATGAGTTTTGCGCAGCCGCCACTAGGTAAGCGTTAGCCTCTCTCTCTCCCTCTCCCTCCTTCTCTCTCTATCTCACTCACACTGCTGTGGGGTCCCAATAGCAGCTGCTATCTTACCGAGCGATGCCGCGGGAACTTGCCAAAATTAAAAAATGTCAGGCTGAATTTTTAACACGGGCATTTCGTTTCTTATAAGGTTTGTATTCATTGATTTAAATTCCATTTGATCAAAATTGATCTAAACACCTCGGTTTGTGTGGATCTAATATTGCTTTTTTAAGTTGTGTATTTTTGTGTACACTGTGGCATTTTTTGCGTTTTTTGTTAGGGAACGGTCCAAAATCTGGTTTTACTACTTTCTAACATCAATGTATTGTATCGCAACTAGTTTAAACTCATAAAAAAGTCATTTTTGCATTGAAGGATGGGTACTTTCCTGTTAAAGGGAACATTCATTATTTTATTATCAATGATTTTTTCTCGATGTATCGATATTTTTATTTTCCGATCCATTGCAAATTGACAACAACTAACTGATCTTGTTTAGACTAACATATTCTAAGCTAACCTAACATAACCAACCAAACTTGCTGGACCATTTAAAAATTCCGTTTGGGTTTGATAATAGAAAAGGCAAGTTAAACACGGAATTTTAAATGTTATAACAAGTTTGGTTAGTTATGTTAGGTTATTTTTTTTAGAACAGTTTCATTTCATTATTGTTTGTTGATACCGAACAATATTTATCGCGTAGTTGTCAGCTGATATGTTTCAATTTGTTAATATCGATATATCGAGAAAAAATCATCGATAATAATGAATGTTCCCTTTAACAGGAAAGTACCGAAGGATGTCATAATCGCTTCATCAGCAATTGGTAGATTCAGATGCAGTACATTTGGCATGTTACAGTAAACGATATCGAAGAATGAAACACCTAATATTAATCAACGCCCGAAAATGACTTCTTGATAAGCCAAAACAAGTTTGGGAACAGTAAGCAACAAAATTAGATTATCAAATATTAATTTTTCTTTACCTTCTGGTGTTCCTATTTGCTACGAAGCTGCAATGTGTTTCCTCAACACACTGACATCTTCAGGTATACACTATAGCTTCGCCATAAATATCAACATAAAACAGTCAGAGTAGATTTAGACAAAAAAAAAAAACAAAGACATTTAACAAGTAACCAGTATTGTTGTCGCAGTGGCCACATCTTATGTTGCACACGATTAGTTCTGGTGTGTTGATAAATTGTGGTATTGAAACTTTTTTTATTATAAATACCAAAATTATTTCTTAATTCCTGGCCTCAGTTTTGTCCTGTTGGGAATCTAGCAAACTCCTGGTTCCGATATTATTCTATTATTTAAACAATTACTTTTGTTTCAGACTAGAGAAGTCACCGCACTAGTCCTCGTCGATTGCAGTTTTAAATAGTTGTATATTCTATATAGAGAATTTGTATATAACCCTGTGTGACAGGCGTGTAATATGATTTAGTTTTATCTGTTGGACTGATTAGAATGTCAGGCTTTAAACCATCTCTTGGACGAATCGTTTTCTCAATTACTGACAAAGCATGATCAAGCTTTTTAATCCCTGCACCCGTTTTGACTATTTTTTAAATCAAAGTTTAGTGAAATTCGAGCGCTTTGTGTTAGGTTCATTTCTGTTTGTGTGTGTTCGATCAAACAAACAAGTCACAGAGTTTTTTTGAAGCTCTGTCGACTTTACAATTAAATAACTTCTTGATCAGCATTGTACGTGTTGTTAAATTTACAGAAAGTAAATAAAAGGAACGTCTTATAACACTTGAAACATATATTTACGTTTATACTGTTACTCACAAGACGGTAAATATACATAGAAGATGGTAAGTGGTGATCGATGTCTATTGGACACTCCAATCATCCTCAGACCCAATAGGTGAATGACAAGAATCTTGAATGGCATCCCTAATTATATCCTATTGGCTACCGGAAGCACCAGCCATGCGGCCAATACATTTTTATAAGTACAACTGTAGTCAAAATTTACTTGTTCATTAATCAGCTTATTTCTATGTAATTAGCTTATTTTCATTAATTAGCTTTTTTAGTCTATGTATTTTAAAGAATTGTAAAAAATGATATGTAATGAATGCTTGGGATGAATTGAATATTTATAAGGAAAAATTTTAAAATAGAAATAAGCTGAATAGTAGACAAGTAAATTTCAACTCCAGTTGTACTTATAAAAATGCATTGGTCGGTGCATCTGGTAGCCAATAGGATATAAGTAGGGACACCATTCAAGATTCTTGTCATTCGCCTATTGGGTCTGAGGATGATTGGAGTGTCCAATCAAAATCGATCACCACTTACCATCTTTTATGTATATTTACGGAAAGTACACGTCTTGTGAGAAACAGTATAAGCGTAAATATATGTTTTAAGTGTTATAGGACGTTTTTTTTTTGTTTTTTTTTTTACTTTCCGTGTCTTAACAATTGAAAACTACACCTGTAAAAATCGTTTGAAATGGCTTTTGTAGTTCTAATGTTACCGTAGTGAGGATTCCTTTTGATTATTTAATATAAGGCAGACAGAAAGATGTTTTTGTTGCTTAATCATTGTGTTAAAGAGTTTAAATGTTTACATTTATCATGTTTATATTTATATTTATATGTAAATTGAGTTATTTGTAAAATTGTGTATATAATGAATTTACTGTAATCTTGAAAACTGTTGCATTATATAACGTTTTGTAAATAGTAGATTTATATTACCAAATTGTATAGGTTAAGTGGAATACCATTTTAGGTTGTAGAGTGAACATTACTTTTGCAAAAAGTGTTATAAAAATTAAAAGCCATAGACTGTTTCAGTCAAATTTAATACTGAATTAAAAGTTTGAATTACACTAAAGTATAAGTAAAGTTAAAAATCCAATAATTCAATTTTATGATTATACTTGTCAAATTTGGGTGTTCAACTGCTTGATAAAATAATACATTTTTACTATATTTCAATAAATATTTACATTATTACTACTTTTAATCTAATATTTCTTACTATACTAGATAGGAACATATTTAATTTCAAACAATAATTAAATACTATTTTTTTTCATCACTAGGGACTAAAATGACTCTTTTCAATCTGAGCTCATTTGCCTGTGTGTTGAACTATATTTTTCATCATATTGCACCATTATTTAAACAAACTAAGTGTCAAAACTAAAATAGTTATCATTTAAGGATAACCTCCTAAAAGGATTTCTAATTTGTTTTCAATTTAATTTGCTAATGGAAACAAGCAGCTATTTAGTAAGTGATTCAATTGTTTTGTCTATTATGATTGTGTTATTGTACATTATACTATTATGTCAAACTATTTACAATAAGGCAACAATAAGCGATTAAACAATCGATGCATGTAAAATTTGCAAAAATTGCTTAGAATCAAAATTTACAACTAATTTGAGAACATCTTACTTTTATTCCCTAGGGGCTAAAAATGCTTTTTACTTCCTAGGGAGTCAAATTGCTACTTAGATCCGCAACGCATGTATTTATAACGACCGTTTTTGCTGCAGTATGACGAAAACTACATTTTATTACAGAGCAAACATATAGACACTTAAATTGAAAATGAGTTTTAAAACCAATAGTAAATTTAAATTTGACATGTTAGGTCTTTGAATTGACACATGGATAAATTTGGGGTATGGAGGTAATATTAGGCATGGTTTTGTAATGAGTGTGGCAATTTTATTTTAAAATAAGAGTGTGAATTTAATATCTATATGTGAATATAAAATAATAACAGCTAACAAAATGGCTTAAGGTTAAATCAAACAGTTTGTAAACTGTAACTTAATTTAGTTTGTATCAAAATAATATCCACAGTCATCATCAAGCTAAATATTTTAACTAACCTAAAACAATTTGTATTAACAACTATCTAAAACTTGCCATAATGTGTTATGTAAGATTTGTGCCTTGCTTTAGTAAATTGATGTTCTTATTTACATGAAAATTATACTAAAAATTAATCCATAGGGTATATGGGTCACTCTGTGTTGTATTTCTTTGTACTTAGTTGTTCGTTCACGCCATGAGTTGTTCGTTAACACCATCAGTTGTTCGTTCACATCATGAGCTGATAGCCCTTAATCTGTAAGGAGTAAGATATTGACAAATTGTTACTGCCTAATCGTAAGTAGTACAATAACCTTATAAATAAATGCAATAACATCTCGGTACTCTTGAGCGAGACCGAACCACAAAGTGTTGTATTTATGTATAGAATATACCATCGTGATATAGAATGTATATTTTATTATATTGTAAATAAATTGATGTTAATAAATTTTTAAATGTTGTTTTTATTTTACCATTTAAATTGGTGTGTGTTTGTGTATTTTATGGTTTTTGCGCAGATTTGAATACAGCTGAAACAATTTTCTTCATTGCAAGTCTTTACCTTTTGTGATGGAGCCAGGATTGTCAAACTTTTTTAAACCATGATTCATTAATCGAATAATTTTAATCAAAATAAGCCTATTTGTATGGGTTTTTCATCAATCCAATGAAGCCTATTTGTATGGATTAGTCATTGATCAAATCATGCCTATTTGTATGGATTATTCATTGATCAAATCATGCCTATTTGTATTGATTATTCATTAACACGTTCGCTGCTGAGCGCTAGATGCCGGGACGGCGCCAGTTGCTGAACTAACGCTCGGCCGCTGCGTGACATTGCCACCGATACACTGAATTACAGTAAAAACAACAGTAGTTATACTGGATGGCAATGTTCTGCAATAAAACTGGCTTTGGATATAGTACTAAGTGATTCTGATAGATAGCAGCACTATCCAGGTTACAGTCAGTAAAGTAGTGTCGCTATCTAGCAGGAAAGAGGTAAAACAAAGCCCTGTTCCAAACGACCCTGGTGGTGATTTGGGAAACTATATTTTTTATTGTCAGAAAAGTACGTCCGTACGAGCTGCAAAGAAATATAGAACGCTTGTGACGTGCTGGCTTATCCATAGCAACGTTAAACAACAATGAACGGTGACGTTCTGGAACGTTCTTAGCTCCTGGCGCCGTGGCCCGGCTGACGTTCCGGAACGTCCGTAGCAGCGAACGTGTTAATCAAATCATGCCTATTTGTATGGATCATTCATTGATCAAATCATGTCTATTTGTATGGATTATTCATTGATCAAATCATGCCTATTTGTATGGATTATTCATTGATCAAATCATGCCTATTTGTATGGATTATTCATTGATCAAATCATGCCTATTTGTATGGATCATTCATTGATCAAATCATGTCTATTTGTATGGATTATTCATTGATCAAATCATGCCTATTTGTATGGATTATTCATTGATCAAATCATGCCTATTTGTATGAATTATTGATTGATCAAATCATGTCTATTTGTATGGACTGTTCATTGATCGAACCATGACTATTTGTATGAATTATTGATTGATCAAATCATGTTTTTTGTACCCCTTATATTAAAGTAAACAAATATATTTTAAAATCATGTTTTTAATGGACACACCCAAAGTAAGAATAAGTCAAGCACCAAATACCTGATAATATGTGTAATTTTCAAGGAATTTACCCCTGTGCCACCATAGTGTATTTTATTTGGGCCTCTCCCACCTAGGTCTACTACTTTAATACTTTAATCAACAGAGAGATGGACTCATGGCGAGCTTCCCACCAGACCTAAGACAGGAATTGAACACTCAATCTATGGTGTCCCTCGTGATGAGCCTTTCACATTCATGTCAAGTGTCATCAAAATCGGACCAAAATTACCCGAGTTGTTTACACACATATGTATATAAATTTTTAACAAATAGTGTGTTTAGCCTCTGCGGACATCAAAAAGATCAAGAAATTGGTCCCGGGTGTAGGTCTTATTGTGCCACCTACGGTAATAGCTTCTTTTCTATTGAGAAATTTGCTCAGAGTCCATTTTTCATAAGAAGAATCGACACAATAAAGTAAGCAATAGAGGAGAACAGAAAAGTGGTATGTGTTCAGTAATAAATTGTTTCTGTTGAAAGTAAAAGTAAATTTAGCTTGAAAAATTAATTTATAAACTTTTTCCTTTAACTTTTTCACTAACAATTGATAAGATTGTGCAAAATACAGAAGTTAGCACTAAGATAACTTAATTTCGCTAATTTGTAGTATTTGACAACTAGTAAAGAGGGTGTGAATTTGTGTTCTAATTTATTTTTATTTTACACATTATTTTTTTTTAGTTTTAATGTGGCAACTTAAGTTTGCTTCAATCTGTAATTTGTGACGGATGGGTGACGAAATCAAAATAGGATAAAAATCTTTTCAATCGAGAGTTATAAAGTGTGCTATTTTAAACACATTGGCCATAAGCAAAGTACCACGGTTATTGATTATTCCTTTAATATTCTGTTTTCTTTATAGGCTACTGGGCAACATTTTATTTGGTAAAGGCGTGATTTTAGAAGTGTCAAGATCTTAAAAAATAATACAAAAGTTACAAAGTAAAATATTTGTTAAAACTAGCTGATCAACGTACAACAAAAGTGGTATGAATTTGAAACAACTAATTTTATAAATCACAATCCACAATTACACCATATTACCACAAAAATACACATTTGGACCCACTATTCTACTATTAAATATTATAATGTGAAAGCATTTTGAAATTTTTATTTTTAATGGTAATTTTCCCATAAAGTAACGGAAAAATCAGATTTTCTCAAAAACGGCCTGAACGATTTTGACAAAAGTTTAGTATTATAGTCCTTTGAATTCCAAACAAATTGGTACAAATCCCATTTATGTACAAATTACGGTTCAAAAGTTATTGTAACTTATGTTATTTTCCCATGAAATAACAATAAATCTGAAAGTATGTGTCGGATTGCTGATACAATTTATTTTGCATTTATGACAACAGCTACCAATGAATACAATTCATTGCAGCAACAAAAAGCTGTGATACACAATGAGAACTATCAAAGTAGGATTGTTTACAGTTATGTTAATGTTTTCAGTAATATTTTTGAAATAATTTGTGATGTTGTGCAAATGTTTCATAATTTAATTTTGTCTATTGTTTAGGTGCACTGGTAAAATACACAGTATACGGTAAATTCAAATAACCAACCAAAAAATGTTCTCAAACCGTGTCCTCTCCCATTGCATGAGTAACTGCAATAAGAATTTTATACTTCTATGCCCGTATGAAGGACGGGTACTCTGGAAGAACAATAATTCATATTGAACTTAATACATAATTCCAGATTTTATACTTTAAAACACCATAAAAAATTGAATTATTTACACAAACTGTTTACTAATTAACCAATCAAAATCCGATGTTATGTCGAGGGTAATTAATTCCTTAGTCTTTTACAATTAAATGTATTTTGGCTTACATATTTTCTCTTTTAAATATTTATTTCTGTTTTATAATGAGTTAGTGTTATTATAGTTTATTATTTAGCGCTATAATAAAAATATTGACCAATCATCGCCCTAAACCGGTCAAAAATCGTTACAAATTCTTTAATATAATTGAATTCTTACATAACCGTAAAAACTATACCAGCTACCAAGCAAGACCCCACTACAGTGTAGCAATTCTTTTTGTCTATGAGTGTAGTGGGGTCTTGCACCAAGCACAACGCCTGCAAACCCTCTGACGTGATATAGCTACAGGCCGTGCCGCCTGCAATAACTACGCAGCAATACAACTACTCATGACGTAGACAATACTGTATTTAGTGTTACAATACAGTAAATACTGCAATACAGAAAACTGTGTTTGTACCTTCGTATAGTTGTTGAATGGTTTACATATTTTGAATTTGTGTTGGTTGAATCTATTGTTTCTCTACCCAAAATGTGTTACGTAAAGGCATAAAAACCATTGTTATAAATCTTCCTATAAATACAGACGCCATTAATTTTAATTCTTTTTCTGATTTTTCGATGCTTCAGACATACATTTAATGTATTATGTTTGCAACGATAGTTTTCTTAGACAAAATATCAGGAAAGACTATTTTTAATACAATTTGTATAACTTATTAGAGATGTTGATGTGTGATGGTATCATTATGGTATTCAAGTGATTTCAATGTATTAGCCTGACACCACTTATTGTGATTTTAGACTTCCCAGATTTACAATTTTAACTCTTGTAAAATTATTATAATTTGAATGAGTCCGCAAACCAGCACTATATTATGATCATGAGCAGTGAGTGGGATTTGGTGCCGCGAAAATTAGAGTTTTAGTTTTTTAACCAAAATGTTGCTCACTATTCATTGTACACCTTGCTATAGTTAATGATTATTTTACCAGCAAGTGCATAAAGATACACGAAAGCAAATAATAGTTAAATATGAACTTTGTTAGACACTAAAACCACTCATTTAACCCTATACTTAAGATCCTCAGGAATATGCTGAACACAAACTCGAACATTGATTCTGTACGGTACGGTATATGTATTTTTTGAAAAAAAAAATTGATCTTTTAATTTTTATTCCTTCTAACTTGACGAAATCTAACGACCTATTAGTAAACCACCGCTCGTCTAGTTAATTTCTCACTGTAACAAGTTACTTCCATAAAAATACGCTTTCCAAAAATACCCAAGAATCTCAAGTATCGATTCGAAATCGGAATTTTACACTTTCCCAAAATCAAATACACCTTGTAAACTTGACTCTGATTTGGTAAATAGATCATTTTATCGGAATATTTACCCAAAATCCCTTAACTTGACCGTGACGAAATGGTGCGTCTGTCATAGTAGGACCGCACTGACTACGGGTAGGACATGAATCAACTTACGCTGCCTCCACAATAGTGTATAAACGGAGTGGTGAACACGATATAGTCACCAGTGGAGGACTGTGTGCGTGTGCGTATGTGTGTGTGTTTGTGTTTGAGAGTGGTGGTGATGCGATATATCGCATCGGGATATCGTGATAGGATGTTTCGATATCGATAAAATAACTATCAGTCATAGTCCGTATCTACTAAATTGCGCTTAAGGGTAATATAATGTTTTGAAAATAAATTAAAATCATCATATGGAACAATTTTAGTTATTTAATCTTTCTTCCTAATGTGTAATATAATAAATTACAGGTAGGTGTATAAATTTAAAAAAAGTTAGTAGGGTTTACAATAATGTAAGCATATTCTTGAATTTAAAACTAAAACTTCTTCTAAATTCTTTTGTTAAGTTTTCAAAGTATTTTATTGTAACTTTTAACAGCCAATGTAAATAACCAAGGAATCTGTTTATTTTGGATTACTGATTTCATCAATGGACGAAGTTTTCAAACTGCAAGACCTGCAACTAGCAGTGGACTGAAATCATTGACGCAGAAAACAAAAAATGGATTAACATGTGATGAATAGATTTGCACCGGCGATCTCTTTCAAAATCCCATACAAAACCTTTGTACCAGATCAACGGCTGCGTAGGATTGAATTCTTCATTGTCATCTTTATTATACGTAATTAATAGTACCAGTATGCATAAACTGATCTAAAGTCCATTCACAAACTTTAGTCGGTTTAAGGGAAAGGTTTCATGGGTTCCATCATCACATTTTTTAGCCTTAGAAGGGGAAGAAATCACTTCCCCTTAAACCGCATAAGTTTTGTGAACGGGGTATAGTCAGTAATACAAAAATCCGTACAAAGCACAAAGTATCTCAGTCATTCATTTCATTGTTCAGTTGAGAGTAATATTACTAACGGTTTTCTCTGTCACCACACATCCTGACACTAGGCTATAGTTCGAAACTGTTCGCATTACTTCAGGATAGGTCTAGAGGGTCACGGTAATAACACTTAGATATCCATTGGGGATTTTCGAGATTTGAGCCCTGGACCTATGCGGCCGAAGTCCCGCACTCTACTAGCTCGCTCTGCTCACTGTACTTTCCCGCACTGACACTGTGCAATGTGCATTGACTGAAAACTTATGTATCGCCAGTAAAAAATAATTAGGACGCTAGTGTTTTTCAAAACAACAGGTGAGTATGTTGTCTAACAAATAACCGCACGTCTTCACTTTTCGCCCACCCCTTCGTAATCGATACCCCACACCTCCGACCTCGCGACCCGATGCGATACGATGCGATACGATATACCGTATTAGCGCGTGTGGGCGGAGGGGCGGTTGTGGCGATCGATCCACGACAGTGGCGCGCGCCGTAGCCGTTCTACACCCAGCTCCGAGCAAATCTCTGGATTTTCACGGATAACCGCGGGGGCGAGGCCCGGGGTGTCACGTCGAGGCTCGGGGAGGTGACCAAGGATGGCGACGAGGAAGCGGACCACCGCGGAGTCCGGGGCCCGAGGTGGGGCGGACCTATGAGTGTTCTGGATATGTCTTCTGTCGCGAGTGTCAGTCCGGGGCTTTGCCTCATTCAGTGTCTCTAGCGCAGTCTAGGATGGATCCCAAGATTATGGAGTGATGGCAAGAGAGGTAGGTGAACCCGTGAACCTGTGGAACCGCAGTGTTGTGTATCCTGCACCTTGTATCCTCCTGGTCTGATACCCATATCTACGGGGTTCCTTACAAAAACGTGTGTACAATTTATAATGTATTTTACCACAATACGGGATTTAAAGGGCTTAAAACCCCGTAAACGTATAACGTGTTTAAACCATTAGAAGGGTAATCAATTTAAAAAGTATATTATTTAAATTATTAAATTTTTATTTATAATTTTTATTAGGTATACTTTTTTAAATCATACCAAATTTACTCCTTTAATTTTCTATTTATTTTAAGTAACACTTTAAATTACTGCATAAACACACATGGAAACGTAAGCAATTTTAATTTCACTACAATTTAACACGTCGATACGATACTACAAATAAATATCGATATAGGAGTGGATCTATTCAAGAATGTGCCATAAAAATAAGCGAATGGACGAGCCCGCTGTGCCATTAGGCTGACCTACTTCCGTACAAAACAGGTCAAATATTTACCACAACCAGATAAATACTGAATGAGACTCTGTGTGGACCAGGTGTTCCAGGGTACTCGGGCTTCGCCCCATTGGCTTCCCAGCGATTTGGTTTCGACCAGAAAATCTTTCCAGTCAAAAGCGAAAGGAAGATAATTTCCTGCCAAAAGGGAGTCGCAGAGCCGCCATATTTGTAACCTCACAGCTCAGACTGCTTTCATATTCGTCTATTTTACTTCTTCGGTTTTTCCAGACAGTGTTCGTTAGTATTGGTAATTCGTTTTTACTTCGCTAAGGAAATGTCGATAGGTTGCGGTGTTATATTTAAATAGGATAATTTTTTACGAATTGAATTTTACGAAATGTTTAGGTTTGCTAGGAGTACGTTGAAAATTAAACTCTAAAACATTTTGTTGTTGGAAAGCGGAAATTTTTAAATGAGTTTTTGTTGTGTAGGGTTTCGGATATAATACAGGATTCATACTTTTCTTGTATGCAATTGGCGAATTTTTATTTCGGTCTTGATAAGAAAAGGGGAAAAACCTTGGGGTTTCCGATCAGTTTGATTGTGGTAATGTTTTCTTGGACAGTTTTAATTTTAGATCGAAACTTCCAAGTTGTAATGAACTTCAGTTGGGTATTGAAGACGTATCACTACCGTATTGAAAACACTACTATTTTTATAATAATCCAAGTTGACAGTTTTTGTAAGATTTTCCTGTATAAGATTTGATAGATGATTGCACTGAATCAGCCGAAATTTTCAGTGAGAGATCAACTTCCTTTTTCAAATCCTTAAAGCGTGTATCTACCCCAAAACGCTGTCTTTCGTAATAAACGTTTTTCTTATTTCCACCCCAAACAAAATGTTGTAGGCCTATAGCTTTTATGGGAAAATTAAAATTTAAAAATAGATATATCCGTAGATATGTATTTTTTTATGTATAACCTAAATCATTTGCTAACTTAAATTATTTGTCCTTAACTCGTGTTTTGAAACATCCTGATTTTGTTTTAGATATTCAATTACATAAAACGACAAGATCGCACAGAACGGAATTTAAGACCGATAATATCACCATATCCACTTAACTCAAAAGATGTGTTTCTTTTTTTTATCTATATATTTAGATCCTGAAATGATATCACAGTAGTTGATATCTGCAAAATGCTTGAAAGAGGTTAAGAAAAGTTATCTGAAATGTCAGGCCTATCTGTGTACCTTTAGTTCATGCTTAAACGGCTGTTGCACATCTCTGCAAGGATTCTTAAAAAACATTACTATTTTCGTCTATAAGATACAGTACTGACTTTAAAGTCGTTGTAGCCCTGAAGATATATTTAAATTACAGGATTAGTTGTGTACGGTACCTCCGAAGCTATCATTAATTCTTAAATGATATCCGTGTACACTCGCAATGCTAGCTGTACACATTTATTTGGTCCACTGAGCAGGTCAATGATATGTGTGTATACACCCTTCCAATGTTCGTGTTCTTCTATATCAATTCTTAAATGACAGCTTTGTAAAGGTCCTTAAATGGCTTCAAACTACTGACACGTCCATTAATTGGCTGATAGAAATTAATAGATCTGTAACGTTCCTTAAAGTGCAGTCTAGATATGTAACGTTCGTTAAAGTGCAGTCTAGATATGTAACGTTCCTTAAATTGCAGTATAGATATGTAACGTTCGTTAAATTGCAGTATAGATATGTAACGTTCCTTAAAGTGCAGTCTAGATATGTAACGTTCGTTAAAGTGCAGTCTAGATATGTAACGTTCGTTAAAGTGCAGTCTAGATATGTAACGTTCCTTAAATTGCAGTATAGATATGTAACGTTCGTTAAATTGCAGTATAGATATGTAACGTTCGTTAAATTGCAGTATAGATATGTAACGTTCGTTAAAGTGCAGTCTAGATATGTAACGTTCGTTAAAGTGCAGTCTAGATATGTAACGTTCCTTAAATTGCAGTATAGAAATGTAACGTTCGTTAAATTGCAGTATAGATATGTAACGTTCGTTAAATTGCAGTATAGATATGTAACGTTCGTTAAATTGCAGTCTAATTATGTAACGTTCCTTAAATTGCAGTATAGATATGTAACGTTCGTTAAATTGCAGTATAGATATGTAACGTTCCTTAAATTGCAGTATAGATATGTAACGTTCGTTAAAGTGCAGTCTAGATATGTAACGTTCCTTAAATTGCAGTCTAGATATGTAACGTTCCTTAAATTGCAGTCTAGATTTGTAACGTTCCTTATCCTTAAATTGCAGTCTAGATATGTAACGTTCCTTAGATCGCAGTCTAGATATGTAACGGTCCTTAAATTACAGTCTAGAAATGTAACGTTCCTTAAATTGCAGTCTACATCGGTAACGTTCCTTAAATCGCAGTCTAGGAATATAACCTGTAAGTGAAAATTAAATTTAAATCGGAGACGAGCTTCTAACCCTATCACAATAATAAATTTAACGTTTAAGAAATCAGTTCTTATTAAAAGATTTATATCTCGGGTTGGTAATACATCACAAAGTTCTTCTGGTCTCAAATTACTTATTAAATGTTTGGCTTTAATTTTATTAAGCACTAAATAAAATATGACAAATTTAAAATGAGTCATGGACCTTCATTTAACATTATTTTTTTATTTGTCTTTGGTTAAAGACATATATCCCCAAATTTGCGATTAGGTATAGTTAGTTTTTTAATCAAAAATAGGCGAAACCCATCGAAATTGACGGTTACATTCAAGGTTTGCGCTAATTCATCCCACTCAGTTAGTAGAGTGTTATCATGGATAAAACATACTTTCTTATTATATTTCTCATCCTTATGGATCAGCCGAAGACAAGTTTATTGTAAGTTCCGTCCGGTGTACGGTAGAAGTCGTGTTTTGTTTACAATTTGTTTCTTGTTATTTCAGTCATTTAAAACCTCGTTAATAACTAGTTATATAGCTAAAGAGTAAAGCACAAATCATGAAATTACCGCTAAAATAATAGAAACAAAATATCGTTGTCACTAGCGATTAGTGTCACCAACATGAATTAGACACGAAAAACGACCTTCAAAATTTACAATGGGATGTTAATATTGCCTAAATAAACTGTTAAATCTCCTTTTGAAAACCCCTTCGGTTATTATTTGAATCGCGACAGTGGATCACCATCTTTTTTCGTAAACACAACCTCAAATTGGTAAATATAAGTTTGTAAATTGTAAAATTTAAAATTCACATACTATTCTTATGGAATAAGTAAATTGTTGTAGTTTGCTTGTTTATTGATTTATTTTGATCAAACTTGGAATATTAGTTTATTTTATACTAAAATATTAATAGCTTAAAATTATAAGCTATTGATATTTTTAAGGGAATATTTGAGTGAAAATTCAATCAGGCTAACGGATATTCGCTTATTCTGCAGGTTTGCTGTGTCGGGGCTATTTTTTTTTATAAAGTGGTAGCTAAATGAATGTTTTACTAAACACAATTTTTGAGAACGTTTCAAGAACAAATAGTAAACATATACCTACATACGAGAGAAGCGCAGAAATTAATTTTTCTAACCTTTTAAGCTAAATGTATTGTCGACGAATCGAAAATACATATATTTTCAACACACTATGATTTTTTTAGCTGTTTTACATAATTGGTGGCTGAAAGTTACCTACGTTTTGCTGGCCATACCAGCTGTCATCGTTATTTTGGACCGAGCAGGTTTTTACATCCCTAGGGCCGCAAAATCAGCTGCACGCTTATTCCTCAAAACATGAATGCATATTAAATACCCAAACAGTATCCATAGCATTGCAATAGAATTGTTTTATTGTCACCGCTGCCTAGCAACTATTTATTATTATATTTGCTGATTCCTCAAATAATTTCTTCGCATAACCTTAAAGTTGTAGTTGTGTTTACTATCAGTTTGCATTATTATTGTAGTGAATAGTAAGTGGTAATAGGGTATAGTGTGGTGAAAAATACAGTTCGTACCACGGACCGAAATGGTTTTGCAGCTCTCGATCGTTTTAAGTTCTCGACTTCGTCTCGAACTTAAAAACTATCTCGAGCCGGCAAAACCTCAATTTCGGCCCTCGGTACGAAATATACTATTACAACAAATATTTAATTTACAACGCCTAATGTAAAGCCATAAGCCTATTTTTTCCTTACGGCTTAGACGATTTTCTTCAAGTGTTGTAAATAGTTTATTTCTGGCCTAAAAACGTGTTTACTGCAGTTAGAACTGCCAACAAAATAGTATATTTCGTACCTAGGGCCGAAAATGAGGTTTTGCCGGCTCGAGATAGTTTTTAAGTTCGAGACGAAGTCGAGAACTTAAATCGATCGAGAGCTGTAAAACCATTTCGGTCCGTGGTACGAACGCTATTTTTCACCACACTATACCCTATTACCACTATTCACCACTATAATAATGCACACTGATAGTCAACACAACTACAACTTTAAGGTTATGTGATGAAATAATTTGAGGAA